ACCGGGACAATTGTCCCTCTCTCTTCCCTACTTGAGTACGTCCTTGACATCACCATCATGCTGCGTACATTAATCACTTTTCAGTAATAATATTATACACAACTAAACTTGATAAACATTAATGACTTTTTAAGAATAATATTATACACAGCTAAACTTGATAAATTCTGACAGTTTCTATGTCGAACGTTTATCTCCCACAGGCTTTTAAATCTTAGTTACCCGGTATTACTCCACTTTCCTCTATATATTTGTTACATTTTTTTTTAAAACCAGTACTCCAAAAATAAATAGTTAAGGTATAATTGCGAACACCCAGTTTTTTTTTCTTCCTAAGAACGTTTGAGTAGATAATTAGTTCCTTTTTAAATCGATGCATTCTTCAGTTGAATGTGTTACAAAATATGCAATATAACAGTACATAAAAATGAAAACTCATTTAAGGATTAGTTAAAGCATTTTGTAAATAAAAGTCAGAAGTTGATGAATTAGAAAACCTCTTTGCTTTTATAAGTAGTTTTTAAATAAATATTCTCAAAATTAAGTCATTCCCCATCGATTAATTGCAACTTTCTTTTTCAATACAGTTTTGTATAGCAACTAAATAAATATTGTATCTTGATTCGTGACTATATGGCTGCGTTTCCTAAAAAAAGAAAAATAAATTAGCCTTTGTTCTTACTCATTTAAAGAAAACTTTTTCCTCTAATCAAAAACTTTACCACGTCTCAATAAACCCTTAAAAGCATTCCTACATTTTTGTTCTATATTTACGTTATCAAAAAACTCGTTTCTTAAAAACCCATTCTTATAATGCAGTATTTTTTTTTAAAAGAAGAAAAATAATTGCAATGTAAATGTGTTAACACTTAATGTTATTGACACAACCTTTGCATTAGAAAATGAGAATTGTGATGGTATATATAATAAAAGTTATCGAACTTTAAGAGTAGAAAAGAAGAAAAAGAAATTTTCGTGCCGAATTCAGCAAATGGAGCGTCGTAAAAACCAGACGCTGGAAACCGTGATTTACCTTAAAAGCAATCGATTGAAATCCTAAGAATTTATACGTTATGAGCTCTCTTTTTTTTTCTCTCTCTCTCTCTTTCTAGTTCAATCTCTTAATGATCTCAAATGTTTTCAATCAAATAATTGAAGTTATAAATTTATCATTCTCAAAACCTGTCATTTACTTCAAGTCCATCTGTCCAATTGGTGGACCAGAAAGGTTGGGTTGCCTTATACGTCAGTGTTTTGATTTCTTTTCACGTCAGCATGTGTCCTTCCCATGAAGATCAGCAAATGTATATATATAATCATTGATTTATGGTCACGGTTATGGTTAAATGCCATTTTGTAAATAATGCACGCTTTATAAAATTGTTTATGAAACTGAAAGTTAGTGGATAAAATTGTTCATCTTTACATTAACAATTATACCTCAATATAATTGTTAATGTAAAGAGGAACAATTATATTGAGGTATAATTGTTCATCTTTATGTTCGCCTAGCAGAGATTGTTTTTGCTTTTGTCGGCCCTGTATATTTTTAAAAAGAGTTGTTTTAAATAGTATTTAGGGTAATCAGAGGTCTGCTTAGAAGAAATTTGGGTCCGTTAACAGACCCTTCACAAAATATATTTTCATAAATTATTTTGTAAAGGATCCGTTTTTATCTTTTAATCGAACCCTTCACAAATTTGTTTATCTTCATTATTGTTTTGTTAATCAAGTAAACCCTTCCCAGGAAGAGGGGGGGGGGAAGACAGATGTAAACGAACTAAATTTTGTCTTCGACAGACGCTTCTTCCTTTATTCGTCCGAAATGAATATTCTGCGTTCAGCAGTATAGGCTAAATACCAAATATTTGTGTGTTCCATCTCTAATTTAGCAGCAGCAATTGCTGTTTATTTTTCAAAATTTAATTTTTCATTTATAATTTTGAAGTGTTGAGCATAATCTTGTATGTCTTTACAATTTAAAAACTCCTTGAAAAAGTTTTTTTGCAATAACGGACACTATTTGCACAAATTCACAAAAGCGGACCCTGGTTGAAAGAATGTGACTTAACGTTTCTTTTATATTCACAAATTACGAGTAATTTTTTCACAATTTTACAAAAACGAACCTTTCACAAAATGTCTGGTCAGATCCCTGGTAATATTTTTTTTTAAATTAAATTAATTAAAAATATTGAAGTGTAAAATGTATTTCTAACTACTTTGTGCAATTGGAAAGTGTTTTATTGTTTTATCTTTATAATTTTTTAACATATTTTTAATGAAACTTAGTGCATGAGGTATCTTGTTGATGGATAACTGGAACACAAAAAGTTTACGATCCACTATCCACGTGCGTTTTAGCGTGCGATAATAAATTAATGGCACTAAAATTTATTTCCTGCTACAGTGTCAAAATAAAAAATAAATGCACTTGAAGTTGTCAAGATTCTATCTTCAACAAAAACAAATTTTTAACGTCATTGTAAAAAAAAAAAATCTTGGCATAAGATTTTAAAAATCTCTCACCATATAAAAAGTGTCTTTGTTGTTTCTTTAAAATATCTATTGACTACATTCAACGGTGTACAAGTTGAATTATGTTATTTTTATTACCTAAGTTCTATAAAAATCCTAATACTTATTTGAAGTACATGTCTTAATTTGTAAATTAAGTTGATAATACTAGAAATTTTTTTTTCTTTAATTCTAAAGATGGTTTTTTTTTTTCCTTGCAGACTCTTCGACATGGTTTCCCCTTTCATCCGACGGCTGCTGCCTTTGATCCCATTCAAAGATTACTGGCTATCGGAACTCATTCCGGAACAATTAGAATGTATCCTTTTCTTTTGTTCAAACTCTCAAGTTGTTTAACATCCCTTTTTATTATATCAAATACCGTTTTTTTTATTCTAAATGTTTAAGTTCATGTATTAGTAGCTAATAATTGTATTAAAAATTCAATTTCAGATATTTCGATTAAATGTGTTTGGTGTATTGCTTTTGCGAATAATTTTATGCAATCCTCTAAAGCAGCGGTTCCCAAATAATGTTCCACGGAACCCCAAGGTTCCGTAGAATGATTACAGTAGTTCGAAGAGTAATTTTTTTTTCTAACGAGTAATTACCAGTTCAGTTTTTGATTAAAATGTTTGTGTATAATAAAAAACCTATAATTCATTTAATTATTTCAGTTATTTATATGAAATTATATGTGAAGAATCTGAATAAAAAGGTAGCAAAATTTAAAAAAGAAATAATATATTCAATTCATAATAGAGTAACTAATTTCAAAAATAATTTCTTTTCTCTGATTACTATTCTCAACGGTCATGACAGTTTTTATCTTTCTTCCTTTTGAAATTCATTTTCAGCAAACACATACATCAAGAACAGATCCATATTATTAAATATTTTATTCTTTGCATTAAATATTGTGAAAATAATTAGTAGTTATTTATTTTTGTTAGTATATTGGCAGCTGTTAATGAACTTATCTTTTATAATGCTGGGGTTCCGTCCATAGAAGTTTGATCATTTAGAGTTCTGTATCTGGAAAAAATTGGGAACCGCTGCTCTAAGAAATAATGGGTTAATTCTTAGTCTAAATCAAAAGAAGTTTTTGTGATGGATGCCGTTAAAACCAAGTCATTTGTCATCATGTGAAGTTACTTATCAAATTCGATTGATGTATGCGAACTTTTCGATAAATTCATTTGCCTAATGTGAATGTTTTTATTTAGTTGGATGAATTTATTATTAGTTTGAATATAGTTAATATTATCAATATTTGATAATCTTTGGTTCTATTATAGCATCTTCAAATTAGTCAGGACAGCGTTATTGGTAAAAAAAACACTGCATTTTTCTTTAAATTAATAAGAATTTTCTATGTATTCTGTTATGAAGTGGAGTGTCAGTAAATATCTTGAATTTTTCGAATACTTAGAAACAATGCTAAGAAACAGTTTGATGCAAAGAATATCACCTTTGGAAAAAGCCTTCATTTCATTTAGTTTTTCGTCATTCATGTAAATGTTAAATTCATTGTTATACCATAGAGTAATTTACATTAAGTTTCAAATTTATGATTTAAAAAAATCAATTAATAAATAATACTGATTAAAATAACGTAAATAAATTACAAATTTGAAGTTCAAATGTTTCTTTCGTCTTATATTGTAATTTTAATTTAATCACCTATTCATCAGAGTCATGGGTTTGTCCACATAAGCTTTAGACTTTTAAAAGCTCCAGAGATAAATAACTTTATGATTAAACAATGTCTGTATTCAATAAAAACGAAAATTAATTTTATTTAAAACTTAAACGTTGTGCTCTTGTATTTTTGAATGACAGGGATTATACCAGACTTTTTTTTAAGGTATGTTTTTATGAAATTGAAAATATTTTATGACTCATACTTTTGTCAAAGATACCTGATTTTATGAAAGCTTCCGTTTTTGAACAAAACCTACTCGTTTTCTGAATCTATAATACCATAAAATCAGATTCCTTTATGTCAGGAAATACTAGCATTTCAAGTAGAAGTAATTTTAAATTATGTATTACAGACGTCATAAAACACGTTTTTCAAAGCAAGAATTTTGACAAAGGTCTGTTTTAACGATAAAAATTGCTGTGCCAATTTCTTCTAATGACTCCTGTTATATATGTTTATAATGAGCAATATTAACAAGCTATATTAATCATAATTTATGTATTAATTAAAAATTTTAATCTTACTTTAATTTTGATTTTTTAATAAATCATTATTTATCAATGCATATATATGAATAGTTCCTTACATGAGAACATAGATTCGGTAGACCTGGTGTGAAATTTATAATGGAGCATAGTGATTTTCCAATTTTACAGATTTTATTCTTAATAAACGAGGTAAATATTTTAATCGCTCAAAATATTTTTCTTTTTCATTCCATTGAAGGAAAAAAAAATATTAATGCTGTTTTTTTTTCTCACCTCCTATCAAGGGGGCCATGATTACCGTAACAGGTGATGACTATTTACATATGATCAATCTAAGGCAGAAGAAACCTGAAATAGCACAATCCTTAAAATTTCAAAAAGAGAGGTAGGTTTCTTCTTTTAACATTGATAAAACTTAAACACTTTAAGAAGAAATACGATAGATAAGGTTATTTTTATGGAATGATATGCCTGAAACATTCATTCACTTCAAAAATATATTGAATGGAAATAACAGTCGACGTGTTTCGAGCGCTCAAATATAGGCTCCCATTTTCAAGACTTGAAAATGAGAAGAAACAAAAGCGATTTGAAATATAAAACGTAAAGTTGCGAACGAAAAAAATAGTGAACAAAACTACAAAATACCTCGGTAACCAAAAGATAATAAAAAATAAACTTGAAAAAAAAAGAACAAGAAAAACAACTGTGGTTGAGAGGGGCTAATAAGAATAAAATGCATTTCCACGCTCTATGGGGAAGCTTCGATCTAGCATTAGCTCCTCACCAACTTTCCATAGCGCTTGGAAACGCATTTTACCCTGATTTGCCCCTGTCAGCCACAATGGTTTTTATTGTTAGGTTTTTTATGTTTATTTTTATTCTCTCTCGGGTAGTGAGGTTTTTTGTAGTTTTATTTTTCATCTTTATTTTCTATTTTTCCGTTTTATATTACAAATCACTTTTATTTCTTATTCACATTTGGTATGACTTAAAAATGAACACATATTTTTGAGTGTTTAAAACATGTCTGCTGTTATTTTATTTTTAGTCTGTATATTTTTGAAGCAAATAAAAAAATTTTATTGTGCAATATATTGTCATTACATCATACATTATCGTTGTATATGCATACTCTGCAACATTTGAGAACGATAAAAACAACGAAAATCGGAAAAATATTATTATTTAAAGCACATAAAGAAAATCGTAAATAACGATATTAAAGAACAAACTTGTCGAGAAGTTAGGGAGCATCATCAGAATTAAAAGTGCATGGAAACCCATGGCCGAAAATATCGTCATACACCGCTAGGGACACTTTCCTATAATGAAAGCGTGCTTCTATACAGGTCATATAAGGGAAGCGTCATTTGAGATTTGCAAACATTTTTGAATTGGTACTAAACTAAAACAGAAATTTTTATATAATGTCTTAAGTTTTTTATTAGTAATTACTGCATGGCCATTTGTCTTAATTTTTATAGATCTGTTTAAATTATTTACATGTAACTGTGGATAAAATTCTTTTAATTCTAATGAATTAAAATATTAATACATTACCTTGCTATCAGTAAGAAATATATCTTCTGAAACTAAAGAAGGATAACAGTTGGAAGGTTTTTCTAAAATGAAAAGTGGTTTAATATTATTCGTAAAAACATTTATACTTTTGACAAGAAAATGAAATGAATATGAACTTTTTACAAATAGAATTTTCTTTGCTTTCATTTTCTTAGAGTGTTAAAATAACACGCTGAAATAATTTTTCGAAGTTCGAAAGATTGGAGTTACTACAATCAATACAGAGATCAACACATACATCAAGAACAGATCCATATTATTAAATATTTTATTCTTTGCATTAAATATTGTGAAAATAATTAGTAGTTATTTATTTTTGTTAGTATATTGGCAGCTGTTAATGAACTTNGGAGGAGTTACTACAATCAATACAGAGACAGTGACATGACAAGCAGTACATACGAATATTTAAATTTCAACCGCGTTTGCTTGAAAATAATATTTTTATAGCCTTTTTCAATCGAGATCTTAAAAGGTAATAAAGTTTATTTTCCTCGCGAAAAAAAAGTCAATATTTTAGGCATATGAAAAAAATCGTGAATAATGATTTCAAAGATAACGTACGCTGTGATTTCTGAGTATTCGATCATGTAGAGCAGTGATTCTCAACCACTGTGCCGCGGCACTTTTGTGTGCCGCAAAATTCTTAAAATGTGCCGCCAAATATTAGAAATGATACGATAAAAATTATAATGCTTTTTTTATTATGAGTAAAGTTTAAATTAAAGTNATACATACTTTTTGTAATTTTTCCACGCTTTAACAGCGTGGACATCTTTGTCGGCGATTGTCTTGTCTCTGACAATCTTAAAATAACATGGAATTGTTTAAATTGTATATACACACAATTTTAAAAAAGGTTTTAAGAGCTAATCATTAAAGTAAGCTATGCAATTAATAAACAAATTAACAAAGGATAACTAACAAAACAAATATATAAAAAACAAATTAACGAAAGATGACTAACAGAAATTAAGCTAACAAATAATAATTAGCAAAAAAACTAGTTACCAAGAAATCATAAAAAAATAACAGTTATTGTTAAAAAAAAAGGTAATAGTTAATAACTATAGAAAAAAGGCTAACAATTAATAACTAGCAAAAAAATAACTGTTACTAACTAATAAAAAATTGGTCGAAAGAAATAATTAATCCCTTAATAAATTTGCTTTTGTTGTACATATTATTTTATTTCACATTCAAAATTATTTTTTTTATTGTGTGCCGTCAAATTTCGAAATCGTTAAAAGTGTGCCGCACCAAAAAAAAGGTTGAGAATCACTGATGTAGAGTCTCATACACAAAATAAAATTCAGCTAATAGTTTCAAGATCTTGACTGGGCAATTACCCGGTAGAGATCGGTTTCCTGGAAACGTGATTGAAGTTTACGTGATTGAAAGTTTAAACGTGATTGAAGTTTAATTATGATAAAACTATATCGGTTGCTGTATAACTTTTCCCATTTAAACACATTCCGGCATTATTTGCAGGGGGTCGCATAAATGTTGGGGCAAACCTTCAGGGGAGTTAAGACATTTCTTAAGGATTAAAATTGCACAAAAACCCATGCTCGTAAATGGCGTCATACGCCGCTAGGGGCGCTTCCCCTATTATGAGCTATTTCTTCGTGTGCTTCTGAACAGGTCATAATAGAGAAGTGACGTTCCTTTGTAATTTTATCCTATTGACGTGTCTAAACTCCCCTGAAAGTTTGTCGCAATATTTAAGCGACCCCTTGTTATATCTTTTTTTTTTAAACTAGTACATATCGATGAAAAATTGACTAAGAATGTCAATATCATGTAGTTTGCATAAATGCAACAAAAGATTTGTTCCCTAGTGTAATCAGCTATTTATGGTAAATGATGGCTGAAATTTCAATTTTTATTTGTAAGTATGTAACTTAAAAAATTAAACTCATGTGATCTTGTATTTTTTTATAGAAAAACTCAATTAATTCAATTCAACTAATTTTTTAGTTATTTTTATTTATTACATCAAAAAATTATTCGTTTTAATTTTTTGCCTAATAAAGGATATTTTTAGTGTTTCTCCCCATTTTGGATATAAAACAAATCAACTGCACTCAACTACTAAGATATGCCATAAAACTGTCCAAAATGCTTCGTGTATCGAATTTCTTACCTTTTTTGTATAATTTTTCATCGAAATTAAACACTTCAACCCACAAGAGTAAATCCAATTATATATTTTACGTAGAGAATCTCTTTGTAAGCAGAAAAGTCATACAAACAAAACAAAAAAATCTTAATACTATTTTTTTAAGTGCTAAAATTCTACTTTCATTTAAAACTAAGACATTAATTTTAAATTAATTAAGTTTTTATTAATAATTTTTGTTAAGAATTCTAAAAATAAACATAGTAGTTGCTTAAAATTTAGTTATTCATACAAATGGCAAAATAAATAGATAAATAAAACTTTTGACTAGTTAGATATCCAATTTAAAGATAAATTTTTAAAATTAGAAATTTCCATTTTATTTATTTATTTTTAACTTTATGTGTATTTCAGGTTAACGCATTGTCATTTGCCGTTCCAAAGCAAGTGGCTTTATGCCGGTACAGACAAGGGCAATGTGCATCTTATCAATGTTGAATCATTTACTCTCTCTGGCTATATCATATACTGGAATAAATCCGTTGAACTGTAGGTATAAGTTTTTATTTTTACATCAACTACCTAATCTCAATATTTTTATAATCTGATGATTTGTGTGAATAGTTAAGTTTAATTGTTGAATTGATTTTTTTTTTAGTTCATGTAAAACTCATCCCGGCTCAGTAGTCCATTTAAGTGAAAATCCCCTAGACCCAAACAAGGTAATTATTTTGAACATTGATAAATATTTATGTTGCATATAATACACTAGATATGTATAACACTTAATCAAATGAAATACAACTATGCTTTATTTGCTATCTTTTAAAAAACATGAATTTTTATGTGAAAGTGAAAATCCCCTAGACCCAAACAAGGTAATTATTACATATCTGAATTATTTTGAACATTGTATGTTGTATATAATACACTAAATATGTATTACGCTAAATTAAATGAAATACAACTATGCTTTATTTGTTATCTTTCAAAAAATATGCATTTTTATTTGTTTTAAAACTATATTCACACCATCTTTCATTGGGTTGGGTTGTTGTTAATTTACGTCGCACTAGAGCTGCACAATGGGCTATTGGCGACGGTCTGGGAAACATCCCGGAGGATGATCCGAAGACATGCCATCACAATTTTGATCCTCTGTGGAGGGGAGATCTTTCTTAAAAATTTATTCCGATAATGAGAAAATTCGGAAATAAATTTTAGGATTCATTAATTTATTAGTAAGTTTATAATGTTTATTTTGTTTTACTTTTTCTCATTTCAGAAATTAGTATTATGTTGTGCATCTGACAAAAGAAAGTTATTCTTATTTTTTTTCATTGTTTTTAAAAATGTAATATTTAAAAATTTTCAAATCGCTTTTTGAATCACATCATTATAACGGGATTATTCAACATGGAACATAACCAGGAAACGTAACAGGAAATTGGAGTTAAGTGATATACTTCAATTTATAAAATGATTAATCTAAAATAATTTCCTTTAAAACATGATAAAAAATTTCAAATGATAAAAGGAATACATCAATATTTGAAAGCTGCTTATAATAATGCAAGGAAAATGAAAATAATTTGACTTAAAAAGTAGGAGCAAGAAAATTATTAAATTAGTTTCGTTATTAAAAAAGAGGTTTTTTATTTACAGTTATAATTTATCTTTAACAAAAAATCGTTACGTCTGGTAGCAGTTCGGGTGCAAAAGGAGACCCACTTTTGTCCTTTCACTAAAATCACAGATTTAATCTTTAACAAAAATCGTTACGTTTGGTAGCAGTCAGGGTGCAGAAGGAGACCCACTTTTGTCCTTTCACTAAATCACAGATTTAATGGAGGTATTTTCTGAGTTAGGAGAGGAAAGAGACATAGAAATGACAAAATTCAGTTAATACTCTAAAAGATAGCGAGAAAAAAATGTCAAAGATCTTAGATTGAACATCTGTGCCAAATTAAGCTTCTCAACAAAATCATCTTGTCAGCAAAACCACATGTCAATTAAATGAAAATGGCAAAATAGACTATAATATAACCCGATTTTATAAAATCATTAATTTCTCTGCATTACTCTTAGTTATGAAACATACTTTTTGCAATGTATTTTTCAAAATCTTAATTCTCTTTTTCTAGTTGCTTATTGGCTTTGAAAAAGGCTTAGTTGTATTATGGGACCTTCGAAATAAAGCAGCGGATGCTAGATTCAATACTACTGAGGTAAATTTATTTTCCATTCTTGAATTACACAACATTTTGATTTCAGAAATATCTCTGTAATTGTTTGTAATTCTGAATTCTTTTCGTTAGTGATTTTACAGTGAAATTAAATTGATGATTAACTTCATTTTTTTTTCATTGTTTAGAATGGAATGTTGAGGTCAGTAACCTGGCAGTTGGAAGGTCGACAATTTGTTTGTAGTCATAGTGACGGAAGCCTTACTACTTGGAATGTAAAAGTTCCAAGTAAATCTGTATCTGTCAATTATCCTCATGGTAAGAAAAAAATATCAAAAAGTAATAGAAATATTGTCTGTTTACTGTATAAAGTTATTTTAATTTCGTGTATAAAATGTCTAGGTAAAATATTTGAACATTGAACCAAACTAACAGATTTGGCATGTATAATTGCACATATAACATATTACGGTTTAAAAGTACTATAATTCTATTGGTGCAGCATGAAATTTTAAAAACAGAGTATCTGCTCAGGTGCTGACTATATTGTTAGACTAGGATCAAAACTTTGAATGAAATCGTCCAAATAGTTTCTGAGATAAAATTATGTATACTTTTGAGTTATTAACCATTTCTGACCAGTATTAAATTGAATTATAAGTATAATTTGCACAAAATTATCTTTGCCTAGAACTGTAAATTCATTTATCCAAAAAAAATTCGTTCCTATTAATAGTTCTATAGTAATGTGGCAAAATATCTTAAAAGTAAAAACTGCTCATCCGAGAAAACAGTTGGAACCATATGTTCAAGATTGGGGCTACTGCCCGTATTTTGAGGGTTAAGAAACCAAATCTGAGGAAAAAAGGTATGTTAATCCGGAATTTTTTTTCTTTCTGTTTTGTAATTTAAACTATCATCTAAGCAAATTAATTAGCTTCTTTAAGGTTACACTCTAGAACCACAAAATATCACTCAGTATTTGAAAATACAATCACTTGATCTAAAATTATTTAGGTGTTCTGTTTTCAAAAATAAACCATTATTTACAAATGTTTCATTTAAAAGTAACAAAAGTTTTCCTTTCTTTCAGCCAAATCTCTGATTGATGGTAAGCCAGAGCCATGCAATGGAATTTATAAGATTGAATCGAAAATTAATCGGGCTGGGTAATAAACTTTATTATGCTGTAATTCATTAACGTTGCTTTATTTTACAGTGTCATTTTTTCCTTATAAATTTGTTAGACATCATTTATATTTTTACAGGATAATTACATTTTCAGTTTAAAACTTTTATCAAATAAAAACTCTAAGGTTTAATAGTTATCAAACTTTCATATGCTGAGTGTTCCAAAATTATCGCCCTTCATATATATTTTAAGAAACCATGTCAAAAGTGAATTAAAAATAAAGTTTACACATAGTAATCGGAAATTAATATTTAACTTATGAAAAAGACGTTATCAGAATCTATCGAATCATTATCGAGGGAGCGAGATAAAAAACTTCAAAACCTATTCGATTGCTGGAGAAAACAGAGAGGAGAAATGCGATAGTTAGAATGTCTCAGAGTTTCATCGGCAGTCAAACTGGTTTTGATGTTTTTCACCCCAATTGCAATCTGGATGCTTGGATTAAATTCTATCTTTAAAAAAAAATCATATTAGGAATTATCTAAGGCCATAAAAATTTTATTCATCATGGGAAATAATATAAATATGTAACAAAATTTAGTTAAACATACTGATTTTAAAGAACATAATTTTAAAATTATTTGGGGAGGCAAAATACATTTAATGTATGCATTACAACTTTGAAATATGTGAATTGTTAAAGAATTCGTTAATCGATTCGATATAAACATCATAAATCTTTCCATCAGAAATTTATGAATTCAGAAAGATCAAAATTTTGAATGGAGACATTGGACATTTCAATTTCATTGGACATTTCAATTTTCCATATTCTTTCTGCATTGAGGTACTTTAATCATTTAAAAAAATTGTTTTAAGAAAATTGGGAAAAAGTGACTAGTTGTTTATTTAGTTTAAGTGTCCATTTCTTTTTGTTGACTTGCAATGTGGCAAGTGGTTTTTGTCAGGTCTACCACTAACTTTTTTTCTATTTTTAATAAATAGGGAGGTAACTACTGTTTTCTCTGGTGGTTTACCGTATGAGGAGCAAGGTAAAACTTCAAGTCTAACTATCCAACAAGGAAGATCAACCACCGTGCTAGAGATGGATTACAGTATTGTTGATTTTATAACGCTTTGTGAAGCACCTTGGCATACAGGTATTTTCTCGAAACTTTGAAAGAATATAGTATTATGAACTAGTTTAAAATATTTAAGACGTACATTGAACATTAAAATGATTATCTCAAAAATTAATAATTTATTGTAAAAGCATTAAAATATGCCTAATATTTTTTTTGAAAAAATAATAAATAACGTAATTTTAATCCCATATGTAAAAGCATTTAAAATCGTAATTCATTCCAATATTAACTAGTTAGATAAATTAAAATACTCCAAATTCTTTTAACTTTTGAAAAGTAAACAAACGTTGAACGTCAACTTTATGAATGTTAAAATTAATAGTTTTGAAATGGTATCATTATTCTTTATTTAACAAATCTTATCAATATTTTGAAAACAAAAAATCAATTAACAATAAAAAAAATAAAAATCTTAAAAAAAAATAATGAAATACATTTTAAGATTTTTAAAAACTTGAATTCTTACTGAATATGGTTTAATCTTCATGCTTAAAATGCACCAAATAAGCTCTAAATCTCTAAATGTGTATTTCTTATAAATTTTTATTTTCATGAAAAAGTTGCAATAAAAAATAAGCCTGTGCATAGTTGGAAAATATTTTGTATTAAAATGGAAAGCTTGCATACCTGCCAAGTCTCTTGTTTTTTAACGAAGACTTCTGTATTTTCAAATTTCTCCGTATTTGTTGAAGAAATTTTAAAAAAATTATTATTTTGGCGATAAAATATCCACTGATGGCAAAAATACTTTCAAATACTCAGATGGTGCTATTGCCAGTACTGATGCTGAATGTTAATAGTTTAAAATCTTCTTTAGATTAAGATTTATATACATATTTTTTACTTCACTAAATCTGCTTATATTTCCAATTTTGAATTTCTCTTTTTGACTTACATGATTATGCATGATGTATCAAAACTTGACTCATATCCTAAAAAAATGCAGCTAGTAAAATCTCCGTTATTTCATTTCTCCAATGTTGGCAGGTATGAGTTTGTTTTTAAAACAGTGAAAAAAAAATTAAAGAAAAGAAAAGAGCATCTTCAACTTTCTTCTTAAGATTAAAACTGATTATACTTTTTTTTATCAGCTTTCAAAAGATAGTATCAGAACATCTTAGATCTCCAAAAACTCCATGTCAGGGACTCATTTTCAGTAATGGCAAAATATCACCTAAGTAAATTAAAATTAAATCATTTTTATTAAAAAAAAAATTTTTAAAGAAAAGTATTGTTTACCATGTATTTTTGTTCAACATATTAAAACAATGAATTAAAAATCTTTTGACTTCATTTGTATAAAAAATCGTAAGTAAATATTTTGAAATAAAATTATAAGTATGACTTTTTCTCACCAAGATAATTTATAAGCTTTTCAATTTTCATCATAAATTAAAAAATCAGAAGAAAATATTTTTAAATTATTGTTTCTTGAACTAAAACTTCTCTTCTCTGCTTCTTTAGAATCCCAAGAGCCGTATGCTATTGTGGTGCTTCTTGAACGTGATCTTGTTGTTGTTGATTTAACTAGTCCTGGGTAAATAGAGAAAACAATTTACTATTTTGCTTAAAATTATTTTCTTCATGTTATTGCATGCATATATTCTAAGTAGTTGAATCAATAGTGGTTATAGTTATTACACAGTTTTATTACAACAATCAAGCAATTAAGAAGACTTTAAAAAAACAAGATGCAGTATTTATTTCAAAATTTTAAGTGCTTATGTTTGATAAAGTAAATTTTGAATAGATAAAATTGTCCTTTTTAATGAACAATGAACTGAAATTTTAGCTATACCACTACATTTGTGAGTGCTGAATACCTAAAATTAAATTAAAATGAACTTATTTTTTTGGGGGTGATTTCACTACACCTTTGAAGTCACAGGTCATCAGGACTTCAGAATTTTTAAGTTCCTTTTTACTAGAGGCGGGTCCCTATTTAAAATAAGAATTTTCTACCTTCTTATCCAACTGTTGACGTATACATTCAAAATTATTCTATTTATTGATAGACAAAACAAAGATTTTGAACGAAAAATCAGTTATATTTGAACAATCAAGGCTTTTAATTAGGACTAATCAAATACCTGCATCAAAGAAAAGCAACAATGTTATGATACTCAAAATCATTCTTTATAAATATATTTAAAATTTGATTATAATTTTGACTACATGCTATTTTTCTCCACACTCTAGAATTAAGTTTAATGTCCCTTATATGGTTTTTAGCATATTTGACGTGTTATATCTTATATTAATATTTTTAAATAATAATTTAGTTGAAAACTTTTTTAAAAAAATCCAAGAAAAGAGATGGGTCGAGCTTGGTTGTTAATGCCGCACTTGAGTTACACTATTGGGTTAAATAAATAAATTAAATTGAAAATTTTAAATAGCACAATTACGCATCATATGATTATGTTTCGTATTGCACATTAAATGATTTATAAATTTATGCTTATTTTTTAAATTAATAGAATTCGACGTAATAAAAATTCGTTAATATTTAAACAATTAAATTTCGCAAATATTGGGAGTATAAATTAGTTCGGTCCGTTTTCAAAAGATGGCTCTGGCTATGAATGTTTTATAGTGACAGCTGGTTTCAGAGAGGTTAGACATCTGTGAATAATATTCAGTTTATATAGCTTTGCGTTTCATACAAAAACCCTGTTTTTTACTTTGTTGAATTTAGTCAAATTTTGGGGTAACTAAGCAGCATTTGCGGGAGGTTTTATATTTCTGCTTTAATTGTAAGAAAAGTGCAGCTAAAGCGCATCGAATGCTTGTAGAAGTTTATGGTGACAATGCTCCAACTGATAAATCATGTAGTGAACGGTTTTGACGTTTCAAGAATGGTGAATGAAGAATGGTGTTGTATACTATGAGCTGCTACAACCTGGCGATTCCATTACGGGTCAGCGATATAGGCTACAATTGATTCGTTTGAGACGTGCATTACGAGATAAATGGGCGGAATATGTGCAAAGACATGGCAAAGTTTTTTTTCTGCGTGATAACGGTCGTCCTCATGTCGCACAAATCATTTGGAAACGCTCAAATGGGATATTTCACCTCACCCGCCGTATTCGCCAGACATTGCTCCTTATGATTACTGGTTGTTCCGACGGATGCAGCGCGATTTGGCAGATCACCGGTTCACTTCTTTCGCAGAAATCGAGAATTGGCTCCTAACTTGGATTGCCTCAAAATACGAGACATTTTATCGATATGGATTCGAAAATTGCCTGAGAGGTGGGAAAAAGTAATAGCCAGTGATGGACAATACTTTGATTAATCTGTTAATTCATTTTGTTGTAATGCATTTTTTACCACAAAAAGCGGAACTAATTTGTACACCCAATACGTTATTCAAATATTCTTAACTTCATATTAGACTTCTGAGCCCAATAAAGAACATTCATTGCATCCCTAAAAAAAAAACCTAAATTCAAATCATTAGTAAAAAATATTGTTTTTTTTTTATGGAAAGAAATAAAGCTGATTTTAAAAACAGAGACTTCACTTACACATAATGCATGAATAATATTTTTGTTGGACTATTAAATTATCTACTTATGATATTTTCGAAATAATAATAAATTTTACTTTTTCTTTCAGTTTTCCTTGCTTCCAAAATCCATATCCTATGGACTTCCATAAATCACCTGTCACCTTTTGTGCCTATTTTGCAGATTGTCCTAATGACCTCATACCAGCCTTTTATTCTGTAGGGTCTATGGGCACCAAACAATGTGGCTGTTCAGAAAAAGTATGATTATTTCCCTCAGTCTTCCCATTGTTCTAAGTTAAATGCAACAGATTCTATTTAACATGCCTAAATGGGACATTCAAATCTATTAAGAATAAATCTGGTTAAAGCAGAAAAATATATATACGTTTCTAATTTCTGCAAGAAAAGCCCCACTTTCATTGTTTTAGTAAAACAATTAAAAAATGATAGTATGTAATAAATTACCCACATATATCCTGCATAATATTAAATTGCTAGGCAAACTGCAAAATGAATTTTAAAAAAACGGAACAGCTGTTAAAATGTTTGATCTAATCATCAGATTTCACATATTAACACATAATTTTATAGTTTCAGGGTGTAACTTTAAATATGTTAGTAATTAATTTATGCAGCCGACATTCTAAGTTATAAAAATGTAATGTGTAATAAATAAACTTTTTTCTCTCTATGCATTTGAAATTGTGTACTATTCTGAATTACTTTTAGTGTGGAGAGTAGTCAATCCAGTTTAGTCAAGTGATCCCAGAAGTTTAGTGAGATGATCAGTTGAATTTTTACATATTTTAAAACAATTATTTACTTATTTTTTTTCATTTACAAAAAATCCACAATTTGAGTTGCATTGGCTAAAAAGTTTTGGAATAAAGGAAATTAAAAACAAAAGGTGGATTTTTTAGAACTTTGAATTTGTCTTTGAGACTTTAGACGTAGTCTAAAGTAATGTAAAAACTTGAGAAACTTGCAAACAGTTTTTGATCATTATTAAATTAAATAAAAAATGATAAATAACCATGAAAAAAAATTTCCATCAAAATTTCTTCGAATAAACAAGTTTTATCATTATGTGCGATTAAGTTTTTGATTCTGTTAAATAGAAAAATTAAAATATAAATAGCCAAAATTTTAAAACCTTTCTAAATATGAATCCTTCAAAAAAACAACAAAAAAAAAAACTAGAAAATGATTTTGTGTCTGCTTTCTTAACTTTTCGATCATTATTAAATTAAATAATAAATAACCATAAAAAAAATATTTCCATCAAAATATCTTTGGATAAACAGTTTTATCATTCATTATGTGCAATTAAGCTTTTGATTCCGTTAAATGTTTCTGGATTTCTTTGCCATTACTAATATTAAAATATATCCAATTATTTTTCCTTTTAGGTTCAATTTATATCTGTTAAAGGTCAGCTTAAAATCCCGTTTAGAGGGAATCTACTGCATTTTATTTCATTATCTTAAAAAATTAAAATGAAGTTCCAATTTTATATTGATATTGAATATTTTTAAAATTTAACCTTTTAACGAGGCAAATATTTTAAATATAATTTTAAGAAATAAATGTTTCAAATGACTTTAGAGTTTATTTTATTTATTTAATTTGCTTTAGGATATAATGTAGATAAGTTTCTGAGCAGATTAGTTTCGGAGGAAATACAGTTTACAATAAATTTTAAGATTAATGACGCTGTTAAAGTGTAATATGCTACCAACTAAAGGGTTAATAACCATCTTATTTTAGGACTGGCCTATAGATGGAGGCGAGTGGGGTACTGCAACACTAAGCTATCCAGAAATCGTGATAACAGGGTACATTTATTAATTATTCATAATATGAATAATTGCTTTAATAATGAATATTTAATTAATTATTTCATTACAGACATGCTGATGGTTCTCTGCAATTTTGGGACGCTTCATCAGGTAATAAATTATTTCAATTATATTATTAGCAAATTTTTAGTTTTGTTAACTAGTTAATACTCCAGACCAAGCTCCAGTACATGCAAACCAGAATCATGATTTTTACTGAGAGTAATTTGTGTTTTAATTCCATCTAACTTTTAAAATAGTGAAATATGAAATATTCTCTTCAGGCCTCTGATTATTAAGATTTAAGTAAAAGTTAAAATTTAAGATTAAGTTAAGATTTAAATAGTGGCGTTAAAAATGAGAGATATGAAGAAAAAAAATGGTACATAAAATATTTAAGAAAATGTGTTTTGCTCAGCTTCATCCAATGATTAAATAAATAGTATAAGCACTCAAATTTTATTGTTGCAATACGAAATTTTCAACAATTTTAAATTATTTTTCTTTTTCCAGTTTCCTTTCAAGTTTTATACAAAATAAAAACTACTAAAGTTTTTGAAAGACCTAAGCCAAGAAGTATAGATGAGCTTGATGAAGATCCCTTTGCCATTGATAATGTGGCTTTTTGTAAAGACTCCAGGATTTTGGTTGTTGCTGGATCCAGTGGTCATGTTATTGTATATAATTTTAAAAAGAATGATGCCTCTGTTGACCTAAGCGTAAGTCCTTTTTTTTTCCTCCCCCCAATCAACTTAAGTAATTTTATTTCTTTTTCAATTTTAATGCTTGCAAGTTAACTTAACTTTTTACAAAAAACATTTTCAAAAACTATTCTAAATTTCTNCAGTGGGTATTTTAGGGCAATTTGTTTTTAGGGGTTTTTTAGGGTTATTTGTGAATTTTACTAGTTTAATTTTGGTTACGTTCTAATATCAAATTTTATAACTGAGTGTGTGAGATGTTAATATGAAAATCAATATGTTAAACCAAAACAAAAAGGTTAAGATTTAATTTTAGAACTTAACCCCTTTGTTGAATGTAACAAGCTATTACTTTGCTCGATGAACCTGTATGTTTGAATTTGGATTCTAATTATTTAAAATTTTTAATGAGCATGGTTTAAAAATAATGTCAAAGGATAAAGAAAAAAAGAAGTACGTACAAAAGTACAAGAAAGATTGGGAACACGAAAAGCAGTTTAAAGGTAAATTAATAGTACAATTGTTAGTCCTTTTTTTTTTAATTATCAGCACATTATTAATTTGTTGATAATAAAACATTAAAAAGTATTAAGGCAAACGTTTTCTATACATTATTTAACTTTTGTACTATTTTTTAATACTTATACATTAAGTTAAAAATTTTGGGTTTTTTAAAATTTTTTTAGGGGATTTTACAACGCTATCTGGGGATGAATGGTTATCCTCACCTGGCAACACTATAGTTAATACTCCAGACCAAACTCCAGTACTTGCAAACCAGAATCATGATTTTTACTGAGATTAGTAGAGATAATTTGTGCTTTAATTCCATCTAACTTTTAAATAGTGAAATATTCTTTTCAGGCCTCTAATTATTAAGATTTAAGTAGAAGTTAAAATTTAAGATTAAGTTAAGATTTAAATAGTGGGTTTAAAAATGAGAGATAGGAAGAAAAAAAATGGTTCATAAAATATTTAAGAAAATGTGATTTACTCTGCTTTATCCAATGATTAAATAAATAGTATAAGCACTCTAATTTTATTGTTACAAAACGAAATTTTCAACAATTTTACATTTCTTTTTTCAGTTTCCTTTCAAGTTTTATACAAAATAAAAACTACTAAAGTTTTTGAAAGACCTAAGCCAAGAAGTATAGATGAGCTTGATGAAGATCCCTTTGCCATTGATAATGTGGCTTTTTGTAAAGACTCCAGGATTTTGGTTGTTGCTGGATCCAGTGGTCATGTTATTGTATATAATTTTAAAAAGAATGATGCCTCTGTTGACCTAAGCGTAAGTCCTCTTTTTTTTCCTCCCCCCAATCAACTTACGTGATTTTATTTCTTTTTCAATTTTAATCCTTGCAAGTTAACTTTTCTTTTTACAAAGAACATTTTCAAAAATGATTCTAAATTTCTATATTAAGGGTAACCATTACAGAACACATGGTGTTGTGGCGTAACTACCACTACGATTATTAAACATCAATTCACTGGTATATAAGACATGCTAACTTGATTCAATCTTGAGGTTCCTTTTGATAGATCAAGGTTGGCATTGTCGATAAATCCGCCCCTACATTGGTGACTTGGATGTGAAGCGAATACGCCTATCTTTACAGTAACGCCTACTTTGATGGATGGTCCACATTGAACAGTTGACTATCTACTTGTGACTGCGACATTATCCACCTCCTCACGCTGTTGCTACTCAGTCTCGTCTCGATCAAACAAAACGTCAGCCTGCATACACTCGACTGCTAAATGCAACACAGGAGCGACTACGACTGTGAAGTTTATACACCTCTCACATTCAGCACTAAGAAAACCCGGTGACCTTAATCCAGCTCTCCCGGTCTTTCACAAGTACAGCAACTAGTGGAATCCGTTCATCGAATTCTATCCCTGATAAAATTCTGGTGGGAGAGTATTGTGGCGTAACTACCACTACGATTATTAAACATCAATTCACTGGTATATTAGACATGCTAACTTTATTCAATCTTGAGGTAAATTTGATAGATGAAGGTTGGCATTTTCGATGAATCCGCCATCCACATTGGTGACCCGGACATGATGCAAACACGCCTATCTTGACAGTAACGCCCACTTCGATCTGGTTACGCCTACTTCGATGAATGGTCCACATTGAACAGTTGACTTGCTACTTGTGACTGCGACATTATCTACCTCCTTACGCTGTTGCTACTTAGTCTCGTCTTGATCATACACAACGTCAGCCGGCATACACTCGACTGCTAAATGCAACACAGGAGCGACTACAACCGTGAAGTTAATACACCTCTCACATTCAGTACTAAGAAAACCCGGTGACCTTAATCCAGCTCTCCCGGTCTTTCACAAGTACAGCAACTAGTGGTATCCGTTCATCGAATTCTATCCCTGATAAAATTCTGGTGGGGGAGTATTGCGGCGTAACTACCACTACGATTAATAAAAATCTATTCACTGGTATATAAGGCATGCTAACTTGATCATGAGGTACCTAAATTTATTTTTTGAACTTATTAATTTTTTCTAACTGAATCAAAACTCTTTTATGAGAGAATTTTAAATTAGCTTTTTCAATGGAATCATGGCGTTTATTTTGATATACAAAATGTAGAAAAATTGAGCTTTAGTTTAATGAGTTAATGAGACTTAATACACTATCGAATTAGTTTTTATGTAAGAATGACAAAATAATAATAACTACGTGCTGTAGACTAAAAATATATCATTGTAGAAAATGCAGTTAATGTGATTATCATTCTTTGTTTTGATTGCATCCCAAAAACAACATTCATTTACTTTAAATTCCTTCTGAATAAGTCTCAGTTTATATTTAAAAACAATTACAGTTTTAAAAAGAAGTAGACATCAAGAAATACAGCACTTTTTTAAAAAAATAAATAACTAAGCTTGTCTAAAAATCATTATAAAAATACATGTACANAAAGTTACTGCTCTTGCCCTTCAAGCAGGATATGGGCTGTATGATTTTACCTCATACTATTAACTTTGCATGGTATTTATGTTTAGAAAAGACACGTATCTACATTTTTCTTTTTTGAAGTCAGGGTATCCGCTCTCCTGGAAAGTCATGGATTTCGGTATTGAACAAAATTTGTCATGAAATTTTACGATTTTTACTACTTTTTCAAAAAAAAAATCATGTTAAGTCATAGATTTAGGTCGCCGAAGAATCTAATTTTTAAAATGGAATTTACCCCCTCCCTCCCCCCAATTTCAAGGTGTTCCGAATATCTGAATTTGTGACAAAATCCCCACTCACAGTCATATTTGATTAAAATATAAAATGTTTTTATTGTGTTCTTTAAAAATTATGGTGTTCTTTCAAACAGAAAAAAACATAATTTCTAGAGCGAATTATCTTTTAAACTTTTGTGATATCATAATTTTTGTTATTATTTGTTTTTTTTATTTTATCAATTTAAATCTAGCTGAAGAAAGTCAATCATTAACGAATTTTTTTTTAAATTCCGAAATGAGAACAGAAAAATCAGGAGTATTTCTTTCCTTTCCGATGATCAAGAAAGGTATCTTTAGAATGCAATTCTGCAGGAAAAAAAAATTTTTGCTTTTGTATTTTCTTCAGCTATTTTATTGCTTCAGCTCTTTTTTTACTCAGTTTTTTTAAATTTAAAATCTATAAATATGAAAATGCAGAGTATAACAGTTTTGGTTATACCTATCATTTCAATGAATGTTATTATAATGCTTTTTTAAATTTATTTTGTGTTTTTTCGAAGAAAATAGTAACTTCGATAAGTCATGAATTTAAAAATCTAAAATGTAGCAGATACCCTGGAAGTTCCACTGCTTAAGAATTAATAGGCAAAAAGGCTCTGTAAGCATGACTTAGTCAAACTGAAAATCTATCATAAACAGCATCTATTGTATTCAGAACAAAAAATTAACTTATTGCATGCTTGAATATATTTTAACTTCATCACATAATCATGCCTTTTCCAGCGTATGATAACTGAACTTCAAATAAAAGCACAATAAAAAAGAACATTGCTTTTAATAAAATTTGCAAAAATTTGATACTATCAAATGTTTGCCTTCCATTAAATTTCAAACAAATTGTTTAACTATCTTTTCTCTAACAACATTCAATGCCTTAGCGAAGTTTTATGGAAAATATATATGCATATCTAGGTTGTTATATAAATATTAGTTATAAATGTGACAATTTTTTCTATTTATAATGACCTTTTAAAATCTTATTAATTCAAATGTCATTTTAATTAGTACGTGAAAATCTCACTATAGTGAGATTTTTCACGTACTAATTAAAATATAGTAGTCATAGTGAGTTTTATGATTTTACAGAATTCTATTAAATTTCAAACAAACTGTCTACCAATACTGACTGCCCTAAAGGCTGCCTTAGTCAAGTTTTTAGGAAAATATATATTCATATCTAGATTGTTATCTAAATATTAGTTATGATTATGGCTATTTCTTCTATTTATTATGACTATTATATTTGAAAACATATTGCATTTATATATATTTTATTGTAAAAACTTAGATAACATCTTTGCATTTTAAATTTATGAATTTAATTGCAGAGTGGCATATGGGAATGAGAACGGACTTGCCATTGTGGACATTGTTCAAAAAACATGCCTACTAAACATGACAACTCCTGATCTCTATGGTAAGAAAAATTATTTTAATACAATACTAATTAAAGTTTAATAGAAAAGTAAAGTATTTTGTTAACTGATATATATTATCTTAGTTGTGTATTAGATTAATTTTATATGTCATATTTTATTTTAATATGTTTTAAATACCAATGCATCATATAATCAATATCATTATTTCACTATTAAAAATACATTATCAATTGATTAACAAAATGATTCAGTAAAAGTTATTCAGTTCAAAATGATTTTTTCTTCATATATACTTTTAGCATGTACAGTGTGCAAAAATATAAACGGAATACCCTGATGTTATTTTAAATTAGAAAATCAGAGACGAAAACGTAATTTCTTGTAATAAACATACCTTTTATCTGTTGGATTTGAATTTCTAAGTGACAAAAATATGGGGGGTAGCCACAATCTAGAGAAAGGTTGTAAGCTTGGACCCCTTAATATTATTTTTTTCTTTCTGCAGATTTTGTTGAACTTTTTAAAAGAATTGAAAAGTACTTGCTCATTTTTATAAAATTGCATACCTTTATAAAATTAGTTATCTAAAGAAAATTCCAAACAAAAAATAATTTTTAATAATTATTTATTTAATAATAATAAAAAATTGAAGTGTAAGGGATATAAATTTTAAATCGTTTTAAAGAATGTATATTTTAATTGACAAAATATAAAATTTAAACGAAATGGGTCAAATATTTTAAAAAGCCGTATTTTTAAAAATCGATTTCTCGGGAACTATTCAACTTATTTTGTTTAAACACTATATTTTGCTATTTTAAAATTACATTCTTGAAAATGATCTAAAAATTTATATGCCTTACAATTCAAAATTTTTCGACTATTATCAATTAAAATAATAAATGCTAAATAATTACGTATCAAAAATAATTTTTTGTGTGGAAGTGTTGTTATTGTGTGCAATGTTTTTTTAAAAATTCACTTGAATATTTCTCGATATGGTTAAATACGCAAAAAGTACAACATTAAGGAGTTCAAACTTTTGATCGCTCTCTTGACCCAAACTATTGGAGAGCAAGATTTTACAAACTGCGAGTACATACCCCCCCCCCTCCAATATTAGGAAGGTTAGAAATCCAAATCTGTTAATAAAAAAGGTTTGCTTATTCAGAGAAAGTACGTTTTTATGTCTGTTTTCCTGAGTTAAAATTCTTGATGTCACTCCCCAGGAACCCTTCGTTCTAGTACGTGAAAATCCGATCATTATACCAAAAGTTCGGGTGCTCCTTTTTTTGTGCTTGCAATGTGCATCCTGTATAATAAAGTATTTAAGACTAAGTTCAGCAAATAATTTTTTTCCCAAGCGCAATCCTTATCTGTAAGTATCTCAACAATCAATCAGTCTAATTTAATTCAATAGTTACTAATTTAATTCAATAGTTACTAATTTAATTCAATAGTTACTAAATGTTAGAAGATGTTACTCTTTTGAGAGACATTTAAATTATTGAAGCCAAGTTCGACCTTTATTCCATGGTTTTAAACTCTTATTTCTTCATTTTAATTGCAAGTAATTTATATCATTTTAAGTTAATTGAATATTCACTCCATATCTATTAAATAATCAAATAAATTTTCATAGGTTAATAAAATCAATAAAATATATTTTTTTATGAACTCAATTTCTGCCCGATATAATGATTTTGGTTTATATACTCCGTATGGACATTTCAGGATCAGCCGACCCTTATCAAAGACTACCTAAATCTCCTAGAAGGACAAGCAGTTGTGCTAATTCAAGCTGTGATCAAGATCCTGGGCGCTCTCCATGTGAGGAGGTATCATTAAATAAACATTTTCAGTATATCATAACATTCTTAATACATAATTCTTCCAGTATATTATAACATTCTTAACATTCAGTATATCATATTCTTAATGCATTCATAGCCTCAATTATTGGAGCTTAAGAAAGCAAAATTAATTTCAAATGATATTTCATCCAATATTATGTTCTAAAATATACTACCTCTAAAAATGAAGCTGATCCCTGTCCTGACCAGAATAAGGCAAATAGAACCTTCGTTTTTATTCTTCTTTGATTCACAATTTGTAATAAATATTTAAGTGCAGGATTGAAAAAAAATTTTTAGGTTTTGTTATTAAAACTAATTATTTTTACCTTGAATAACTTAAAAGTTATTTTTGGCTAAAATAATTCGTTTTACAAAGGAGCTTTTAAAATACTCACCAAAATGTATGATTTAATAGCAGCAGTCTGATGGCGATGGTGCCTGTTTGAGTCCAACAAGTAGATCTCATCCTCATCGAAGATCCATGCATGCTGAAATGAGGCATGCCCGATCTCAAGGTATTTAATTCAGTATTTTCTAAGTATACATTTTAGTGTGGACACGAATTTTGTAATTCAAATTTTGCCATACATTTAAAACCTCATATCATGCAATAACATAATAAGAACAGCAGAATGATTAAAAATTTATTTTCAGCACAGTTATATTTAACAAAGATGCTTAAGATTATTTTACCTCAAAGATAAAGGAGAAGTTTCTCTTTTACTTGGAACTTTTTGTGATGATGATCAAATTGTGCAAACATTTTTACAAGGTTAACTTAAAGTTTAGAATGATTTGAAGAAAATAAAGTATCAGTAAAAAGCACTTCAAAATAGTTTTGTCGAACAAAGTTTACCATTCTTCATTTATTAAGTAGATATTTAAATGAAACTTTTCTCACCTTTGTTTTTATCCTTAATTTTTTAAAAAAGGTTTCTGTTACTGTAAAAATATTTCCTTGCTGTTTCTGTTTGAATATATATTGTGATGCCATTATAGGCAATACCTATTTCCTAACTTTTAAATTTATTTTTATTCAATTTTATAAAGAGCGAATGTAAATATTCTTACCTTCTAATAAATATAGCATGTAACTTTTTATTTCAAAATACAAGTGTATAACTAATTATTTATTTTTTATAACAAGTAAATATTGAAATCTATTCTTAACCTTTCTTTCTTCAATCATATTTAACAAACTTTCTTCAACCGATTAACAAACGCTATTAGGTAATTTCCAACAAACTTTTTGGCATTAAATTTACAGTCATCATTTAGGGGTTGGCCAATTTTTGGATCTCTCCCCTTGCCCTCCCTTAGATATTTGTTTTAAAAAAATTATAATATTATTATTACATGTGTTCTTTTCAGTATTTGTCAGGTTAAATATTTTGTCCAGCTCAAAAAATTATGTACTCCTGAAGAGTATATCTTAGAATAAGGCCATTGTATGTATAAGTCTTTTCATCATATTTTCACTTATCATATATTCATCGCATTCCTTGCATTTAATGAACAGATGTTAGTTAAAAGGTTCAGAAACATTTCTTTCAGATTGTAATAGTTTTGGAAATTCAATTAAGAAGTCATTTGTGAAATGCTGAAATTGAATAATTTATAGTGACTAATCCTTTCATCTTTTGATTGTGGGGCAAAAATATAGTGCAAGTCATTTTTATAATAAGTTTAGTTATATAAGGATTGTGTTCTATGAATAAATCATTGGAAGCCAATTTATATACTATATCAATTCCATGTATCAAAATATTCTTTCACTCTAATATAAAGAGTTAAAGTAAAAAAANATCCAAGTGGTCACCCACCCGCACACTGACCGTAGCCAGTGATGCTTGACTTCGAAGTCATTTGTGAAATGCTGAAATTGAATAGTTTATAGTGACTAATCCTTTCATCTTTTGATTGTGGGGCAAAAATATAGTGCAAGTCATTTTTATAATAAGTTTAGTTATATAAGGATTGTGTTCTATGAATAAATCATTGGAAGCCAATTTATATACTATATCAATTCCATGTATCAAAATATTCTTTCACTCTAATATAAAGAGTTAAAGTAAAAAAAATATCAGATGTGTTTATTTTACACTTGCAATTTTTTACTATCCAAACTTGTCTCATGGAATGAAAAATTTTGCTGTAAAATTATATCTATCTTTATACAAAATAAGGGTTGTGTATTATAATAATTTGCTTTTATCAAACAGTAACAAACTGTCTAGATACATGTTAAATAAACTAAATTGCTTATCACATTTTCTTTATTTTAGAAATAACTCTACTTTTATGCCAATTTCATTAATAAATTAGTAGTGTAAATATTAAGAATGGAAACAAAAAAGCCAGTAAGTGCTAAATTGAGAATTGCGAGAAAAATATATATATCAAACTTATAACAACAATGCTAATTAAAAATAGCAGGTATACAATAAGATAGCTAAATCAAGGTAGCTAAAATAAAATAAACTAATAAACTTTCAAATTTATTTTGATTCAGTAGCATTTAAATCTTTTTTATCAAGTATTAAAAAAGATTAGCATTTACATCTTTTTTTAAAATTCCATTCTTCATATATTTTAGCAGTTCAGTTCACTCTTAATAAATTTTGCTTTCTGTAACTTATAAGCTTTTTCAGAGAAATTTGAAAACACATTTTCAAGATCAAGGAGCTCCAGTACTTCAAGTATTAAAGATATTAATACCGAAGAAGCCCCTGCATCTGAATATGTTGTCTTTCTAAGATTCTGTGACTCTTATGGTGGAAAAACTGGTAAATACTTAATTACATACAACACTATTTCTGAGTCTAACAAATTTTGTTTCAAGAGATGTAGTAACAACGGTTTCGAAAGAGGGAAGCAAATTCTAATATAATATCTAATTTTAATGCATATTATTCGTATCATAACCATCAGCTTTATTCATTAATCGTCAACATATGTTTTCCTTTAATCCAAACTAAGTTCTCCACATTTTGTTTGATTAGTATCTAAAAGAGCATGCTAGCATGAAAGTTTAGTTTACTCTTACTAAATGGAATCAGTACATCACTTTTGCATTGAATAAAATAAGAAGAAAGCCCCTTTTTAATGAAAAAGCGATCTGGATGTAAATTAGTGGGGTGAAAGGAATCCAACTCACTCGGGAAAATCTTTTTTTAATGCATATAAAGCTTTATATAGTTGCAAGATTTCTCTGGCCATTCAATCTGTTAGCATGTGGCAATAAATATGCAGCGAATACTTCCTTTTTGTTATATTCAGCATTGACTTTTACATCTTTATCAGTTAATTTCAGAGATAATTTTCCGTTATTTGACACTGCAGCCCAAACCATTATAGAATCCTTGTTGTGAAAGTGTTGTACAGTTTGAACACTTTCAGGTATATCATCAAATGTTGCTGAATATATAACATTTATTTTAGCATTATAACTGTTCCATGCAAAATATTTTCTCATCAGAAAAGATTATTTTGCCAACACTTTTGCTTACGTGCTGGTTCAGCAATTTCCTACAGCTTTGAAACCTTTTTAACTTTTGGCCAGTTGTCAAACCTTGGACTTTTCATTTGCGATAACGGCAAAAACCCAGGTCTTTATTTATTATAACTTGCATACGTTTCTTCTGCAGCCACTTTATTAACAAAACATTGTGGATTGCGTCATATCGTTTCATGAATTCTATTAATGCGCTCTTTTGTACGAACTGAGCGTTGACGGCCATACCTGGATCGATCTTTACTGCTATTTAGTATCCAATAATCAATTTATAGTTCTATATATAAATGTTCTACTAAACCCAAGGGAATTTAATCTCTTAAAAGATTCTACCTGCAGAAAATCTGCAATCAAAAAGCTTTTTAATTATCAACCTTTTTGATTCCATCTTTAAACTGATTTTATTTTGCTTTAAAAAAAATCGTCTGCACTTATAGGAAGTACCACTCAAGGAAATAAGAAGAGAACAATTGTTTTACCAAACGATTAAAATTAATTTCTATTTTTTGGAGTGTTACAGCATTTAGTAGCCACTCTGTACATCATTTTCCATGGAGTATCTGGCTATCACAGAGATCTTTGGTTTTAACCCTGCTAACAACCAATAAAAATTTTCTCCCTCACCCCCTCTTCAAATATGAATTAGTATTCATGCTAGACTGAACAATATACATATAAAATACAGTAAATGACTAACGAAACATCCGTAATCAAAGCAAAATGATTAAATTAGGGATAGTTCCTTCAGTTAATTGGTAAACAATTTTGTAGGTAAACAACATAAATTTTAACAAATAATTGGTAAGTATTGAAAGTGAATCTTATATCTATACTGATTCGATTAATACTATTTTAAGTAAAATAGAAAATGTTTTCTTTAAAGTTAAAATATACAAATCATTAAGGATTCAAATAGTTACGGGTTTGAATAAATGTTAAAATTATTAATTCAAAATTCCGAACCGGAATAAAACAATTTCTCCAAATATGAGAAGATTTACTTTATGTTTTAAATATATTTATTTTAAAGTTTCATTTAGTCAAAAAATGTGCTTATTTATTTGCAGACAGTTGTCCAAGTCCTAGCCTATGGGTTGGAACGAGTTTAGGGTCTGCTCTTGTCTTCTTACTCATTCTGCCTCCTCCAGGAGAAACTCGCCTAGTACAACCCGTCATAATATCACCAAGTGGTAAGATTACACATTTTTAAATCTATCTTGTAAATAAAATCATATATTATTACTATTAAATTTGGAAAACTATAGATTTTTAAGTTAATCTTATATATTAAGTCTAATCTTAATGCATAAAATGTTTATTCAAAATAGCTTATTTAGTATAATTATTCACAATAATAATTCTTTATATAATTATAGGAATAGTTATATTTTTAGCTGCGTAATAAAATAACTTTTAATGTGGTAATAAAACAAACAAAAAAAATATAATATATTTTTCTACTGCAAAATATGTTATTTGTCAACATTAACATAAATTATGAACTTGACTTAATATTTTAAACAATTGAGAAAAGTTTTATGTTAAGACTTTCTATATTAACTTTGTACTAAAACTTCGAAGCCTCGGGGTTTCTTCCAATAGAGAGTAAGTTTCTGGGAAACCTTGGGAGATCCTTCTGGCATCCTGTCTTCCGAAAAATCTCCCTAGAACTATCGGTGAATCATCTTTCCGATTGTTGACGGGGCACGATTACTTACAGGTGCACTTGCACCGTGTTGGTCTTTCTGACTCTCCTAACTGTACTCCATGTGCAAATAGGGCCCATATGAATGGCGGTCATCTATGGAACTGCTCTGCCCTCCAGGAGGCCCGTAATTCTTCTAGTTTCAAGACGCTCTTCGCCCCTGGAGATATTTCTTTGTTATATTGGACTGCAAGACTTCTCATGCTCGAGAGAGCAAATGATGGACGTAATTAAAAAAAATATATATTAACTTTGTAAGTGATTGAACTATTCTCTCAATCTAAAATAGGAGACAAATAGTTGCATGGAAATGTATACATAATTCCAGTATAAGAGGAACACTCAATATCGATTATTCTTATTCCTGTTCTATGAATATTAAACAAAAGAAATTTATGATTCATCCGCAACATTATGATTCATTTCACTCCATTCAACTAATAATATTGAAAAATCTTTCTATAGTCTGAAAGAACTCCTTAACTATTTTGAAAAAGGTTTATGAAATCTTTTTTCCATATAAATTTCCTTTTAGGTACGATTTATCGTTTGAAAGGAGGAATCATAAACATTTCATTCCTTGACGCTTCTGGCAATGTGATACCCGATGCATTAGAACAAGTTAAGGAAAGAGATAAAGAAGAAAGAAAAAGTAAGAATATATCTTTATTTGAAATTTGCTTGTAAAACCAACGACATTAGGAACTATTAAAAATTATATTATTCGTTTTTATTAAAATAGGTAAAAATCTTTCCAATTTGATTAAATTACTGAAATATAGCAATTCATGAGGCTGGGAATTTAGCAACTAGTGCACAAAAGTTAAGCATGCATGTAATTCCATATAGTTCTTTATATAAAAAGGAAACATTGTTTTTTATTATGAATAACAGGGCTGATTGTACTCCGGAAAAAATCCGGATTTCCAGAATTTTCCTGAGATCGAAGGCCCAGACGTTTCAAAAAATCATTGACCACAGAAGTTCCGGAAATCAAATTTTCAAAGGTGGAACTTAAATTCAGTGGGTGGTACAGTTTATGCAGTTTCAGTAAAGGTGGAACAGTTTATTTTATTTGTTTGTAGGGATAGCCAGAGAGATACTTTATAACTGATATTCATAATTAATATTCATTTTTTATCAGTAAATAGTTGTTATAATCATAAAATCAAGAAAGAAAGACATATTTGTAAATTTTAATTACTTAAGTCATCATAGGTATGTGTAAATGGTATAGGTATGTGTAAAATTTTTAATATATTTTAAGTNTTTGGACAGCACGGTTTAAACCGTGGATTAATCCATTCTGTCCTAAACCTTGCCAACCCTGGTTAAAATGGCTAAAAATCTTTCCAATTTGATCAAATTACTGAAATATAGCAATTCACGAGGCGGGAAATTTAGCGACTAGTGCACAAAATTCAAGCATGCATGAAATTCCATATAGTTCTTTATATAAAAAGGAGGCATTGTTTTTATTATGAATAAGCCACATTACATATTTATTACAAATCAAAACTTATTACTTTGTTACATTTATTGTCATTTTCTATATTTATATATGTTATTAATTTACACATCTTTTTCCTAAGATACTTTTAGTTGAAAAATATTATGCTATCATTTATAGTTAGAATATCTTATTAATTCATAATTAAACTTCAAAATTGTCTATTTAATACACAAGAAAATGAAACAATGGTGCTTCCTTTTAGGATTGACAAGTCGTCCCTCTTCGTCTTCCTTAGACCGCAGAGAAAAACAGTTTGCAGTCTTAACTTCAGAGAGGCGCTCTCATGTTATAGTTTTACCGTCTCAAACCGCATTGTACAGAAATATAATTTCAGATACATCCTATGCTATAAAAGCAGATGTTACTTCCTTAAAAGATTTAGGTAAGACTTAGTTTTCATGTAATATTTTTTAAAAATAAATTATGTACTTATTCATTTAAACCAATATGATTTTATTAAATCAATATGATTTAAATTCTTTTAAAGACAGATTTAAATATAAAGTTTTTGGAAACTTTTGAATAATAAATCAAGCTTTAATTCAATTTTAAAAATAAAATTTGAAATTCTTAAATTTGTAATTTTGAAATTTCAAATTAATATAATAGCTTTAGAATACAAATTTATTCTGATGTTTTAGAAAACTTTCATGTTTTAGTTTTAATACTGATGATGTTAATAAATAGTGGGTAAATTAACTATGTTTATGCGTTCTTATTTGTAATTAGATATTTTTGTTGATATTGTTGCTGAAATTAATTTTCACTTTTTGAGTAATCAATTTGTTGGTAACTCTAAATAGCGGTCACTTATTTGCACTGGACACATATGCATGTTCTTACAAGGGACTGTTCATTGGAGCTTTTAATAAATTTAAATGTGATTTTTAAAAATGTTATAACCTATAGCCAGACTGGCTATTCATCAAAACAGATTAATATTGACAACGTAACAAAACATTCTTTAGGGGCGAACAAGTCTTCATTAGACTTTTTTTTTCATAACAAATCTGTTATTTTATAATAATAAACTACTTTTATATTTTATTTCAAAACACTAATGTTTTTACTATTTCAGGATCAAGTTTAGTGTGTTATATTGCCACTGGCCATGTAAATATTTATAGCCTACCTAGCCTACGGCAGTTACATCATGTAGATTTTTTACCTGTAATTAATATGAAGTAAGTTGGTTCTTTTTTTAAAAGTAAAAAAAAATTTTTTTTGCAGAAATATTTATTTTTTTCCATACTAAAATTGAAAATAATTTCAAAGATCTAAAAAGATGAATGAAAATAATAAATTAACATATTGTAATAAAATGTTTAACGTGTCTACACAATTTGACATTTGGTTATAAAATCTTTAATTGATACAAATTATGTAATGTTAAAATTTCATTTATGTTTTTAAAAATTATAACAATTAAATCCTTAGATGAATCAATTTGTCACAAATAAAATCAAAATTATTAATTATAATTAAAAGTTAATGTAAAAATCTTTAAAAAAATTCATATAAAATATTTTGTAAATTTTGAATAAATAAAATATTTTTTTGTGATTTCAAAGTGTACCGGAAACTAAAACATACCTTTTTTTTTAAACCTTTTTAAAGGCTTTAGCTGCAGTCCTATTTCACTACTCTATTTAATAATTTTTCAGTTTGTCATATTTACTAAATTTATATTTTTTGCATAAGTTAATTGCCTTTATTGAAAAGCTAAATTATCAGTGGCTTTTTTCGATTGCATTTTTAAAAAATTCTCACAGGAAGTAATTTTGATGAGAAAACACAGGTTTTAAATTAAAAATTTTAAATTTTTTATTAATTCATGAAGAAAACAGGTCACGGTTATATGTTAAATAGCATATCCCATAATCAAGGTCTGCTGCCACACATGCACTCTTAATCAAAATTTCAATTTACAGTATTGCTTAAATACGGCTAAAATTTTTTGATAATGCGCTCAATTTTATCCTTTAAAGTGGTAGATCATGAACTTGATAGCATAAACCTTAAACTTCAACCTTCCTCACTCCCAAGAAAAAAAATTCTATCAATGTTAAATTTCTGAACCTGTGTAGGCAATTCTGATCATGCACAGGGGAAATTACAAGACCAGGAGCTGTTTGCTTCATTTTTAATAGAAATTTTTTTATAAAATTAATAAATTAATAAAATACTCAATGAACTTGAACTATCACTCTAGTCTTTTTTTAAAAAAAAAACATTGTAAAACAAAAATATTGCAAAATTCAAATCTTGCACAAATTTTCGGATACTCTTCACTTATGTCTAAAATTATAATACTATTAAAATTGATTAATGAATAGAAAAATGCTATTTCAGGCAGAGTTGGGCAGAGTCCTTGATTCATAGTAGTAAATTGTACCAAATGACCAAGATTACATGTAATCATTTTTGCTCGCAATCATGATTGAATCGCAATCCATAAATGTGATTACTTGTAATCAATTATATCATGCCCAACTCTAGTTTTAAATCACACATTTATATCTTGAATTAAAAAGGAATTATAAACAGATTTGAAAGAAAATTTAAAATAAAATTGAAGAGTATTTACTAAAAAAAAGGTGAAAGTATCAATTTAAATTGATAGAGAAATGTGAGACAATGAATAACTTAAGTGAATTAAATTAAAGTTATTTAACCACCAAGATCTCAGAAGAAACTAGCCAATTTTTCCCTAAAATACATGATAAGACAAATCTTAAGCAGTCTACACATCTACATCTATATTATATTCATAACTAGAAGTTATTATAAATGTTAACAGAGAACCACATATGGAATTGAATAATAGCAAATATTTTCTGATTTATATAGAAATTTCTCAAGATTGGCTAGAACATTTTGTATTAGCGCAAATGGCCATGGCTTATATCTTTGTTCTCCATCAGAAGTGCAGAAGTTTTCTATATCTGCAGGATTTAGGTCAGTAAAGGTTTTTGATTCTATTTTTGAAATTCTGTTACCAATACTTATCTTTATATTTAAATTATTTTTTGCGCTTGAAATTATTTACAACAATTATTACAACTTAGTAACCTAATTACAGTTGAACTCATAACAAGATTTTTTTAATGCTTACACTAAAGAGAAAAAAATCTGTAAGCATGAAAAATTTCACAGTAAATTCGAGTTATGTTTGTAAAAGCAAAGTTAATATAGTTTTCTTAACCATCTACAACATCCATAAAACCATCCATTTATTAAAAATTTCCTCATTAAATATCGTTGTTTTTTGTTAAATGAGAGCTCATAATACGCGAATAACTTGATTATATTAAACTAATGCTAACATTCAACTTAGAAAATTGCAATCAATAATTTAAATACTGATCACAATTTTGAAACAAAAAAAAATGGTTTTTGTCTAAATTTATATAAGAGGAAATTTATCATTTTTAAATACATTATCTTATTGTGCAACATTTGGTTTAAAGTAATAATTTAGTACTGGATTAGCAATATCTGATCACAAGTAAAGGTTTATTTTCAATTTAAATAGTAGGCCCAATTTCAGAAAACTTAATTTTATTTATTAATTATTTGGTATTTCTGTGCAGAAATATGCTTCATGAAATGAAGGGCACTCTGTTTCTCACCAAAGAAATGCCAGAGCCTCCGAAACAGAGCTTCTTTAAAGGATTATTTGGTGGGGGACCAAGTATCTTGGACAAAGAGGAATTATGTAAGAAATACTTATACATATCCACTTAAAATATATCCTTATTGTATTAAAAAAAACATTAACTACAACTTTTTTTACAGTTGGTGAAGCTAGTGGTAAAAGCTCAAAATCTGTTGCTATGCATTATCCTGGAGGAAAAGTGGAACAAATGAAAGCTCAAAGCTCTACATTATCTGGTGATTTGCTGAGAGCTAGACAGGTAAATTTATAGTTCATTCTGAACATATTCATGTATTTTAAAAAAAAATTAATTCTAATTGGTCAAACTATGTTTTTAAATAACATGAACATTTTCTTAATAATGCCCAACAAAACACATGCTTTAAAATCATTAATTAATGTTTTGTTTAATCTTTTGAGAATTGTGTAATCACCAAATAATAAAAATAGACACAATTGCATTAAAACTAATCATAAAATCTACAGATCATTATTCTCAATATCACAAAACTGATTACAGCATTTATTAGACTACAGAATTTCATCACACACAACTTTAGCATGTATCCTGTCTTATTTATCTGTCAAATGGCACCGCACTATTGTAGGAATGCCACATAATTTTGACATCAGTAAGATGATGTAGACCATTCTCAAATTGTTAACCTATATCTTTAAACTTCCTCAACCACAAACCAAATCAAAACCCCAGAGAATTTAATGTGTATACATATCAGCTGTTAAGACCTGCTACCAGGATTAAACTAACACCCTCAACTTTCGACGTAGATTCAGTAAAATATATATATATATATGTTTAGCCAAAATTTAATGCAAAACAAACAATTAATATCAAAGAGCAACATATTACACATAATAAATATCTAATTACGTGAAGATGTTTTTCTATGTTTGTCAAGTGCACAATTATTCAGATGTTGCAAAATATAACACCCTAATATGATCAATTTTCCATTTAGTATATTGCAATTTTAATTGTTCATTAGGACACCTCAAATGAGCAAACTATTATTTAAAAAATAATCAGACATAAGTTTTTTTTCCTCTGTGTTAAACATGGAAACAAAATCAACATTATAAAACTAGTTTATTCAAAAATAATTTCATGCATACGGTTATAAGGTATAAAAAATTAACAGGATATTCCATAAACATGAAGTTTCCGAGGTACCCTTGTTTTCCCTTAACATTTTCAATTTTAGGTGCCCATTCTCCAATTTAATCAAAACTGTAGTAAAACTGTCTCATTTGATTAAAAATTGACAAAACTGGAATACTTTGTTCTTACAGGCTCTGAATGAAAGAGGTGAAAACCTCAGTAAATTGGAAGACAACACTGTCCAAATGATGACAGAAGCCGAAATATTATCTGACAGGTCACATCAATTGTTGCTCAAATACAGGGACAAAAAGTGGTACCAACTCTGACTTGCATATATTGATCACATTATTAGATTGGAGCTTCTCTATTCATTTGAGCTCAGAACACTCGGGGGCAGATAACGAGTTGCTCGTTTTTAGAAACGAACAGACACCTAGCCCTTTTCTCTGTCAACAAGTCGAGAGGAGACAATATATATATATAACTATATGTTGTGTACATTTTTTCCAAAAATGTTTTTAAATGCTGCAACATTAGTACATCAGGAAGAGACAGATACAGTTATGTGCCACAGGTTGTGAAAGAAAAAGAAACGAATGCAATGTCTTTAAATTTATGTTGACAAAAAATATGTTCTATAATTAGGAAAAGAAAAAAAAATGTTGACTTTGTTCGAAATGCACGAGTGTTTCGATGAAACTTGATGTCTTTCATATTTTCCTAGTCTGATTTAAATAAGAAAATCACGTCAGAAGACTTAAAAAAAGAAGTCAAAAATATATTTGAAATCAGCATTTCATTGTGCACTTGTTATATCATTAACACACATATATCTATTTTTCTTTATTTATTAAAAAAGAAATATGCACTTAATGACAGCACCTAGTGTTTAAATCATATGACCCTATTATCCCAACTGTTAAATTAAGTGGGAAATTAAGACACACTTCACAAGGTGCTTTATAAAAGAATTAAAATTCTAGAATAAAAAGATTTTTTTTTAAAAAAGCCATCTGTCTTTCCTTATTTCTAATTAAAATTCCTGTTTTAATAAAAAGGTGTTTTAAAAACATGACCAGTGAGACATCATGTGAATCCTTTGGTACTAATAGTAAGTGATAGACCAGAGAAAAAAATAACTCTTGTGAGTTACATCCTTCATTAAATAAAAAATGTAAATACATTTTGAAGAATTCAGAAAACTTAGAGTAATTATAAACTTCTAGAATTAAAAAAAAGTCAAATATTTATATTAGGAAGATCAATATAACTTTAATGGCAATATAGCTTAATAAGATTTCATTTGCTAGTTTTTTTTAAAAAAACATATATATACATATATAAATATATTTTTAAAATAGGAGTAATATGAGCATATTCTCAGGTTTCAAACTTTCCTTAACTGTCTCTTGTTTTATTTGCTTTCAAAATTTTTGATCAAAACTTTTTTAACTGTTCCAAATTTGGAATTCAAGAGAAAAAATCTTTTCAAATACCTTTAAAACTGTAATAACTGATTTGACTGGTAATCCGTGAAGAGAAACTTAAAAATAACTGATAAAGTAACTGCTTATATTTCATTAAAAATTTGCTGCTTACCATGGAAATTGTGCTGTTGGAATAACATTCATTAAAAGTGTAGTCTGCTTCAAACATACTATAATCTACACTCGTAGAAAAAATAGGCTCAGAACTGCCCAACACACGACATGATATCAAATCTTCTATACAAAACAAGTTTGCTGCAGCCTTAATAAGTGTTAAATTGAATCGTGTTTCCGTTCAAGTTGAATAATTGCATTAATTTTAAGAGTAAAGTAATTGTTTAAATTAGCATCATTTTTAACTTACTACAAAATGATTTTTATGTAGTGTATTTTTATGATCTTTGCAGATTACCAGCCAATAAACTACAAAAAATATGATTAAACATTAAGTTTTTTTTTTTTTTTTAAATTTCTGACTATGTAACTAAACTATTGTAACAGAAATAATCACAATTATGAATGTGACTATTTGTTATATTAAAAAAAAAGGATACACATTAACGTGCACTTATATCACATGGCGTCACAGTAATATCACATAGGGGTCGCAGATCATGACAGTGATTAAAGCTTGTTGTCATTATGTCACACGAATATCACATTCTCCTCCCAAAAATAAAACAACTATAGTTAACTTAGATGTGTCATTCAATGATTTCTAGAAAATGGATATGCAGCTATTTTGGATTTTTTCTATCTATTTTAGAAGGGACTGTATTAAAATATTTCTGCAATTTTTATCTGTTTACAGAGTGTATCATGACATCGAAATTTGTGTAGTTGAATAGCTTAGCTTTTTTTCTTTGTTTCATTTAAGTTTTTATATGGATTTCTGAGTTACAAACCAAAGGTCCAAATGATACATTTGATCATGTTTTTAGAAATGACTGATAAATGGCGATATCAAATTTTTAAATGTTTATATGTGTATAATTTGTTAAATGTTTGTTATTGTTTTACTGTCAATGGTAGAGTTGTTGTTTAGATATCTTAAATTTATATGTGTATATATGAATATATTTATCATTTGTTATATGAAATGATTATTAAACGTTTTGTTTGCGTGTATGAAAAACACCATTTATTCATGTGTGAAGTTTCAGTCTCAGAGCTGAACTAGATTTTTGTCAAAAGTATCACCCATAAATTATTTTAACAAATTATATAATCTGTTTCATTATTTTTTCTCGCTAAGAGTGGAAAAAAATTAAATTATATTTCAAATGACTTATTATTTATAATGGCTTTCAGAGTGAACAAAAATCACAATAAAATTATATTTAAAAAAAGACACTGTAGAAGAGCTGACTGTTATTGATGTTTTTATTGATGAATCAAAGCTTAAATAAAATCTAATGTTTTCATAAACTTTTTGTTTCTTATTCTGAATTTACAATTTTAAGATAGTCTACACATTCTTTAAATAACTTTGGTACTCAGGAATCTGTCTACACTTTTTGTAATACATTCCTGTTTTTGTTAAAAATCCAGTCTTATTTTCTGAATCCAAAATTGGTATGTAATCAGATTTTTTCTGTCAGGATCCTATTTTTGTGAAAAAACTATATCTTTTAAGAAGTTAAACTTATAAAATTCTGAATCATTTCCTATCTTGTATTATTGTTTAAAATAAGGCTCAATTTATTAACTTCAAAATGACTTGGAAGTTTCCAAGCCAAAAATACTCAAGTCAAGTATAGAATGCCCACAAAGAAATTAAACTCTTTTCTAAACTCTCATTTAATCTATTATTTTTGCTGGTCAATGGATGGGAATTTTTTGAGGTAGTTGTAAACAGATTTTAATTAATTTATTGTTACTTTATGTTGCTTAATAACATGTAATGGGGGATTTTGTGTATATTTTAAAACATATTTTTAAATCATACAAGAGCACAATACAGTTTTAAAATCCAATAGTAGAAAAAAAATTTGTGCTATTGATATAGTTACACCATAATGAGAGATTTTTATGTTTAATAACAAATCAGAAAAACTACATAAAAATTAGCTTATAACTTCTGCATTATTAAGAAAGTATGTCAAAACACAAACTACAATTAACACTGGTTCCCCTACCAGTTAACTCTAATTGAAAGCATTTTGAATAGATGTGGTTGAGTCACTTTTAGTTGGATTTCAGAGCGAAGGTACAATGCCACAACAGTTAATGCTTACGCAGTTACCCAGCAAAATCTTTTTAATATAGTCCCTACATACTATTATATAATTAAACAGATCAATAAAAGTCATGAAATACCCTTCATAACTTTTAATCTTCGCATAGAAAATAAACAATGGTATTAAGTTGTTTAAGTATACCGCATATATTATGTTGACTTAAGATTAGACAATCTTCTATTGAAGTTAGTATTATGTAGTGTTAGTGTAGAGTACAGAATTTCAAGAGATAAATGATAAGCATAATTATATGAAATGAATGTAAGTGATAGTCAATCGAGAACAATCTAAATTTGAGTTTATATTAATTAGAGTAAGTGTACATTCAGAAAAATAGTACAATTTTTACAAGTCAAAAATTTTCGAACCTCTATCACTCAAAAGCTCGTTATACTACACCAGGAAGCCAACATCTTCATTATTCTTCAAATATTACAAAAACTAATTGATGTTATGACTTCATTCGCCTGAAAAAAATTTATAAAATCAAACTTGGAAATGTTATTCTAATCTTAAAACAACATCAGTAACTTTACCATCAAATGACCAGATTTATCAACAGAGCATATATTTATTTATTTTGAAGCTAAGCATGAAGAGTAGATTTATTCCTTTTAAGTACACAAGAAATGATGTAGAGAAAATATTGCAACTCATTTCATTTTTCTAATTACTGAGTAAATTCAAATCACTAATCTATACTGATTTAAATATATTCTTAAAAGTTATTGTAAGTCACAACATAATTGATTTGAGAAGATCTCAGAATTGATCTGAAATTCAAATCACTAATCTATACTGATTTAAATATATTCTTAAAAGTTATTGTAAGTCACAACATAATTGATTTGAGAAGATCTCAGAATTGATCTGAAATTCAAATCACTAATCTATACTGATTTAAATATATTCTTAAAAGTTATTGTAAGTCACAACATAATTGATTTGAGCAGAATTGTCTACTATATAACTTTGTTGGTATAAAACAAAGTTCACATAGATAGAATATGATTTACTACACTCATTAACATGTTAGGACACCATTTTTTTATAATTATTACTTAATTATATTTATATAATAATTTAATTTATATATAATATTTTTATAAAGAAGAAAATTCAAATTTCTGCCTTATTGAACAGTCTAACTGCCCCTAACAATCAGCTAAATAAGATACATAATGCAATGATTAATGTGTGACCTTGGGTCATTGCTGTCAAAGTTTGATAGAGTGCAGCCCATCTTACAAAAATTGTATTTCTTTAATTTCCTATTTTAAATGCTTGGCTTTTTTTTTTTTTTAATGTGTTATATTAAGAGCTTATTTTTATAAAGCAAATATAATTACAAATCTGAAATAAATAATTAAAATAGCGTATTTTTTTAAAAAAAATATTAAGTAATTTGTTAAACATTTTAAAGGATTGAAATTTTTATCTAATTCTAAATAGTTGGGATTTTATCAAGTTAATTAGCAACAATTTATAAAGTTACAACACTTTTAAAACATCATATGTTTAATGTTTGACAAAAAATTAAGTTACCTTTAAATTAATTTTTGTACAACATTAATGAGTTATTCTTGTGCATAGCAGACTCATAGACAGTGGTGAAAATACCATTTCTGGTGACAGTGCCAAAATTCCATCTTTGCAATTCCTTTTAATCTCAATGATCTTTGCAAATACTTGCTCTCTCAACTAAAATAAAAAGTGATGCATCCTATTAATGCAAGGAAAATTACAAAAAGATAATTAATGAAAAAAATTTCAATTTCATTTGGGTCTGCGATTCACAGTTTAAAAAAATCCATTTTAGAATATTTTTTACCCCTTATGCTTAATTTATAAAGTCCTTTTTGATTAGAAAAAGTTTCAAACAAAAAGATAACTTTCTAAAACATACAAATACACTAGAATAATTTTTTCAAAAATGTGAAATAAATAATAAAACTTCAGATCTTACTTTTAAACTATTCCAGTGTCCTAACAAGTATGGTGATAACATGTCTGAATTTATCACAGGAAATATAGTACGCATAAAGAAACTTCTAAAAGCTTTCTTTTTAGATTTGTCTCCTCTCTAGAAGTAAAAATAACAATGTTTATATTATATTAATAAAATGTGAATTACATACTTATTACTAAAAATATTACTTAAAATTATTGCACTTTAATTTTTCGGATGCTTTTTTTTTTAGTATAACTGTTTAATTGCTTGCCAGATTTCTGACTGTAATGAAAAATAATCAGCCCTTCCACAAAAAAAATTTTATCACGCACTTTTCAAAATGTATAAAAATTGATCAAAGAAAACATGTTCTTAACATACCATAATTCCAATTTAGTTTGAAAATTTTTCAAATGCTATACTTTCTGACCTCTTGATTTATTACTAGTAATATCATAAATTGACCTTTTTGTGAAAAGTTTAAATAAAAAGCTTGCCAATTTTTATTACATACTACTAAATTTTTATGTTGTAAAACATCAGGTTTTCAATTTCTTCCTCCGAGACACTGGCCACTGCACAAAATGAAAAAAATTATGTCCAATACAAAAGTTTAGGTCTTAGTATTATAAGAATAGTTCAACTTTCAACAAATAAAATTTTTACAAGAAAGTTAAAAACTTTCATTTTTATAAAATTCAAGAATTAACTTATTTAATTAAATGTTATCTAGATTTTTTGCATCGATGTAATCAGTAATAAGTTATGTTTAAATTGGATTTATCTTATATTTTTGAAAATAATTATAAATACTTAAAAGTAAAGCAACTCCACAACAACCTAACAGGAAGTAAAAGCCATATAATGTTTTGACCAGTGAGTGTACTAATGTGGTCAACAGTGTGCTTGAACTGCCCTTACTTTCAATCAAGCTGGAACAAATTGATCTCAAGCTGGATGGGTTTTAAGCAGACACTCTGGATCAAACCTATGTCCTTCACAATGACAGTTTAGTCTTGAATCATTGTGATTATTGATACCCATTGCAATATTATTTTAGGTTTGCTAACCTTTATCCTTTAATAAAAATGTAAAATATTAAGTATGGTAATACATATAAATTTTAACACAATCTAAAACTGTGTGATAAAATTTCTGACACCAAACTCACTTATTTAAATATTTTAAAATAAAATTAGATTAGAAAATATCAGACAACTATAGTAAACTTACAATACTGGAAGACTTGAAAGACTTCATTTCTTCCAACCATAATTTCTGAAAAAGGACAAACACAAAAATATATGTGGAAAAGCTAAAATGATACAAGTTTTAATTTTTTAAAAAAAGTAAATAAATTAGACACTGTTTTTAAATTCTATATTGATGCACAGATAGAAAAAAATCACCCTGAATAACTTATGTTCCAATGGTGCGATTTTCACAAACTAAGTGCAAATCTTAATGATCTCAAGTATATTATAGTGTTGAATATTAATTAATTTATAGAATTAGAGAAAAAAACATACTTTTTCTGAATAAACATAAATGTTTATAAAAGGATTTGGATTTTTGATTCAATGTTGATACATGAAATCAATGTTTACAGAGAAAAAGATAACTAAATTATTTTTTTAAGCAATTATAAATTATTTTAGAGACTTAATTGGAAAAACTGCAGATTTCTTACAACAGCATCTTTGTACTAGCCCCATCCTACGATTTTAGTTTTTGAAGGTTTCAGTATGAATCATAATTATTCTTAGTATCTTATAAAAAAAGGACTAAAGAATATTGAATATCATATATAGCTTGAAATATAATGGATGTTATAAAACATAACAAATCAGCATTACAGAGAGTACAGATAACTAGAATACTAATTTTTTAAACCATTAAAAGCTATTTTGGATCTTAAAAAAAATTCCTAAAACAGTATCTCAATGCCATATCGAGGGAGAAATTTTTCATCAAAAACTCTTTTTTATCTCCATAACTAGTTTAAAGTATAGAAGAAGTAAGTTCAGGCAAACCTAGAGTAAGCTATGAAGTTACAAATGTTGGAAAAAAAATATCAAAATGCAAATAAATTATTGGAAAGAACTTTCCCAACGTGTCTAAGTTATTTTCTCAGAGTTTATTTTTATTTTAATATTTTGAAAATTTCTTTTCCGTATTTGAAACTTCATGGATTATTCTAGGTTCGTCTGAACTCACTTTTTCTATACAATTAAGTTTTAAATTACTTATGGAAGTGAAAGTGAATTTGCAATGAAAAATTTCTCTTGCAGTATAGCTCTCTAAAACAATAGTCTTATTTGTGATTTTTGGTTTTGAATCTTAAAGTATAAACCATAATCATCTTACAAGAAAATAAAGTTTTGAATGAAGAATATTATAGCTAAAATATAAATAATGAATATTGTCAATTGTGACATAGAGAAAATAAGCGTTACAGAGAATTCAGATTTAAAAAAAATTCAAAATTTACCTTAACATTAAAAATGTCCTAAAACATTATCTTGAGTACAAAGCCACATTTTAAAGAATAAATCATAAAGATTCTTTAAATTTTCAAGAAAAAGAAATTTATAAATGCAGAATATTATAGCTGTTATTATGATGAATAAGATATAAAGTTTCCTATCACGAAAAAACAATAGAATTTAATGCATATTAATTTATATAATTACCCGCATAAAATTAAGGATGTCAAGTTCATTAAATATTTTAGGCACACTAGCAAGAAGAGGAGATTGGATGTAATCTGAAATTAGAAACCTAAGTTAATACTAAATTAAAATTCCAGATCAGAAACTAAAAACAGAAACAATAAAAACATGGAACATAAAATTTCAGAACAGAGAGAAATTATAAATTTGAAATCACATCTTTGCCTAAATTGTTTACCTGAGATATTTGTTTCAAAATAAAATGCAATGGAACTTATTTTTACCAAAAGTATTGAAGATTTAAAAGTAATTTGGTTTTCATAATAAATAAAACAAAAATTTNTCCGTCCTCTAAATCAGTTCTTTCGTCAACTCGATACGCCGTACGCTCTAAATAACAAAATGGGCTCAAAATCTTGCAAGGAAAAAAAATTTTTTTAATGGAAGAAAATTAATTTCCGGTTATCTGGTTTTCTGATTTCCGGATAAGAGGTTCTGCACTGTACCATAATCATCTTACAAGAAAATAAATTTCTGTATGAAGAATATTATAGCTAAAAATATAAATAATGAATATTCTCAATTGTGACATAGAGCAAATAACCGTTACAGAGAATTTAGATAACTAAATTATTTTTTTTAACAAGATTAAAAAAAGATTCAAAATTTAAATTAACAACATAAAAAATTTCCTAAAACATTATCTTGAGTACTAGGCCTCATTTTAAAGAATAAATCATAAAGATTCTTTAAATTTTCAAGAAAAAGAAATTTATAAATGCAGAATATTATAGCTGTTATGATGAATAAGATATTTGGTATTCTAAAAAAAGTTTCCTATCACGAAAAAACAATAGAATTTAATGCATATTAATTTATATAATTACCCGCATAAAATTAAGGATGTCAAGTTCATTAAATATTTTAGGCACACTAGCAAGAAGAGGAGATTGGATGTAATCTGAAATTAGAAACCTAAGTTAATACTAAATTAAAATTCCAGATCAGAAACTAAAAACAGAAACAATAAAAACATGGAACATAAAATTTCAGAACAGAGAGAAATTATAAATTTGAAATCACATCTTTGCCTAAATTGTTTACCTGAGATATTTGTTTCAAAATAAAATGCAATGGAACTTATTTTTACCAAAAGTATTGAAGATTTAAAAGTAATTTGGTTTTCATAATAAATAAAACAAAAATTTGTTGTTTAAAGAAATATAAAAATTAAATAGTTAGTTTATAAATAGTAACAATTCAAACATATTTGAATGTATATATATTGAATACATATTCAATTTATTTGAATAAGAATTAAAATTTTTAAAAATTATTATGCTCAGAACTAGTTAACAATAGAAACGAATTTGTATACTAATTTTATAACTGCATTACTTAAAAAACTATATTAAACATTTGTCATAATAAAAGGAAGCCTTTTTGTGTTGCTTTAATAAGTTAAGAACCAATTATGCTAGGGAAGTGAAACTGTGGACAGGTACAAGAAGCAATTTAAGCCCTTAATCCTAAAAACATAACAAAAACTTTCATTTGTCTGTTACAGAGAGAAGTGTGAAAATAGAATTTTTCTCATAAAAAATTAAAATCTGAACTTCATGAATTTGCTACTTAAGTTTTTTTACAATGTAATATAAAAAGGTGAAAGAGTAAAAAAATAAAAATGTTTTTGGAAAATGCAACTTATAAATTGCATAAATTATATTATTGCAGAAAAGATTTTTTAACCATACCTGTGCTATCAAATGCAGATCTTTGCAACAAATCATCACACATTACTTTTCTGTATAAAGAAATAACATTGACACAACTAAAAGGACCAATCAAAGTTGAAGGTAAGAACCTGAAACCAAAATATGTAATGAAATATTTATTATATAAAGAGATATTGATAGACTAAAGTAATTAAATTTATTCTACAATACTCTTATTGCTTTGCTATGCTTAATAAATATTAGATTAAAATACTGATTTGTTTGATCATGAATATTTGCTCAATAAATGTGAACAAATATTAAAAATTAACAATGGAACAAAATTTTTACTCGCACTTCTAACCAATTATGTAATTATATTCGCTTTAAATTATCGAAAATAGTGTTCCAATCTAATATTCATTGCATATTTGGTTCATCAATATTTTTTAAACTATTTTTTTAAAATCAACAAACATTAAAATATATTTCCAACATTTTATATAGATTAACGCCTTCTAGTAAATAGATTATTATAGCTTGTTATTGGTATTCATATCATGCAACGCAATGTCGAGTTTTAGTCGTTTTCACCTTAAGCTACTGCTGAATATGATAATAATTTGGTTTAAAATATCTAGTGTACTGAATCAGGCAACACTTTTAAGTTTTATTTTATGATATTAAATTTTATCAGATAATGTTAATAATGAATGAATAGACTAAATTTAAATTTGGAGAATTAGAAAACTTATTACAATGCTATTAAATTCTTTGTAAACTTTGAGAAACTCTATACCTTTCATACAAAAAAAAATTTTTGATGTAAAGAGTTTTACTGAACAAGCCAAACTACACATTTTTTTTTCTATTAACAAAAAGATTTAAATATATTTGACATAATCATCAGCATGATAATATTAAAAGTTCAATTCTGTTCAATTTCTTCAAACTAAAATTGAGTTTTTTTTTTTTTTTTTTTTTTTTTTTTTTTTTTTTTTTTTTTTTTTTTTNTTTTTTTTTTTTTTTTGACTAAGTTAACTTTTTATATCTGTGAACTTTTAATCTGTGTTTATAGATAATAAAAGTTATACCAGTACTTATAATTTCAGATTATGCATATCAAACAAGAGATAAGTGGAATAACATGTAAAACCATCTAAAGAGTGATTACTATAACATGGCAGCTTATTTAAAAGATGAAATTTCTACGAAGGTTAGGTGCTATACCGAAAAGAAATGAATAGATTATTTTTTAATCTATATTAGATAAATTTTGCTAAGTTATCTAAATTTCCCAACACAGTTCATTTGACATGAACTTTTAAAGTTCAGTTACTTTGAGATTAGGGTTTTTTTGCACAGTTTTCAAATGAGATTTATGCTTAAAATAACATTATGTAGCCTTACAGCAGTAAAAATAAGTATAATAAACATTTTGAAACCTCAAAATCCGTTTTGTTCATAGTTGTACCAATAGTTTTTATAATCAGTTTCCTTATTAGTTGGTACATTTTGAATGAAATTAAAGCAAAACAAAAAAATTTTTAGCATGATAAATAAAATCATTTTATAAAATCTGATAAGATAACAAAAAAATCTACCCAATTTGTTGAGAAAAACTTTTGTCAGGATTATTAAGATCAACAAGAATCCGAGTCATTTTTTGCTGGTCTCTAATCTTTTGCCATAAACCACTTTTTCCTGCGATAGAAAAAAAATATACATAAATATTAATATAATATGCAGCATTAAAAGAGATATGATAATAAATCACATTTAATTTTATGAAATTGTTGGCATACAAATAATTTTTGATTATATTTTAAATGTGCAATGATAAAATTTCTTTCATTTTAATAAGATTTCTTTTCATTTTACTGAAACATTCAATTTTATAATAAGGTATATGTGATGCCATTATAGGCATTACATATGTCCCAGCTTTGAAAATTTCTTTAATTTCATAAATTGTATTTTTTTAAACATTCTTAATCCAATTTTAATTTAATTAAACCAATTATTTAATTTTTATTATATTTTATGAAAAGCAAATATAAATATTTTATTACCTGCTTAACAATCAATGTAACAGCTAACTTTTTAGTTCAATACAAATGTATAACTCATAGTCATGACAAAATTGTACAGCAGTTTATTTCTTAAAATACATTAATTCTCTAACCACAAAAATGCTTTAGTTATAGGGTTGTATAAATTCTCCTGGTCTTTTTGGTGATTGAGCTATAGCTAAATTATTTGAAATTCATAAATAATAACGCACAGTTGGCTATTTCTTCTATCAATAATTATGGATGTCTTTCTATCCTCCTAACTGTTTGTTGAGAAGAATTCAGTCACTGCTCGTTTTAAAGTCTTGGCATTAGGACAGGAGGATTTCGCCCCTCAATCCAACCATTATTATTTTACAAAATTTTCATGTTTAATAATGCATCTCTTCATCTTTATTAAGAGAGCAGCCTATTATTTTGTGATTTTTCATTTTTATGGCCATAGATGTAAATTTAAAAATTCTCTTTTAAATAAAACAATCATTGATTTATATATGAAAAAGTATCTTCACCATACACATGTACAACAGAACATTACCTATGTTATGATGATTATTCTTCCGTAAAAAGTGGACCCAATGTCTCATCATAAGTTCGGAATAATAGTCACCATAGTACATTACATAATAGCAAACATCTTTTTTTTTTTTTTAATTACATCTGTTATGTTTCTTTCCCTCTCCATAGTAGTTGTTTTAGTCACTGATTTTGAAATTGCATACAGAAATATACAAAATTTCAACATTTATATAAATTATTCATTTTAAGAAAAGAGAGAAAATTAATACCTGGAGATGCCATGTGAGAATCATGACTAGCAAATAGTTCTCCCTGTTGGACTTTTAACATTCTTTTTCTAAAATAAAATAAAAAATAATAATTTTAGCTAATATTGTTGGGTGTTTATAGATTGAAACATATTTTTTAAAAGAAATTATAATATGCACTTTATGAAGACCACTTTAAAAAAATTCAATAGTATACATAGAATTTAGGGTGAAAAGTATCTGTTAGTAGAACTTACTTTTAAGACAAATTTTAACCTAGATTATCAAATATGGTTATTAAAAAAGATGAAATAAAAAATATAAAAAGATTACAAAATAAGTACTTCAAACACATATTTACTACTTAATTTATACACTATTTGAAATTTCAATTAAACATAGTTGTTAGAATTCTATGTAGTGCATGTTAATAGTATTCACAGTGTTACCTAAAACCGAAATATAAAAGAAACGTTTTTTTAAATACTTTATTTGTAGAACTTAAAGTAAATAAAATAATCTAATTTTCGTAAGACATTGCTTTAAATGACAACACAATGATTTTCAATAAAGACAAACATTAAAACATGTTAATACTAATTTTCATAAGAAAATGCTTAAGAAAGATTTTCATAATTCTTTATCATCACAATTTACATAATTAGCATAACATCAGAACATGATTCTAATTGAACTTTACACCATTGCACCCCAAATATGATTCAATTCTGTGAAATTGTGATGAAATAATATATATGCAATTATAAATTAGAACAAAAGACTAAATTACAATAGTAAGTGGTTAATATTTGGAGGTTATCAATAAAGATGAACCTCATTAACGAGAATTTCTTCATCATGACTTTTTTTCAAGGTGAATTTAAATTTCATAACACTTGTGAAACTTTTCACATTGAACATGAAAAGAAAATTTATTTTTATTCAGAGAGGTAAAAAAAATGATGATTCATAATTCTAATATTTTAGAAAAATTTTAGAGATATTCTAATATTTTAGAGATATATAAGAAAAATGTTTCATAAACTTGTATAGTGTTTATAACTTCACCATTAAAGTTGCTATACAGAAGCTTTGAATGGCTGGAACTAGCCTGCGGGGTGGGACAAAAGGCTGAGTTATGACTAAACCAATATTCTAATTTATTAAATAGGAAACATGATAAACCATTTGGTACTAATAAAATGAAGAGATAGTCTGCTTTATCTATACTAGAGTTAGTTAAGAGGGAAAATTTTATTAGAATGTAAAAAAAACCTATTTAAAAAATACATATATTGTATCTTTTATTTTATATAAACGATCAGTTTTACTTCACTCTCACAGATTATTCTGAGAAACCATTATTTCTGATTCAAATATTTCTACTGGTGAAGGCTGAAACAAGTGGAAACTATTTTTTTCTATCGTTGAATTCCATTCACGAATACTGTGGTCAGCAGTCAGTATAGTTACCAGAGTAATTTCAGATAATTTCATTAGAATGATATGTATTAAGTTTTGTTTATTAGATTAATACATTGAAACTTATATCAAATTAGCATACTCAGACACATTTTAATTTATACAGAAGTCTCTTTTTTTTATAACTTTGAAATGGCAACTTCAGTTTAAAATTTTTCTGTTTTAAAATTGTCCACCTATAAAGTGATAAAAGAATATATAATACAAGACTATATAATAAAACACTCTATTAAAAAAATACTCTAACTTAAGATTACCATATACCTGAAATAACAATTTAGATTTGATTTTATTTGTTTTTTAAAAACAGTATTGGAGATTGAAAGTCACTAACCAATTTTTATGTTCCTTTACGTCAACATTGATTGTACACATCAATGTCATACTGCTTCAAAAAAAAAAAGAAAACATTATAGAACATTGAGTTTTTTTCCCATTTAGTTTGAACATGCATAATAAAATGAAGTAGCCTTGTATTAAGGGGAATAATAATTATTAGCGTTTTAGGGAAAAAGAGGAACTAACTTTTAACTGAAGTCATTAATTATTGACCTATATCTTTAACCAATAAAATAAAATTTTAGTAATAAATGTTGAATGATATTTGATCTAACTATTTCTAGCTTTTGAACTTATTAAGGTCTGGTTTCTTAGGACAAGCGCCTTATCTGAGCGTCAGCGGGACGTCAACATCCCGCTGACGCCAACAAAATACTGGTTTGTTAGCTCAAGGCCTGGTTTCTTAGAACTAGCGCCTTATCTGGGCGTCAGCGGAAAGCTGACGTAGAGCTGACGCCAAAAATATACTTTTTTGTTAGCTCAGCGTGAGCAGTCGGTCCAACGAAGACATTATCTCTCATTGCGCATGCGTTAATAACATAAACAAAAATTTATTTTGAATTTGCATTGATTTTGTTATTGTCGACCAGTGTTTTAGAGAACAAATAATGACTTTGTCCAAGAAAAAACACATTATAGCTGAGTTAAATGAAGAGTGCTATGCTTAATGAAGAAGCTATGGTTTAATGTCAAAATCAAAATCTTGGCTGATTTCAATGTGCTGTTGGATGTTGTCAGTCATTGCTTCTGTGGTTAACGTCACGTTGTAATCCAACTGCAGTTGAGTTGGATGGCAATTGTAGTTCTAGATGAGCGTTCGATGACTTATACTATCAAACTCACAAATGGACCAATCAGAGGTTAGCTGATTTCCAGCTGACGGCGTCCTGTCCTAAGAAACCAGGCCTTAAGCTGTTTTAAGCATCTTACTGCTGTTACTTTTCTTCTCAAAACAAGTCTTCAAATCCTCAGATAAAAAAAATTGCTGAGATAAATTAATTTTCTTAAAACATTATAAATTACTTAATTATAATTATTGCGTTTTAGGGAAAAAGAGGAACTAACTTTTAACTGAAGTCATTAATTATTGACCTATATCTTTAACCAATGAATTAAAATTTTAGTAATAAATGTTGAATGATATTTGATCTAACTATTTTTAGCTTTTGAACTTATAAGCTGTTTTAAGCATCTTACTGCTGTTACTTTTCTTCTCAAAACAATTCTTCAAATCCTCAGATAAAAAAAATTGCTGAGATAAATTAATTTTCTTAAAACATTATAAATTATACACCTAAAAATATAATATTAAGTACAGAAAAATATTTTGAAGAAATATAAATATTCCTACTTGCTTTTTACTGGATCACCAGAATCATTTAATAATCGCATAAAGGCCCAACCACAGCTCATTTCATATTCTTCACAAAACTAAAAATTAAATTAGACATTTTTAGATTTATAATAACCAATGAATGAATCAAGAGCTAAATAAAACAATTTTTTTATGCACACAATTAGTAACAAATCAAAAAAAAATTCCAGTGTTTTAATAAAATAAACTTTTAGAAGTGTGAAATTCAGAATATGAGATAAGATAACAAATAATAAACTCACCGCTTTCTCAAAACTAATGCAGAGTTCGAAAAGAATACCTACAAAAACATAGAAATTTAGCTAAGTAAACAATCAAAGAGTTTTATTAAAGTCCGAACTTTATAATGTAACATGGCATGTTTTAATCAAATAATTAAAATCATTAATTGAAAAAGGTTAATACAGTTTTTATAAAATATAAAATAATAATAATAAGCATTTGATAACAACATAAAAACAACAGAACATCAATCTTATTATACCAGCACATCCTTACCAGTGTATCATATTTAATGTAAATCGATACCAATGCTCCATTAGGTTAAAGTTTGTATGTGTTATGGTTTAGGTCAGAAAAAAACTTTAAAAAATTGCTTCCAACTAAAATTATGAAAGAATTTATTTACTTAGTAAAACTTATTTGAATTTATATCAAGCAAAATTAAAACATCCAAGGCAATCATTATAGCAATTTTTCAGCCTGTTTCTTACAATTTAGTCAAGCTGGATATCCTAAAATTAAATTAGACAAAACTAATTTTTACAAATTGTTTATTTACAAAATTGTTAAAGTAATTTAAACTAAAGTGTCAACATTATCTGTCATATTTTTACTACAATATTTAACAAAGAAACTCAATTTGAATGAGCTATACTATATTTTTAATTATTTATAATAAAACTTTTTTCTTATTATTTATTATTTGATAAATTTTTGTACACTGGATTTCTTTTAATCAAGTGCTTATTTCTTGTTAATCAAATGTTAAGAAACATTACAAAAATCAGTGTCAGAAAAATAGTTCCTTTTATATACAACAAAATTTATTATAAGAATATAATTTTTGAAGAAAACATGCAAACAAAGCAGCTCCTCATTGTGAATCAATCATTTATTTGACATTTAAAAAAAAAATTTGAGTCATAAAAAAACAGTTTTTTTGTAAATCAAAGAGCAATAAGTAGTTTTAAAATGATAAAAAAAGCATATCTAAAGTAAAATTAAACATTTATTTTTGATAATTTATTTAAAGGCAATCATACATAAATGTAAAAATGCTTATGCTCACAAATTTCAGAAAATGCATTTCAGAAAAATTAGAAATTAAGAATTTTATTAACAAATTCAGAGTTTTGAATTTGTACTTCAAAAGTTCTAAAAAAATTGATTTTACAAATGAGAATAAAACTAACAAAACATTCTCTATCTCGTTTGATTTTAGAACACTTAGACATAGATTATAATTGATCAAACCTATATACAGTGCATAAGACAAAAAAGTGAACACCCTAAATAATTTTTTAACATGCACTATGTCTAAATTTTAATGGCTTAAGAGCCTAACTTTAAATATGCTAAAAAAATTGGTGAAAATGATATTTTAAGTAATAAATTAGACACAAAAATATACTTTCTCGAAATAAACATACATTTGTTTCATCGGTTTTGGAATTTTAACCGTCAAAATATGTGGGGTTAGCCACAATCTGGAAGTTATGGTCTCTATACTAAAATACTGTAAGAAAGTACTCAAAAGTTTGGACCCCATAATGTTAATTTCACTTTTTATGCAGCATTTTTCTATATTTTGATTAATTTTTATGCTAATTAAATCACACACAATTGTAAAATTTTTCTTATCAAAAGATGTAAAAATAATTCTTTACATTTATTTGTTATTTAATAATAGCCAAAACAAAATTGAATTGTATGGTAAACAAATTTTTACACCAATTTTAGTATGTAACTTTGAATAACAAAATATAGAAATTGAACAAAATCAGTTAAATGGTTCTCAAAAAATCAAATTTTAAAATAATATGCATTTAAATTTTGATATTTTTAGCATATTGATTAGGCCCTTGATTCCCCAATAATGAGTTCTAGCATAAAAATTCAATTATTAAATTTAAAGTTATTCAGAGTGTTCAGAATTTTTTATCTTGCAATCTGTACTATGATAGATGTTTCAGAAACTTATCAACCTCAAAAGCATAAACTATAAAAAGTACCTAGCGTAGGGTAACCTATATCAGCCCTAATAAACACTTCCCCATCTTCCAGGCAGGAAGTTTTAGAAGTTATCTAAAGAAAAATAAAGTATTAGTTTTCTATTAGATAACAAAAAAATAATGAGTTAAAAATAAATATTCTTCCCACTCTCAATTAACAATTATTATTCGATAATCATATGTAATAATATTGGAGAAGTATTGCTGTAACATTCTAAAAATGCTTGATTTTAACTTTTAATTATTTATCATACATTTTATGCATTGAAATATAGAACTTCTATAATGGTTTGGAACTTCTTTTAGGTTTTCAAGTTTCATCTAATTTATGCAAAAACTCTTACCAGTATTAGATTATAAGATTAATTTTACAGCCAAGGAGATTTTTATAATGTTTTTACTAAAATAATAAGAAAATGAATATCTAGAAAATCCAAGTTTATCATATTACAATTTATGTAAAAATTAAAAATTTATTGCATAAAATTACAAGAGTACAGATTCATTTAAAAATTACAAATCCGATTAAAAAATCAATATGTAATAAATAATGGATGGAAACTACGTTTAATTTTCAAGTAACACAGATGAAATTACACTCTTGACTGTGAGTTTGATTTGGAAAAAAAAAAACTATTAAAAGCTTACTTCATTTATTAGTTGCCACATTTTGCTTCATAATTAAATATTAAAGTTTAGTTTCAAGATAATGTTACTGAATAAGTATACTATAAAGATTACATTAAAACAAACAATACAATTTTTTTATTATTATTTTAAGAAATTTTAATATTCAAATATAGCATTAATTAGGCTTTTATTACTAGCTTGATTAAATATTGAATTCAATAGCATAAGAGCCAGAAACAGTTCTTGTCATGAAACCATTGCACTGAAACTCAAATCAAATGATGTTATATTAAAGTAGATATATCCTAATCAATAGATGAAGTTAATCAATAAGCTTGAAAATCTTTTTTTTTATTACCCTCTAAATTAGCTTACCACAATAATGATAATGATAAATAAATAAATACATTATTTGTACCTTTGTCTTGAAGGACCATAATTTTGTTGAATTCTCATCTGGGTGAGCCTTAACTGTATGAATATTACTCAAAACCTACAGAAAATATTTATGATTAAGAGAAAAAACTTTAGTAACAACCATTTTAAAAAATTATTCTTTTAAGTCATAAGTAAATAAAGTAAATGCTATGCACATTACAATATCTTCAATAAAAATAACATTATAAAAGTTTTATAAAAATGTAAATATAATTTTCCTATCAATAAAGAAAAATAGGTACTTACGTATTAACGCAACCAGGCCAAAATTTGCATAAATCGCCAAATTTGGCGAAGGTAGAAAAATTGAAATCAATTTTTTTTTAATAAAACAAAGTATTTTATAAACAAAATTATAAGCATATATTTTAATAACCTTTTAGATTACATATTATTTCGACATCACATAGTGCATTACTTCTCATAACAAATACAGTTTTTTATATTATTTTGTTTTGAAATATAAAATAGCAATTAAACCAGGGTTCGCCAAGTGGGCCCACTTTGAAAAAACCTGCCCGGGTTTTATTGGGCGGGCCCACCTTGAAAAAACCCACTTGGAACGATAAGTGGGTTTTTTCAAAAAAAAAAAAATTTATTTTTTTTTACTAAAACTTATTGTTTTGCATTTACTTTTATATAATTTATAGTGCAGCATAAATTTGTCAAATTGAGTTGCATGATTTATATGATTAAGTTTTTAATATTAGTAAAGTAAAAGAAACTCGAATCTTCATATAATTTTATAGTAGGTACCTACTATTGAAAACTTCAAGTGGGTTTTTTTCAAAAAGTAATATTTTAATGATATTAAATGAAATAAAAATTTAAATAATATACTCTGAAAAGATCAATTTTTCAAATATTGTTGCATGCTTTATATATTAATAAACAGGTTATTATTATTAATTCATATGTTTAAAAAAATTGAAAAGAAACAATTTTTTTCTTTTTTTACCAAGTGATACATTAACAAATTTAAACAGTTTTATTTTCTGGCTTTAAAAAAAAAAAAGCTAAAACTTTTTATAAGAGAACTTTTTAAAATTATTTATCTAAAAATGAAATCATTTTCCTAGGGTTAATTATTTGAAAACAAATGGGACAAGTAACTGATACTCTTTATAATTATACGTAGTTTTAATTTCACTTTCTATTAACCTTATTATAAAAACATGTAAGACCATTAAATATTTATTTCAGTTTTTTATTTAACTCAAGTCAGATGAAATTTTAGTTTTTACTGATTATAAATATTTACAGATTATAATTTTATAATAGGTAATATCCATATGTTTAATAAATATAGTAAATAAATGTGTGTGAAAACAAAAAGATTAATAAACTTGTTCCTTTTATATTACTGCATTTATATTTTATAATTCTTGAGTTAAAAAATTATGAAACGTAATGTACTTAAAAATAAAGAAGATTCAAATATGTATTAGTGATAATGCGTTATTTAAACTTAATATAAAATACATATAACCAGGGTTCCCCAAGTGGGCCCACTTTGAAAAAACCCACTTGGTGGTTTTTTTCACAAATTGTTTTTTTTTTAAAATTTGGTTCAAAAAGAAGTATCTCCTAATACTATCATTGGACATATCGTTGAAGTTAACAAATATTTTAGAAATGTGCATCAAGCACATGGATGGGCAAATGAAAAAAACTGCTTGATGACCAAATGATACTAGGTGGAATTCATATTGTGAGCGCGTAAAAACTTTTGCCAATAATTACCATAAATATGAAGAGATTGTTCTTGAACAATTTTATATGTCAAAAAAATTAAATAATGTTGGGCTTTACCAATAAACTATCAATTGGGAAAAACAGATATCAATTGTTTCTGAAGCTTTAAAAAAGCTTCAACCAGAAAACATTTCAATTTCAGAACCTGTTGAAATATGAATTAACTTACTATCGTGTGATGAATTAGAATCCCATAAACATTTTGTTAAAAGATCAGGCTGTTCAGCCACATCATTTATCAGCATATGCATCCTGGATCCCGAAACAAGGGGACAATTTTTAAATGATGAACAAGACCAATTAGCAGAAAGCTGTCTTTCTAAGCATCATCCAGAATTTCTGCCACGTGTTATGGCATCCAAAATTTCCGATCCTGAATACTTTCCAAAATCAATGATGCTTGACACTGTTATTGAACAGTTTTCATCAAAAAATAGTGGAAAATTATGGCAAAAAAAAAAAAAAAATAAGTAAATAAATAAAATTCCTAGCTTCCACAAAATTTCTGTCAATTCTTTTTTCTTTGCACTCAGCACCAGCATCCTCTGTCTCTATCGAAAGACACTTTTCAACTTTCGGTTTGGTGCAGAGTAAACTTCGAAATAGATTAGGAATAGATAAAGCTACAAAACTCGTAAAAGTGTATTGCCATCTAAGAGAGAAATGTAGACACTTTGAATCTGTTGTATGATAATAATAATAAAGGAAAAAATTGACCTTTTTTTTAAAGTTAACTCTTAACATCTGCTGACAATTTTTAACTATTTGGAGAAAGTTTATCACAATTAAAAAACAGTTAAAAATTAAAATATTACTTTTAAGATTTTTTAAATATTTTTAAGATTTCATTTGAATACAATTTATTTTGTTTCTTTTAATCATGTTTAAAAATATTGAAAGCAAACAAAAAAAAATTTATTAAGTGATACATTAAACAACAATAAACAAATTTAAAGTTTTATTATCTGATTTTAAAAAAATGAGCTATAACTTTTTATATATGCTTTTTTATAATTTTAAGATTAATTTGTTTTTTGAAACTATAAAGTTAAAATGCATATATTTATCTAAATATTTGAAAAAAGGGACAAGTAACTGATACTCTTTATAATTATACATAATTTTAATTTCACTTTCTATTAATCGTATTATAAAAACATTGAAGACCATTAAATATTTATTCCAGTTTATTTTTTTTACAGGTAAAAGTCAGATGAAATTTTAGTGTTTACTTATATAACTCTATTTAATAAATAAAAATATTTTCACAGTAAAATTTATGAGCACTAAATGAAAAAACCCAATTTTCCCCGGGTTTTTTCAAATAAAACCCAATTTCCCCCAGTTTTTTTCAATAAAACCCACGCGGGTTGGGTTTTTTCAAAAATCCCCGGGTTTTTTCAAACCCTGAATTAAACCCTTCCGGTTTCGAATTTGAATGAGTTGCAGAATTATTTTTTCGGCGGAAATCTTTTGGCTATTGCTTTTAGTGTTCCTTCGGTATAATTCTATATCCCTGTAACAATGCAACAGCATCTTTTTCACTCGCAGGCAGATCCCAAATACCCATAGTTAAAGTATTCCACGGCATTCAATCTAACCAGTAAGCAAAGTAATTTGTTTACGAAAAACCACGTATAACACGTAAGTAGGTAGGTTGCCGTAAGTAGGGTCGCCAAATTTGGCGATTTATGCGAATTTTGGCCTGGTTGCGTTAATACGTCAGTACCGAAAAATAATTTTTTAAAGTTAGTATGAAATTAAAAGGATTTTTTAGCACTGAAATTTTCAGAAAAAAGATTTAAAAATTAATTTTAGTATAAATAAATGCATTAAGGATTTGCAGACATATTTTTGTTTTGTAACACTAAATTACTATTCTTACAGTAATAAGTAAACATGAATTAAACACATGCTATTCAAATATTTTAGATAATCAATGCATAAGAGCTTATTTACCTTATTTCCATCATGAAGGCACATCCTAACTTGACAACTTTTAGTTGTATAGCCTATACATAAGCAATTATGTAAGTAAAAAAACATAATCAACAAAGCTTAAAATGCAATACATCTATTTTATTACCTGCAGGTGGCTGGGGAACTTGTCTAACAGCTACCAATTCTACAACTTTTTCAATAAAAGTTCTATTTGTCTTCAACTGTAAATAAAAAACACTATGGTCAACATAATAATTATTTATACAAGTTAAATCAAATGATTGTATGTTAAATAGAATGAGTTATATTTTATTGACTAAAAATCATAGTTTACCTAAAACCAGATATTTTGTATTAGAATCTTTAAATCACATTATATGCGCTTCTATCAGATATTTTGTATTAGAATCTTTCAATCACATTATATGCGCTTCTACCAGAAATTCTTCAAGACACTATTATAAATAGGGTGTTTCAGGATTATTGGGACAAATTTTAAGAAGAGGTAGGGGACATTTCAGGGATTCAGAATTATGCAGCTACCCAATGGTCATAAACATCATGGGAAAATACTATGACAGGGACTAGAAACAAAGAGACGCAAAACTGAGATCATCTGAAATATCTATTGATCAAAGATATTACATGTGATGTGGTAGATGCAGGGCCGGATTAACCTATAGGCACACTAGGCACGTGCCTAGGGCCTACGAAAAACTTGGGAGAAAAAAATTTGTTGACAAAAATAATTTAGCTTTAAAAACAACAAGTGTATTTTGNAAACATAATCAACAAAGCTTAAAATGCAATACATCTATTTTATTACCTGCAGGTGGCTGGGGAACTTGTCTAACAGCTACCAATTCTACAACTTTTTCAATAAAAGTTCTATTTGTCTTCAACTGTAAATAAAAAACACTATGGTCAACATAATAATTATTTATACAAGTTAAATCAAATAATTGTATGCTAAATAGAATGAGTTATATTTTATTGACTAAAAATCATAGTTTACCTAAAACCAGAAATTTTGTATTAGAATCTTTAAATCACATTATATGCGTTTCTACCAGAAATTCTTCAAGACACTATTATAAATAGGGTGTTTCAGGATTATTGGGACAAATTTTAAGAAGAGGTATGGGACATTTCAGGGATTCAGAATTGTGCAGCAACCCAATGGTCATAAACATCATGGGAAAATACTATGGCAGGGACTAGAAACAAAGAGACACAAAACTGAGATCATCTGAAATATTTATTGATCAAAGATATTACATGTGATGTGGTAGATGATATGTGAAAATGTCACACAAAATATTAAAAATTTTTATACCCTTGCTAGTGATAAATGTATTACACCATGGAATCATGGAATGGCAGATTTGCTCAAATACACCTGGATTTTGTTTTATATCCGCAGCAGCAGCACAAACGATGTTTGCAACCAGATTCATTTTGGAATCCACAGGCGTTGCATACAGAGAACTTTCAATGCACCCTACAGAAAGAAATCCGTGTTGCTTAAATGAGGAGAGAGTGGTGGCCAGAAAACTGGTCCATCACGCCCAATCCATCTTTCGAACATCCTAGCTGCCGACAAAGACGTTTCAGAAAAATTGGCTGCTGAGCAAATCTGAATCCATGGTTGTCTCCTATCTCCCTTTAAAGTTGGTCCCAATAATCCTGGAACACTCTATATACAGTAGAACTTAGAATTTTTGACATCCAAGAACCGAGGGTATGTAAAAGTCTCAAATAATCGAAGGGTTCTTTATGGCTACATTTTTAAAAGTGTACTAACATGCCTCTACATACAAAATTAATAAAACTGGATCCCTACTATCAAAAAGTTAAGTAGATCACCAACAATATGTTTCATACTGTCAAAAGATGAGAAAAACTGAAAGTAGGGATGTGCATCAGTTAAGGATTAAAATATTTAGTGGCCCAATAGTTCCTTTAAATAAGCCCATGAAATATATTTTAAAAAAATCTGAAAATAAAATAATATCAGAATTTTTTTCCAGCCTGTTCTGCATCAGTTACTAATCAAATTGATAGTCTTTCGTTGGGTGTAAAATAGTAACTATTCTGGTTGACTAGTAACTATTTTAGTGTTGATAGAAAAATGCAATTTCATTTGAATTTGTATAAATAAAGTGGAAAAGAAAGTTTCGAAAAGATAAATAAATCCTTACAATCAATTTCTTACTATAGTAGTTTTTTTCCTTTTTTTTGCAACAAAATTTCTAATTTCCTATTTTGGTTTCAAAGTTATTTTCAGGCTTGTCAAAAAAAATTTAAAATCCCCTAAAGATACTATCAGTGTTCAAAATTACTGGGGCATTTACGTATTCAAACTTGGCAATATTGGGTAAACCAAACAAATTTAAAGTTTAGAATGAACACAATAGATATATTTATCATCAAAAATTCAATAAATCAACCATTGCTGAATCTTGAGAGTAGATTTAATTTTGATAATACTAAAATTCTTTTCTCTTTGGAATCTTGTTTCATTCACATGAATACTGATTTCCTATTTAATGATGATATAAATTCCAAATAAATGGATTCTGATTTGCCTCGTTTGACAACTTCAATTTTTCTAGTTTTATTTTTATTTACTATTTTATTTTCAATTTTTTTTGTATCTCCACATTTTTTTTTTGAAATGTGTTTTGTTTAGCTCATTCATATCAGGTAAGTTTTGAAAGTGGACTTTAATTTTCAAGTGCTTGAAAATATTCATTTTCGTCTATGTTTGTTAGCCAGTCTAGAAGGGTGTTAGATAACTGTAGTTTTACTATAACATGTTCATATAGTAAAAGTTTAACAAAGTGGTACTGTTTTTTTTTTTAAATATACTTAAAACAACTTTTTTTTTAAACTAGTGACACTACTGCAGTACATGATATGAATCTAGTGATTCAACCCATTAAATCTACTGCTATTTAACAAATTTAAATTTCCTAACTAAAGATACAGGAAAGAACAATTTTTTATGCAATTAAAAACCACCCAGATTCCAGTTCAGAATTAATAGATAAAAGACAAAAAGTGACTCAATTATTTTACAGTTTACTACAGCTTAATGTTTTACTTTTCTTTCTTTCTATTATTGATATTTTAAAAATTTTGAAAATGAATGAAATAAAAAATATTTAAAAAAAAAAAGAGTTGAATAACTTACTATTGACTTCCGTAAGTATTTTGTTTTGAAAGAAGAAGAAAAAACGTATTTAAATGCTTGATTTTAACGATTAAAAAATATTTTAAAGCTTTTTGTTTTAAAATGTGTGGTGTTGCTCATAACAATATGGACTCTTTACTCAGTCAAAACAAATTTATAATAGTAAATGTAAAGAAATGAAACTCACGCTGAAGCCTGATACTTACTGCTCCTGTAGTGATATCATAATTGATGTCTTCAAATGAAAGACCAAAAGAATCTAGTTTGGGTGACATAAAAGCACCCATCATAAATCTGGAATCTAAATAAACCAAAAGTTAAAATTCAGATTTTACTTCTATACATAATAAAACAGAGTGAGTAGCCAGATTTTACAACAAAAAATAAGCACCTTTTAAGTACTTTTTAAGAACTCAAAAAATATTTTTAATCACTTTTCAAAAAGAAATCATAATTGGGATTTGTTCAGAAATAAAGATTATTTTTTCTATTGTTTATAGTTCTTAATTTATAAATATAAAATCAATAAAATTTATAAACATTTTCAAAAACTTTACATAATCATGATAAAATAACTAGTTTCTGATAAATATTGCAGGGAAAATTGTGAAAATCATGTATTTTTTGTAATTTAGAACAACAATCGANTTTTTTCTATCGTTTAAAGTTCTTAATTTATAAATATAAAATCAATAAAATTCATAAACATTTTCAAAAACTTTATGTAATCATTATAAAATAACTAGTTTCTGATAAATATTGCAGGGAAAATTGCGAAAATCATGTATTTTTTGTAATTTAGAACAACAATCAACACAGCAAAAGAAAAAATCTCTTTTGAAAAGATAGAAAATTAAGCATGTTTTACAAATCCTGAATAAAAAACACCTTTAAAGGTTTTTAAAAAATGTAAATCAAAAATAAGTACCTTTTAAAAACGCTATGTACCCTGTAAAGTAAGATGTATGCAAATCTAGAGCATTGTAGGTTAATGGATATTATGGATACACTTATGAATACAAAATTTAACATGAAGGTAGATGTGAATCAGACATGCAATTCTACATCTATATCTACATTTTCTGCCACATAAAATAAAATAAGATGAGTGAATCTAAAGTGTTGTAGATCAAAGGTGGCCCTCACAGATAGAAAATTTAACATGAAGGTAGATGTGAGCCAGACATGTAGTTTTACATCTATGTGTACATTTTCTGCCACATAAAAGAAAATAAGATGAGTGAATCTAAAGTGTTGTAGATCAACGGTGGCACTCACAGAATAGAATTAACTCACAGAATAGAAAATTTAACATGAAGGTAGATGTAAATCAGACATGCAGTTCTACATCCATACCCACATTTTCAACCACATAAAATAAGATGAGTGAATCTAAAGTGTTGTAGATCAACGGTGGCACTCACAGATAGAAAAATTAACATGAAGGTAGATGTAAACCCATTAGGAAGTTCTACATTTATTTCTTTATTTTATTTCTATATTTTATCTCTAAATATTATATAATAAGATGTATGTGCATCTATAGTGTTGTGGACAAATGGTAACAGTCACAGTTAAAAAATTTAACATGAAGTTTGATGTTAACCCATCATGCAATTCAACATCTACCTTTTAGTTTGGTACATTGATATTTTGACATTGGCTCACAATTATGCTACATCATCTTACTTCTTTCTCAAAAACTTATGTCAATGAGAGTATAGCATTCATACCTCAATTAACATATTAATTACATCATCCACCATAGCCTATAAGTTTAAGATTGAACATTTACAGATAGAAGATAATTTCAGCATGAATATTACATTTAAGACATACTTCAAAGTAAATAGGGTGTTGCCAAAAATAGCATCATTTTTAGGTCACTACATAAAAGATAATTGATTAAAAAAATTAAAAAAAAGATTAGCAAAATATTTAATTGTTTGTAAAAATCTCTAAAACGCATTACGTTGAAAATAAATGCCATTAAGCATCAATTGCTTTAAATATTGTTTAAAAAAAACAATAGAAATCACTGAAAAAGCATGATTTTACCCTGAAACTAACAGTAAATTTTCTATTTTGCAAGAAAAAAGAAGAAAAAAAATTCCACATATAAAAGTAAAGACTACAAAATCTGTACAATTTTATAGTTTTGCCAATAAGTTCTTTAGTTTAAGAGAATCTTAAGCTTCAGCAACAGTCACCATTTTTTATCTCAAAAGTTTAGACAAAAGCCTTGATGAACTGCTCCATATAAACATAATTATTATAGATTTTACAATCAGTAGAAAAAACAGACTGAAGCAATTCAATTACATTAAAATTATTTTATCGATTGCATTTCAAAAACAATACCATTTTGAAATTTAGAGATCAAAAAATTAAAGACTATTTCTTTAGATTAAAAAAAAATGAAAATTAATAATAGAATAAAAAGATCAATACCAATATACTATTCATAAAACTAAAAATGCATAAAAAATTATAATCAAAATAGTATAAAATATAAAGTTTCCTTTATAATCAAAAAATAATTTAATTCAGAAACTAAAGATAGCACTGCGAAAAAACTAACAAATTAATAAATAACTGCATATTAAATTTGAACATCAATAAACAAAGATAATAAAATAAAAGAACTACCTTTTTTCAATAGCTGTAGAAGTTTCGATTGACGAAATCCAGGTGGAATATTGGAATTTTCAGAAAAAGACTTCTTCATTTCCTATGTACACAAGACTTTGATTACCACCAATAAATAATATTGATAGTAATATATATTTATAAATTTGATGAAAATAAAGAAATATTAAAAGATTAATGTAACTATAGATAGGATGATTTAATCTGGTGTTAAAAGCACAAGAGCCATATGTAACTGTTTTCTAAAGATATTAAAATACAATATGGTTTTAAAAAGTAAAAGGCAAGATCATATAAGAAAGCTATGAAATTTCGAAAAGAAATTTTTTAAATTAATTTGCTTACAAAAATTCAGTTTTTGGTAAGTCTTATTATGGAATAATCTGAAAAGCGAAATAAATTTATTTTATTTAAAGAAAGGCATAGTTTTTAACTTATAAGTTTAAAATGTTTCAAATTCAAAATAAGGTAGTATCACTTCACCATTACATCTTCTGTTAAAATATTGAAATGGGCTATTTTAAAGTACCCTTTAGTGAAACGTTTTAATACAGATATATTTGAATAAATGAGTTCAAAAACTGGTCTTCTCCAACAAAACTAATTTTACAAGAAATACAAAAATCTGCACAGTTTAGTATCAGCTTGATATATAGAGCAGTTTCTATTTTTTCATGTTAATATATGACTGGTCATAAAATATTCTATTGCAATTGTGCGCTGACTTCACATAATTTTTAAATTTAAAATTGAGAGCTAGGAGATGGCTGGTTTTCCGACAAAAACTTAAAACAAATACTGCACATTATTTTTAATAAGGAAAATATTAATAATTATTTCTTTAGAAATGAAATAAAGTCTTTATTTAAGAATAAGTCTGCATATTCATGGATATTTGTGCAGATTCAGAAATCTTTTGTATTATGACTATCTCTGTTCGGCTACTTACAAATTTCTTCAAAGAAAGACAAAAATTCATTTGTCTTTCATTCATTTGGTTATAAAATATTCTATTGCAATTGCGCGCAAACTTCACATAAATTTTAAATTTAAAAATTAGAACTTGGAGATGAACGGTTTTCGGTCAAAAACTTAAAAACAAATACTGCCATTATTTTGAATAAGGAAAATATTAATAATTTGTTCTTTAGAAATGAAATAAAGACTTTATTTAAGTATAAGACTGCATATTCATGGATATTTGTGCAGATTCAGAAATATTTTGTATTATGACTATCTCTGTTTGGTTACTTACAAATTTCTTCAAAGAGAGACAAAAATTCATTTGGTTTTTAATGTTAAAAACTAATTTATGCCTGAAATTTTCTTGTGTCTTATGGCAACTTCTCCAAATTAATGTTTCCTTAACTGGTTATGATTTAGGATTTCATAAACCGCCAATGAAAGGAGATACTTCCAACTTCTCTAGGTTTTGTGCTTTTATAAATAAAACTGCTATAAGATGACACCTGAAACTGTGGTTTTTCCTTTCCTGCCTTTCCAATGGAGCATTCTGATAACACATTTTTCTTACAATGCTTCGACCACCAACTTCTGAAATCAAGTATCATATTACTTGCAGCCACCTCATTTACAGTTACCCGCTACTTTTATCCCTCTTTATTTTCTGGCAAATTCCATCCAAAGAATTACCCTCAGAATCACTCATTGTGTGATAAAAAGCATAAACAAAATAAGAAGCCTAAACTAAGAAGTTAATTGTTAGGTTATCAGTGTTTTCATCATAGAAAAAAAATGGGTGAGAATTTCTCACCCTTTCTCAAAAACAGGGTGAGATTTCAGAAAGTTAAGTGAGATTTCTAAAAACTGAAAAAATACAAATAGACTTGAAAAAAAAATTTCTTTCATTATAATACATTTTTAACGTCTTCTATTTTTTAAAGCATTGAATATTCTTGCTGCATCATCATAGAAGATTTTGCCTTTACTAGGTATTTGTCCATCTTACATTAGTGCATNAATTTTACAGGTAATACAAAAATCTGCACAGTTTAGTATCAGCTTGATATATAGAGGCTGTTACTATTTTTTTCTTCATGTTAATATATGGCTGGTTATAAAATATTCTATTGCAATTGTACGCTAACTTCAAATAATTTTTAAACTTAAAAATTAGAACTTGGAGATGACCGGTTTTCCGTCAAAAACTTAAAACAAATACTGCACATTATTTTTAATAAGGAAAATATTGATAATTTGTTCTTTAGAAATGAAATAAAGTCCTTATTTAAGTATAAGACTGCATATTCATGGATATTTGTGAAGATTCAGAAATCTTTTGTATTATGACTATCTCTGTTCAGCTACTTAAAAATTTCTTCGAAGAAAGACAAAAATTCATTTGTCTTTCATTCAAAAATTAGAACTTGGAGATGACCGGTTTTCCGTCAAAAACTTAAAACATATACTGCACATTATTTTTAATAAGGAAAATATTAATAATTTGTTCTTTAGAAATGAAATAAAGACTTTATTTAAGTATAATACTGCATATTCATGGATATTTGCGCAGATTCAGAAATCTTTTGTATTATGAGTATCTCTGTTCGGCTACTTACAAATTTCTTCAAAGAAAGACAAAAATTCATTTGGTTTATATTGTTAAAAACTTATTTGATGTCTGAAATTTTCTTGTATCTTAAGGCAACTTCTCCAAATTAATGTTTCCTTAACTGGTTATGATTTAGGATACTTTTTTTGTACAGAGTAAATATTAAATTTTCATAAACCGCCAATGAAAGGAGATACTTCAACTTCTCAAGGTCTAGTGCTTTTATAAGTAAAACTGCTATAAGATGACACCTGAAACTATGGTTTTTCCTTTCCTGCCTTTCCAACAGAGCATTTTGATAACACATTCTTCTTACAATGCTTCGGCCACCAGCTTCTGAAATCAAGTATAGTATCATATTACTTGCAGCCACCTCCTGTACAGTTCCTCGCTACTTTTATCACTCTTTATTTTCTGGCAAATTCCATCCAAAGAATCCTCAGAATCACTCATTGTGTGATAAAAAGCATAAACAAAATAAAAAGCCTAAACTATAAAGTTAATTTTTAGGTAATGCAAGTGATTTCATAAGCAACAACGTCCGCCGTCTGGTGGTATATTTTCATGTTTTTTCACGTCATCTACAGAATATGACATGTTTTCCAACTAAATTGAGATTTCATTGTATAAAATATACTATACCAAGAAGGAGAATATGATCTTTTGATGCCATAACTATGCATTGACGTAAGCTTAACTTAAAAATACAAGAATATCAATTTTGAAAAAGTAAAAATGACTGGTTTTTGGACTCATCGATTCATTTAAAAATAGTACCCCTTTGAAAAGTAGTATAAATATTCCATGCCCAATATTACTAACATTAGTTATTTTTTAAAGTAATACTGAGACAGTTATTTTATTTTTAAAACTTCTAAACCAATATGAAAAAATTTAACTTGTATCGGAATATCTGACAAGCAATGTTTTTGATTATCATATAATGAATTTTTTTTAAAAAAAAGATACTGCCCAAAATGTTAAATAAAAAATATTTTTGTGCCATCTTTTCCCAGATCTTACTACTCTAATTAAACTAAAAAATTATAGTTATGAAAAATATTTAGATAAGTAATAAATTTTAAAAAAAGTGCGCCTCCTCACCTCCTTTGATTGATTTTGTTGTTTCCTAAAAATAAAAATAAAAAGTTAACCCGAGCATTTGAAAAAAAAAAAAAAAAAGAATTAGATNTTGAAAAAAAAAAAAAAACAGAATTACATTGCAGAATAAGAAAATAATTCATTCATTAGATAATAAGCTTGAAGAAAATATTAAAAAAAATCTACATCTCTTTTATCTGAAAACTAACAAAAGCAGATTACCTTATGCAGGAGTTTCTCAAATTGGAGAAGAATAAAAGAAAAAGAGCTTTAAGGTTACATCTACATCTTTAAAACTTATATACAATAATAATAAACTTCTTTTAAATGAAATTCAAGATCAATAAAATGAATGTAAAACACAATTAATTCTTTAGAAAAAGGAGGAAAATTATTATCAAAACTAAAATGCAGTTAAAATACTAAAGGTGATTACTGTGAAATAAATGCTTTCATTGAACAAAAATCACAATTTCAGATATTTTTCAAAAAATTGTTTTAGTTATGCCCTACTTGATATTATAAACTGAAATAAGAGTAAGATATTATACAAATCGGTAATATAAAAAAAAGAAAATATTAGATGTTTTAATGTTTGATTAAGCTTAATCTGGTTCTTAATTTAATTAAATTTCACAATTTAAGTTGAAATTACTAAGAATGTCTGATAATAAAACAGGACAGGGTGCAAAGTTTCTATTTCTATTGTGACCATATTTAATGCTGGCAAGTAGGTTATGTGTTCGATTATAAAATGTTGTGTTTCACATCAAACTACCATACTGTTCTTAGAACTGTGAGATTTCAATCCTCAAATATTAAAAATGGGAAGTAATAGGTTAGTATTTAAGAGGAAGAGTAACTGAATATGCAAGGATGTGAATTAAAGCATTACTACAATCTATGTTAACAGATGCATGTTTTTCATATCTATGCTGGCCTTCCAAGGAATGTTCTTTCTTGTATTTGGAATGACCTGTTCTGAATTTGGAATGACCTGTCTTGAATTTGGAATGATCTGTCTTGAATTTGGAATGACCTGTCTTGAATTTGGAATGACCTGTCTTGAATTTTGAATTAAGGAAATAAAGAAACTCTTCACATATTTAACCTAAATCTCTTTAATAAACAATTGGATGCTGATACAATGAAACCTTTTTTGAAGAAATATCAGTGTTTTTACCATAAAATGTGTTTCAATTTTTCATTTTCTATGTTCTTTTATGGTTTTAATCACCAAAAAGTTCTTTATACTACATCTATTAACATTTTGAAAACTGTTTAGATTTTTCGTGAAAATAGCAGTAAACAAACATTCTAGTACTTTTTTTTGGCTATAACTTCGGAACTGAAGTTTCATGCCCTGCAATAAAATATTGTCTTGATAACTTCATAAAATAAAATGGTTAAAAAATAAAACAAATAATTCAAAAAATAATAATGAGACTACTAAACTCTTATTCCTTTCATAATTTTTTAGTCAAATTAATTGTAATTATAGGTAACAAACTAGTATAGTAAACTAACAACATATACTAATAAACTTTCATGTTTACTTACTGTTTTTCTAATTCTATAATCTCTGAAACATGAAAAATAGATAGATTTAGAAATTAGAATGTTCAAACAATATACATGAATAAAATTAAATTATTACAGCATTGAAATTTACCTTTTGTAATCGATTTAATGTGATCTGGAACCTAAAAAGTAAAATAAAGCATGCTTTAACATAAAAGTTATAATATACAAATGACAAACCTCAATACAAATTTAACCATTAAATTTTTTCTTTTTAATTAGTGATTCTCACATATACAGGAAATTAGGGACACCAAAAACATAAACAAAGTTAAATGGACTCAAAATTTGTTAAGAAATTAGACTGCTTTTAGACTACTTCATTGAACTTAACCTTAAAATGAAGTTAGTAGTTAATAATGAAATAAGTAGTTTAATAATGAACTAAGCTATGTTTCCTGTTTACAATTATATCTGTTTGTTTTTTGTTCTCTACTCTTTTTTCCACAAAATAAGTGACAACAAACTGGTTTTGCTAAGCTGATAACTTTAAAAATTGATGTACTAATATCCATCTAATATGAATTTTGACAATTTTTGGTTCTTTTTATGTGAAAAAGGAGTTATAGAAATGAGGATGCAATTGGACAACTAAATTGCGCAATTCTATTGCAGGAATCTTTTTACAGGCTAAAAATTAAAGCATATGTAAACAATCCTTAATTAAAAGAACATTAAAAAGAAATGCACTAATAGTTTCAAATATTTTTCTCAATTTCGAGAATGTTGTGCATAGCCATAATTTGTTATTTTATTTTATCGAAATATCCACAATTTTAGCATTGCTTGGTAATTGTATAAATAGAAATGACTAAATTATTAGGTATAAATATCCTAATTTATCAAATCACATATTCAAATATAAAATTTCTTTAATACACATTTTGCTTAAGTTAATAATAGCTTATATCAAATCTTAGTGGATATCTTTGATTTAATTAAAATGTAAAACTAGATATAATTTCAGAACAAAATAATTTCTTAACTAAAGAATATATTAGTAATATAATAATTACGTGAATTGAAATAAATGACACAGCACAATTTATATACATAATACAACAGAAATAAAAAATCAGATAGAGTAGTAAAAAAAAAATTAACACGAAATTTGAAGACAAACTCAAATAAAAAGTACATTATAATAAATAATTTTTTTTTAAAAAAAGAAAATAGTTTGAATTTACCTTCAGAAAATTTGAAGGAACAAATCCAATCGCGCCAGAAGAATTTCGAGCTTGCCACCAATCATCTTTTCTAAAAATAAAACACTAATTACCAAAGAATCAATTACAACTAACTAATTATAACCTTACGTTTTATTACTATTATAAACAGTAATAGAATTCAGCTATCTGATTCTTAATTCTATTGAATAAAATAATGATGATCTTAATTCTAAGATTTAATTATACTTGATTAAGATTAAGAATTTATTGGTTTTATCATAATTTTTTCAAAAATCAGGTTTTACTTGATAAGCAAACACAATTTACACACTTCAGTTTTACAAATTTTCAGAATCTCTTTTCAAATCCAATAAAATTCAAACTTAGCTAAAGTAGATCTATAAAAATTTTAACATTTACAAATATAATACCTAAATTTCATCAATTAGAACATTTATAAAAACTGCAATTAAAAAATTTAGCATTCATTTATAAAATACTACTACTTTTAGTGCAATAACAACTTATTAATGCTATTACATTTTAAATAATTTAATTAAAATGGGATATCATAGCAATCGGAAGAAATTATCTCCTTTTCTTTTACTGATGGGGAAAAAAGACAATTTATATTGAAAAAAGAAATATAATACCTCACTCCAATAATGGTTAAAGATTCACCTTCATCAAACGAAAGATCACCCTCTTCCTCAGCAGAAAACTTACACAAAGCTGTACAAACCTATAGGGGGAAAATAACAAACAATATAGTATTAAATATTTATTAAAAAAAAGCTGACATTTAACTTCCAGTTATAGTTTGGCATCTTAATTTAATATTTTTAAATTATGTAAAAATTAAATGTGTATATACATATTTTGTTAGAAATATGTCTTATATAAGATATAAAAAATATACAACTAAACTAACATACAAATGTACATTGTTCTGGGCAATTTCCCATTGAATTATTTTTTTAACTTATTGGCAGATGTGACATTTTTCTTTCTCTTAAATATTTACACTTTCTTTTTATACAACTGTGTTTCATTCTAATTTCCCCATACCCTGTAATTAGAAAATTATGGTATAAAGGGTTTTTCCGTTTTAATTTTAGATAAGCAGGTGATTCAGAGCAAAAAGATAAGAAACTTTATCCATTTGCAGTAAGAAAATTAAATTAGGCTCTTTACATGTATGATCATTTAAGAGAATAAAATTTTTTTTATAACTTTCTATACACAGAATCCTTGGTAAGCTAAAGACATGTGATGAATAGGTAATTCAAGGCGTATATGATTAGTTTAGTTGGGTCAGGTGGGCTAAAGTGGGTATAAAATCAAGCTTTTTTTAAAGAAATCACTAAAATCAAGCCATTAAATTTATTTTACCTAAAATTTTGAGGAATTCATGTATACATTGAATTCATACAGATTAAATATGAAGCATAACTCATCAATTTTGTCTTGCTTTCTTACAGTAATGCATTAAAAAGAAAATGTTTTGATATACCCACTTTACACCACTCTGGTACTCACGTACTAAAATTAGAATAAATTTTATTAAAAAACATTATTAAATATCGATTTAGAAATAAAATTGTAGGTAAATAAATGCATCATGATTTTGTTTAAAAAATAAACACTTTTTAACATATTTTTAAGTAAACGAGTTAATGTTCATGGTTATAAAAATTAGGTTTCACTTCGGGTGCAGCATATGTTGCTGAACAATTACATCAAAAAGCAAGAAAACTCTAATAATTTTTGGTTTATTTGAAATATAAATGAGAGTGTAAAAATCAATATCTATGGTGTTGTTAACCTTGTGAATGGTCATTTTAATCTAAATGCATAAATATCCCATGTATTGATAAAGAAGTATAATCGAAAAACACTTTAATAAACAAACCAGAGAAATGTAAATAAATAAAAATAAAAATATGAGCTATGAAATTTTTTTAATGTGTCAAGTCTTTTTGTAATTTAACAAATTTTTTCTTTTTTTTTCTAAACTCTAGTTAGGTTTTTTTTCTTCTCTTTTCTTTTAATAGGCAATTATTTTAGAAGAAATACAACTATCAGAATATACCAAATACTTGAACTATTATGTAAAACACTCACTAATGCATTTGATTCCTCAGACATATTAATATTATCCGACGAGTCCATAGCTTCCAGATCCAGTACTCAGAATACCTAAGGAAGAAAATGTAAGATGAGAAGGATACTATGAAATGCAATCAATTATATAGTCCAATCCAAATATATGGCAGCGTTCCCCATAAGTAATTTCAGAAGGGTGGTCTGTCATATAAAACCTTTGATCCCTATAAATGCGCTCTTTTTTATAAAATAAGCCATCATCCCTTAAAACACTGTCTTCTTACTCATGTTCCATTTTTTAAAAAAATATAAAACTCACTGTTTAAATAATAATTAAACACTGGTAAAATTCTCTGTGTTTATAGGTTTCATTCTAATTACTATTATAAATATTTATTTTGTTAGGATAATTCTCAACTGGTTAAATTTTAATAAGTTTCTCTTTTTCAGGATGGGTATAACAATGAATTTTTTAAGTGATTTTAAAATGACTTTTTAAATAAATAATTTTTTTTTTTAAAATGCACCTTTAAATGTTAATTTTTTATAATTTTTAGTTTAAATTATCGAAAAAACATTCAAGTTGTTTATCAATTTATCATTTTTTTTATTTTAATTTATTTTGAAAAAACTTAATGCTCAGAGAATGTCTTTTATCATACCTTTAATTATCTTTCATAAACTTCAAATTTCACTCTTGTTTTGATAATGTGTTCATATTACTTTTTGAATATATACATAGTAGTATAAGAAATTCAAGATTGCTGAGTATTAAAAATTGTTGAGAATTAAATTCAGTTATTACATAATATTACACAGTTTATTACATTTTTTACGGTGTTAAGTTAGTGCCCTTTCTAAACTCAAATTGCCCTTTTTTTAATCCGAGGAACTCTGTATATAATAAAACAAAGTCATAATATTAAAAATACAAAGCTTCAAAATTCAACATCAACTGCAATTTTGTTGTTAATTTCTTTATTTTAAAGCAATTAATTCTAAATATCATCTTCAAGCTTAAAAAACATTTTATAAGCTTCTATACGTACTGAGAGGTCCAGTTCCCTGCTCTTCAAAAATTTATACAAAAGGATAAATTTGATTATAAATAATAATTTTATGTAAGAACATTTTGCAGCTGTGTTTGTTGTGACAATATTAGTGATTACTTGAAACTAAAAAATAATTAACTGAACTAGTAAGAAAATATTTAAACTTAGCAATGCAAAATATGTGATATAATAAAAAATAATAAAATGGAATTGATTTTCCAGCAATCTATAACAACAATCTAATATTGCATAACAGTCAAAATTGGTAACGATCTTTATCTCTTTTGGGACTGTTATAATTTTTAAAAAAATTGGTATAAATGTTATGGTATAAATGGCTATATTTGGCAATATCTATTTTCTTTCTAGTATTTTCTGCTACTTTTGTCAAGCATAAGCTTATAAAATGAAAATCTCAAGAGAGATAAATTTTTTTACGGCAATGTATAAATAACCAAAATTTAAAGCAAACCAGTAGTAGCTAAACCACTACTAGTGCTAAACACAGTGACTCTGCTTATGCACTATAACTCATCTAAAGTAAGTCCTGTCATCGCATAAGTCAAGGGGGGGGGAAATGATATGTTCCCTATAATATATAATTCTCCAACGTGGGAAAAAAATAGTAGATCAGCAGATTTGTGTCGGCAAAACTATAACCAAACTTTAAATATATATATAAAAAAATTCTTTTTCTTCTTTATTAAAAGCTGAAGGAAAACTAAAGTATCAAATTATCAAATTACTCAAGTTTTTTCCTAGTATAGCTTTTTGGTGATGCAGGCTTTTCAGTCAAAATGAAAATTAATTGTTCACCTGTAACTCTTTTTAGTTTTAATTTTTTTTTCTCGTTTGCTTATCAAATAGATTGAATAATTATTAATGTAAATATCAATAGATGGATAAAGAAGAAAATTTATATTATTAAGGACCCATATTTATTAATATAGGACCCATAAAAATGGAAAAGAAGGGTCCTCAGGATTCATAGTTTCCAAAGATCAGCAGAATTACTGTCTACACCAGCGGTTCCGAAATGATGTTACATGGAACTCTTGAGTTCCATGAAAAAATCACAGGGGTTCCAAGAGTTAGGACATAATCAGTCACGAAGTTCTGTAATAAAATTTATATCCAATTACTTTTCCATGTATTTAATATTGATCTAATAACTATTCCTAACGTTTATTTTCATCTTTTTTAATTTTTATGTAAACAAGAGCGGCATTTCAGCTTATGCATACAATAAAAATAAAACAGGGGAAAAGTTCTATTCTTCATTGATTCACCAAGTATTTTTAAATTTTTTTATTTATTTAATATTTACAAAATAATTAATGAAATTATAACTTATTGAATAATTTCAAAATAATTAATAAAATTTCAATTTCTTAAATATTTTTAAAATAAATAATCATATTTAGTTAATTAATATTTTTCACATTTGCTAACAAAATTTCTTCTTAGTCTCAATTTGGAACTGCTGGTCTTTTTATTTATTAAAAGAAAAGAGTACTGGAACTATTGTTGCTGAAATCAAAACAGAAGAAAATTAAATAGCAACAAAAAATGAAAAAGATATGCAACTCATTAAAAATAATAATGTTTAAGTTACAAAAGTTTTGATTAAAATATTGATAAACTTGCTCACAAGCTTTCCCAGTTATGATAATAATCCCCCCCCCCCCCAGGNTAATAACCCCCCCCCCCCCGCAGGCATTGTTATGAAAAACAAAATCTTATCTTTCATAAAAAGTGAATTCAACAAAGATATTAAAAAGTGAGCAAGAATAATATGCAAATCACATTATAAAGCTATAGTACAGCAAAAATGCTCATCATAATGGTTAATGACATAACTGAAAGAATAACAATTGAAAACTCTAATGCAATATAAATTTTTAATTATAAATAATTTTTAATAAATAAACAAACGGATACCTTGGTAAGTCTGAAAGCGTGAGGAATTCGCATAAACATACAAAATCGTTTCAAAGACAGGTAACATAAATTTGACTTCGAATACTTTTTACTTCTGTGAATTGCAATATGAATTTATGCATATTTGAGTAAGAAGAAAATACTAAAATTTTCGAAAAATTAACTATGTGAACCTCGTATATTTGTTTCGATAGGTTTCTATGGTAACCAAAGATCTCTCTACACCTAAACTTTTTAACTTGAAATCTGAAAAAAATCCCATGAAAAATTAATTTATGGTCTAATAAAAATATTCCTCATATTTTCAAAACTATTGAAGAATTTTAAAATACGGATTACGTAGGACAAGAAAAATAAACTTTCCTTAATTTCATCAAATATTAATCGCGTTTAATCGATATCGATTACTAGATGACTATTTGGGTTTTCGTCCGCCAAAAATTTGCTAGCCGGTAAGTTTTCATAAATTTTAAAAAGGTGAAAAAATAAGAAAAAAAGTATAACATTCATTTCATTTGTTAAAATTTATTGAAGTGACTAAATTTTAGTATTTTGAAACGTGTAGTTTAAATCTTGTTTTGTGGATTGTAAGTTTTAAGGTAGGATGGGTGCCTTTAAATCTCTGCAGTTTTAAAAACATTTTAATTTTATTATATTTTAGGTACAATCTTCTCAACATTAATAAAAAATGGCAAATGTTTACCCTGTTAGTGACGGTGTAACCAAAGAAGTAATTCGCCCTGGACAAGGCAACGTTCCGCAGCGAGGAAGTACAATCACCGTTCATTGTACTGGTTGTTTAGCAAATCCTCTTAAAAAGTTCTGGAGGTTCGTATTACCTATAAATTATATTTGTGTTGTGTATGATTGTAATTAATTTAAACGCTATGTTTTACTTTAAAGAATGATCAAATTCAAAGAACTTCTGTTAGCAATGGAGAATGTATCAGTATTTTGGGGTGTTGAGTTATACACATTGTCTTTGGGTGACTTAGTATAATTTCTGTTTACCTCATTTCAGTGGTAAATATTGACTATCAAGATTTCGTTTTTAAAAGCGAAATTTTTAAAAAATTTTGAAATATGGGTAAGTGCAAGAAACAAAAAAAAAACTACAGAAAAGGGTATAATTGGTTGCAATCACCTGTCTGGGGAGATTTCGGTATCCTGATCTGTGGCAGAATAATCGCTATGTCTTGGAAAATTCAGGACAATGGCCCGCGAGAAACTTTAAAAAAAATCACAAAAAGGGACCAACTCGAAAGGTATAATTCATAGCCACCCCAGGCAAACATCTGCATGATTTTTTTTTTTTAAAAATTGCAAGTTTAAAATCTATTTGGCATCTTGGCGATTGTAGTTGGGGCGACAGATCACGATACAGAAATATCCCCACCTGTCTAACCTCCTATATTTTAATTTTCGGAAATTAAAAAATCCTTTGGTACCTTGGTATTTCTAGTTGTGGAGAAGAAAAACTAATTCATAAATATCCCTAAATTCTAGAACCTTTTACTCTAGCATAAAAAATTATTTGTGTTATAGGTAGATCTTTCGTCAATGAAAATGTAAAAAAAATAATTTAAGTGAATTACATATAAAGCTAAACTATAATTTTAGACTATGCATGCCATCAGGAATTATCTGGGCTTTCAAATGGACAATTTGTGACTTTTAGCAGTATTTCAATATTTTTCATTCAAATATTGAAGAGTTTACCATATTGCGATCTGTGGCAGAAAGCCTTGGCAACTTCTATGCGACAGCCTGTAAGAAATTAAAAAGAAAACTTCACAGAAAGGGGTCATCTTGAAGGGAACAACTCGTAGCCACCCCTTAGCAAACCTCTACATGTTTTTCTTCTTTTTTAAAAAAAATTTCCAGTTTAAAATCAATTTGGCACCTTGGCGATTGTTGGTATTGCAGATCCCGATATGGAAATATCCTGAAAATATTAATTTTCATTGTTTAATTTACTTAAAATGCTCATAAAAAGTAAAAAAATATAAATCAGACACATTTTGTTTTTAAATTATATTTCAAAAAATATATATATTTATAGTTACGATGTCATTACTATTCTTGTTATCAACACACATTTCTGAACTTTTTTAAATAATATACTATATAATTTAAGTGTTACAGACTACAGAGATAAATGCATACATATTCTAATATAGCAAAGCTATCTACTTGAATATGTATAATCAATATTCTTAAGATAATTTGCTTATTTTGTTCTATGTATCATATTGTATGTGTTCTCAACATTTGTGTAATTACTGTCCCAAGTACAAAAAATACCAATCAAACACTACAGATGGTTTTAGTTGAATAAAATATAACTTTCTGGTTACAAAGAACACTCTTCTCTAAAAAAGATTTAAGTTTAATTGCTGTGTATTTTCTTTTAGGGTCAATAAATTTAATTTTATCTTTAAAAAAATCTGTGGATGACTTTATTTATTTCATGTAATTACTCTCCCCCTCATTTTCTTTTAAGAAATTATGAGCAAGTTAAAAAATGTTTGTTTTGCACAAAATGTAATAACTTTTATAAAATATAGACAATTTAATTTGGTACTTTGGCTTCGAAGCAAACAAACGTTCCATACTTGCATTTTAGAGATGAGATGAGATAGTCTCAGCCCTTGCTCACAACAGGCTCATTTACTGAAAAAAGTTTTCAAGCTCAGATTCATGATAAAATTTTTAAAAACTTTTTTACTACTTTTAAACAAACATTTAGTATAGTTAGTAGGTATAAAAAATTTAAAATTTATTTATTAAGTGTGATAAAAAGGTTTTAATTGCTAATTTTCTTGTTTACGCATGTACCAATGGGCTATTAGTAGAACTGCAAAATATGGCCTGTTTCAGGCTTTAAGTAATCTTATCTATATTGGGCTTGAATTAAAATTCTTCTACCTGGAACCTCATCTCTAATGTTTTTTCAGTATTTTTTTCATTTGAATTGAATATGGTCACTCAATTTAACGGATTATTTAGGACTTAGATGTTATGAATCTCTTAGAAGATTGCTGCTACTTATTATAAGTTTTGCAATCACCCGAATTAAAAATTACACAAAATCCAATTTAATACTAAACTACTTTTTAAATCTCATCTTGTTCAATTTTGTATTCTTTTTGAATAACTTAACACCTTTGTTTCGTAATTTCATTTTGAAATAATGTATTAAAATTCATACAAGTTTTGTGCTTATGATATTAATTAATATGGCCCATAAGATCTAAGTTATTTACATTTTTCTTTATTTGTGCAGTACTAAAGATCCAGGCCAATCTCCATTTACTTTTCAAGTAGGATTGGGAAAGGTTATTAGAGGTAATTATATCATAAGTATTTAATGTTGTTCTAATCTAAATGCTAACTTCTATTTGTTGTACTTTGTAAACCAAACAATTCCAAAACATTAATAAAAAATAATTAATATTCTTTTAAAAATTGTAATGCAGTGAGAAAGATTTTTTTTTTTTTTTAAGAAATCTTCATGTATTTTAGTACGCAGCATAAATGATTGGAAATGTTTTAACTTCTAAAGTAAGCACTAAATATAATAATAATCTTAATAAATTCAGTATTGCCCTCACATCATTGTACCAAAGTATCCTTTTAAATCGGGGATTTCCAACTTAAATGAGGGCGGGGCCGCAATTAAAAACACCAGTCAAATGGCGGGCCACAACTTTATCAAAATTTTATATAGGACTCTTTTATGTTTGAAGGAACATTAAATATTGCTGTCAGATTTTTTCAAAGTTTTTAAAATTAAAAAACAAAATAACAAGCATTACAAATAATGCTTGTTACGTATCATTTTGAATCTTCTCTTAATCAGAAACTTAGTGACAAATTTTTTTTTTATTTAATTCTGTGATAAATTAACACCTTTTTCGACTTATTAGGAATTATAGCAACAACAAAAAAATTCTCAAGCAATTAATGAAATTTTTTTTTTCTGAATTTTTTTTTTTTTTTTTTTTTTCCTTTCTGCTTATGAGATATTCAATTCAAGGAATTTAGATAAAACATGATATTCATTCCCTCTTTTATGCGCTTTAAAATTTATGAATGTAAATAATTTTGTCCAAAATGAGTAGTTTTAAAAAGTTAAATCAGAGAATTTCTGATACGCACATGCTATTCACAAAATACAAAAAAAAAAAAAACACGATTATTTTTGTATTTGAATAAATATTTTCTTGGATGCAAAACCTGAGGGGGAAAAAATTTGCACCGTTGGTATGTTAAATTTCACGGAAACTAAAAAATTATGTTTTTTTTTTTTTAATCCTTATAGATTTTTTACGAAAATTGTCCGCAAAGAAATGAAAACTAATATATTTTAGTTCACGGGCAACAAAAATAGGTTTCGAGGGCCGGATGTGGCCCGCCAGTTGGAAATCCCTGTTTTAAATAATTTTGGTTAATGGTCATTCAGCCTATTGTCTACTTTAGACCATGTTTAAAGTTCAAACAAATTTAAATCAAAATACAGTGATTGCTGAACTTGTACGTTAACTATTCTTTCTAATTCATAGTTACTCTAACTTCTAGATAAAATGTGTTTGTTTCAGTTAAAACTAATTATTTCTAATTAATTTATTTTTACTGAAAACTAGTACTCATATTTACTTTTTGCATTTATTTGCCATATTTATAAATATACATATCAAAAAGTTGGAGGGGGGGAATTCATTAGTAAAGATAAGTATATGACTCAAAGTATTAAAATTTTTTGCTATAGATAGTTATCTTACTCTTTTTTACTGAGCAAGTTAAGATCATATATTATTTTTGCTGAATTCATTTTCCAATATCTTAACTTACAAACAGCACAGACCAATTTTTTTTTTATTATATTAATTAGATTTGGATTAATATTATGATGTTTTAAAATAGAAATATTACAGTGTTTGACTTTCCCATACTTTAAAATTTTAAATAAGTATATTAATGAATTTGAAAGAGCATAGTGGTGATGTGCTGAAATTGCTTTTTGTTTTAAAGTACCTAAAAATATACAGCATCATAATTTATAGATTAAATGATAACAAGTAATCTATTTTACTTCAATTCCAACAATATTTTTTTTATCATTATAAATATCATGAATGAAAGTTTTTATATCACAAATATAGCAATGTTGAAAGTAGTATTTTAATTCTAATGTAAATAAATATGCAAATTTTAGAATTTTTGGGCCAATAGGGGTGCTTTATATAAAATTTAACATTCACTATAAGTGAGGAACTATAGCGTGATAGACTTGAAGAATGGGGTGAATTTTAAACTGTTTAAGCAAATATATTTAGTTTAAAATTCTGCAATAATTTTGGATGTTAGCAATCAAACTTTTAATATTTTGTCCAAAAAAAATTCATTTAATTTTAAAGCAAAAAATTTCAAGGATGTTTATTATAAATTACAGGCTGGGATGAAGCATGCCTGACAATGCAGTATGGAGAGATTGCCAAGATATTGATTCGCTCTGATAAAGGATATGGAAGCCAAGGCTTTCCTGCCTGGGGTATTCATCCGAATGCTGATTTATTATTTGAAATTGAAATTCTCAGTATTCAATAAAATGACAAGAAATATTGTCATCTAGGTGTTAATTTCATTTCATCTTTTATCTGGATGGCACAGCTTCTTTTATTTTGTATATTTTTATTTTTCTGTGAAAAATAAAATTTGAAACTATTATGGTCAATATAGGAACTATTTATTCAAAACATAGTATAACATATACAATTCACAACAATCTTACTACTAAAATCAAAATATGCTAAAAAATTTATTAATATGAAGAAATCTCATACAGTATAACAATGGTATATATCGAAAACCTTCGAGTGCGGGTCTCATATTTTTTTTAATGCATAATCTTGGCTTAAGAAAATTGCCCTTGCATGTCAATTTTTAATTCCAAACCACATGAAACAATATTTCAAAACTTTAATTATGATTCGGGGGGGGGGAATTCCCAATTCTCCAGAGTTTAGTAATCAATTGCTCTAATGCTTAAATAACCTTTATGCTATATATATTTAATAAAACTTAAGATAAATGTTATAAAAGTTTTTATCAATACTCATGCCTTAAGGCAAGTATAACACTAGTTTACACTCGCTGGTTACATTAAAAAATATTCTTATTGAACAATAAATTTCAATGTTAGTGCTTGCCAGTTTCAAGAAGGAAAAAAAAAGATAGCAAATGATTTCTATACACTTTTCAATGACTAGTTAAGGTGAACTCGTAACTTTTTGCCTAAAAGGATTTGAAAATTAGTTGAACCTTGCATTTGAAAATTAGTGGAATTGTCTAACTTTAAGGTACAGAATTAAACTGTATAATATTTTTAAAGGAACTCAAAATATTTTAGATAATATGCTATAATAAGAAAAGTCAAAATGAGAGATACATACGTCCTTGACTGAAGGCAAGATGAACCATTAAATGGTTATAAAATCAGATAAAATGCTCCTTAATTTTATTCATATCAAGATTAAAATCTTAAAGAAATTAATAGATAATAGTTTTTTAAAACCAAAGTCATGATATAAGGTACTTACTGAGGTTATTTTTTAATAAATTTAGTTTTCAACAATTTAAAATTAGGATGTTAGTTGTTCTTGCTATAAATTGCAGATATACCAAACAAAACAATGGATATTTTACTTTTTAATCATTTTCCCTTTCTTATTCAATGTAGTTTTCTTTAAATTTTTCAACTTAACTAGGTATATTAAGGCTATAGGAATTATTGGCAGATGTTTATTTTTTAAAAATGTTCTTGCAATTATAAGATAAATCTACAGTATTTATCTTTAAAAATTTTCATGAAATGTGTTCCAAAAGTGAATTTTTCCCATTACATTAGGTCAAAAGAATAAATTTTCAATGTAAAAAGTTTAGGATTATAGTATCTCAATCAATAATTTGAATAATTATTTTATGTTGTGTCTAAAAAAAAAATATTATTTGTGGTAAAATAACAGAGTATGTGACAAAATTGTTGCTGCTTAACACTTAATCCTTTTTTTTTTTAAAAAAAGTCTAATACATACAATTATAGTTGTTAAAAAATTAACTAGGCTTGATACAAGCAGCTCCATAACAACAACAAAAATACTTAAAATATATGATAATTTCAATTCTATATATCAAAAATATTTGGAATTCACAAAAATTCTAAGGTGTCAACTGTATCTTCTGAGCACCACTTCCAGGACGGCAGGCATAAAATGTTGGATTCTTGTACTTTTTCTAGAATAAATTTCATATGTTTATATTACTTAAGGATAAATGCTCTAGTTCTCCACAAATTAAGCAGATTTAATATCACATTGCAAGTAAGAAAACTAATTTTAAATTATATATCAAAGGAAAATGTATCTTTATGAAAAATGACAGATATTCAAAAACCATCTCCGGGGGTGGTTGTATTCCTGGGGTATCCCGAAATTCCAGGTTTTTTGTATTATCCTTCCGGGTTTAAAAAATCAAGAGCATTGCATGGGATTTTTCTGAGAATATTGCGGAATTTCACATTTTTCAAGATCATTGGTTCTTGCACTTTCGGTAATCAAAAGCTTGTAATCCGATGAAATTTTCAAGGTGTTCCGCAATCTAAATTTTGAATCTCGCTAATTTCCGTTAACGAGATGCTCTATGCATGTAATTCTTCTGCCAATGGGTAGATATGATTCTTCTGATTTGATGGATTTTTGCCATTTTGAATATTTGGAACTGTGCTGCTAACATTACGATTTTTATTTCTGCGGTTTGAATATCAAACATCGATTTTCGTATTTACCTAATTGAAAAATTATAAGTTGTGATTCATATTCATGTGATTTAAAATTCCAGTTGCGCAATTCATATTCACATGAATTTAGAATCCAGTGTCACATCTCATATTCAGGCATTTTCAAAAGTCCAATAGCGCGATTCATATTTGCACTATTTTAAAATCCAATGTCGTGATTCTTATTCTTCAGTTTTAAAAATCTAACATCAAGATTCTTTGTTGGTAGGTAATTTAATTATAAATCTTATTTCAAAAAATTATGTAAAATACAAAACATGTATGGTATGTAAATTGATATAGATTTTTTGCAAAAAAATTTTCTGGGTTTTCCACTTTGTATTACAATTACCCCTGCATCTCTTAAAAACAATCCCCTCAGGTAACCAGATTTTAGATGTGTGGCATTTTTTCTTTATCGACTTAATATTAAATATACCAGGAGCAGGGTTTGATAAAACCATAGCTTTGAGAACTCAACCCAGACACATTTTTTTTTAAATACTTAAAATTTAAATAACTTTTTACTTTGAATATAATTTTTTTTAATTTTAGGAAATTTTTATTTTAAGTTAGAAATAAAATTTTCTTAAATCAAAATATTTTTAAAGGTTATTTCACAACATCAACATGTCTAAAAATAATAATTATACCATAGTAATTTTAACTCTAAAAGTGACACACTTTATTTAGTAATTTTATTTTCATAGTGGAGACACATAGTTTGTAGATTAGTTTTATTACTTGCATTTGTTTTAAAGAATGGCTTGATTAATTTAATAATGAACAATAAGTACAGTAGGGAACCGATTATCGGGACCATCGCTATTCCGGATAACTGATTTTTCCGGTTTTCTGAATCGCTACAAAAAGCCGTCTTTTTAGTGTTAAACCCAACTAAAAAAAAAAAAAATTTTTTTTTGGAAATGATCTTAAAAAGAAGAAAAAACGATGAAGTAATACGCTAATGATTATTTCCAAACTGATGGTAAGGTGAACATCTTTCAAAAAAAAAAGAAAAATCCTNAAAAAAAAAAAAAAAAAAAAAAAAAAAAAAAAAACAGAAAGATCCAAAAATCTAATGAGGAAAAAAATGGCGGGAAAATTTATCGAATTCCGTTCCGGTTTTTTGGTTTTCCGGATAACGGGTTCTGTACTGTATAAAAAAATGTGGGAATAGTATTAAATTTCATAAACTTTTATTGAAAGCATTCATCGGTCAATAAAAATAAATAGATATCTTTATAAATAGTTATTAGTATTCTTTAATTAGCATTTTACTGAAAAGCATTTTAGTTTTTTATAAATTACATCAAATCTATTTATTACTATATGTTACTTATATCCTCTTTAATGTGAGTTCTAACAGTTAAATTTTTGTGTTAATTCACTGACTTAAATTTCTCTTCATTCAAGACAGAGCCAGAATAGAAGAATCTATAATTGAATTTCTTATAATTTTTTTTTATTAGCAATATTTGAATCTATCATTTTGGTAGCTCTAATTTGAGATGCTCTTTTCAAGCCCTGAAATAAATTTGTACAGTAACTAGAAACATACTAATTCAATACCAGGGTGTGTAGCATTTTTAAAAAGTACTTATTTTCGTTTTTTAAAAGCCCTTAAAGGTGCTTTTTTCATTGGGTGTTTTTAAGAAGTGCTTAATTTTCACTTTTCCAAAATGATTTTTCCTTGACCATGTTGATTTTCATTATGAATTATGCAGAAAGACACTGTTCACATTGTTCTATTCAATGTTTTCACACTTAATTCAACCCCAATCTATTTCGGCGCATCGTCAGTCTGTAGCGTATGAAAACAGCATTTGATTTACACAATTCAAAAATTTTGACAGCTGTCAAATACAGTGCCAAAATTGTTTTTTTTTTTTTTTTTTGGACGACGGTTAAAACCAAATAAAACGGACTATTGTCAAAAACTTTCGAACCCTGCCTAATTATGATATTTTTATAAAGTGCTTAAAAATATTATTTGAGTGCTTGAAAAGTGCTTATTCTTTGTTGAATAATTTAGCTACGCACCCTGAATACTAATAGCCAATTTTATTTATATACATTAAATCAATTTGTAATATTTTATTTCAGTAGAAACACTTTAAATTTTTAAAATCCACTTTTGAATTACCTTAATATGTTCCATTGTATTTGTTACGGCATCAGTTTTCAATAAAGTTACTGTGCAACCCCCAAATCCTCCACCAGTCATCCTTGAACCATACACACCCTCTACCTCTAAAGCAGCACTCACAACTAAATCCAACTCAGAACAGGAAACTTCATAATTATCCCTAAAAATAAATTTTACATAATATTATTTGAATAATAAAATTCTACGCAGACTCTAATGGATTTTAGGTCTAAAACTTGTATAAGGTATTGAGATTACTAGTTTTTGGAATGAAACTAGTATAAGCCTTTACTCTCCATTGGCGTCTTCTATAAAACCTGAATTTTACAATAGATTATTTTGGTTATTGATAATGACTTTTATTGATTACATCAGTAAAATAAAATATTAAGTTGGAATGCCCGAACTTCATTTATACTTAGTTTACCTCAAGTTTCAGAAAATTTGTACATATTGAAATGAAAATATATAATCCTAATGTCTTTGTTTACAATTATTAGAATAAAAATTTCTTTTGACTTGTTGTACTTTAACTCCTTTTTGAGGTCAAGAATAATTTATTGCTTTAAACAATATTTTATTAACTTAAAAAGAATGTTTGTACCTTAGTGAGGCATGACTTAGGTTCATAAGATTGCCAAATTCTTTATAGTTTCCTCTGCTCAAAGCATCTGCAGCTTCAGTAGTTCTGCCTATTTCTCCAATAACATGCAAAGCTCTTTTATACACTTCGTTGTCTAAATCTTTTCTGTGCTCTATAAAAATAAGAGGAAATTTAAAAATAAAAAAACTCATTCATAATAATACAACATTCTTACTAGTATTTCTTATATAGATATGAATTTTTTATAATAATAAAACTACAAAGCTATTAATAAAACTACTGAGAAACAATTGAATGTTTGTAAGTATCACCAAACATCACAGGATGCTGCAAGATAGTGAAATAAATTAATAAAATGTTTTTGAAAAGCAAATTGGAGAATATTAAAACTTTTTCACAAATAAAAATTTTTTTTTCAGAAAAAAATTGTTTTTACATTTATACCAATTTTATCCAGTGGATTATTAATACATAAATATTTTCATCAACCTGGCAGTTTATTTTCTAATTCTCATTTCCATACTTGCTTTATTAACTGTTTTCCAACTGCATTTTCCCTAGTATATAAAATTATGTTATTAGATTTTTTTTTTAATAACGAAATCAGAAAGTAACATTTTTTTTTTTAATATTTATAAAGTAACATTTTTTTAATATTGATAAAGTAACATTTTTTTTGATTAGTAATTGAACTTAATGCTTCATTTTAAAAACTTTTTATGAAATAATTAAACAAATTAAGAGAGCATGAAAGCATATATAGTACTTTTTTTTAAATGTATAAATTTTTTTATTTCTCAGAAATATATTTTTTATAATTGATGATAAAAAATAGTAAATTGAGTTAATTGTAAATTGATGTAAAAAGATTATATTTTATCTATCATTACCGAGTTTACAATCAAGTTAGATCTTAATTTATGTATGAATACTTGCTCAACAATCTCCAAGTATGACATGTAGAATGTTACTAACTATGAAATAAAAAGCAAAAATCACTTGTAGGCATGTCATGTAATGAGCTGATCAAAGTGCCCTGGATAGCAAAAAGGTACCATTCTGCTATTGATGGCATGTATTCTTAACAATTTAAAAAAATACTTTTATTTTTTAAGAGCATAAAGAACCTGGAATCACAAATTTATAAAGGAAATGAATAACCAATGTTGTTTTGAGTTGTTTATTTCACAAAATCATATATCATATAATTTTGGTTTAATTTTAATATTTTTTATTGTTTGTAACAATTTAAATATATTTATAAATTATTTGAATATATTTGTACAAACTGATATATATTAGTACAAACTGATATATATTAGTACAAACTGATATATATTAGTACAAGTTCATACTCTTTTTCTTACTTTTTTTCTTTTAAAATTCTTACTATTTTTTAATATTAACTTTAACACAGAATGAAAATATAGTTCTTATTCAAACTAAAGTTTGTTTCATCTCAATGTTAAACTTACTCTCTAATTCATCAAGAGAAACATCTCTGAGACTAGATTTTCCAATAATTCGAGAAGCAGTTTCACACTGTAGTTTTCTGTTTGAATATTGGCTTTCTGCTAACTTATGTCTAACATTAGTATTAGTAATTAGAATGGTAACTTGTGGATCATTTAGTTCAATCAGTTGATAATCTAGTGATCTGAAATGCATCATTTTAACTTGATTAAATGTTAAGACAAAAAATAATACATGGATAACAAAATAGTTCATAATAATTATACCTGCAATCCAATAGAAGAACATGGTCCTTTTTACCCATAAATGAAATAAACTGATCCATTATACCACATGGCATTCCAGAATAATCATGTTCTGCTTTCTGACAGGCTAGAACTTTATCAATCATTCTGTAAGTAAATTTAAACTGGAAATTATAAGTGCAAATTGAATAAGATAAAATTAAGATTTGAAACTTATTTATATCATTGTTCTCCCTAAGCATATTTAGGACGGCAGCCTAACCTGCCTGCTCTTTGAGCTCTATAAATATGACCTCTTTGAAAATTGTTGGGGATCAAAATCAGCTATTGTATAATATTGCACAATTTGATAAATTTTTAAGATGAGTGCCCTTTCAAAATTCAAAGTGCCCTTTTCTGTCAGAAAGCACACTGCTATTTTTTTCCTAGGGAGAATTCTGCTTATATAATGAATAAATAGAATGAATTAACTAGGCAATGATCATTTATTCAGAATATACCTTTTGAAAATTTAACAAAAATAACTAATCACTGCAATATTTATAGAATTTAAAAATATACAGATTAGTTTACACGTATGTAGAAATTATAATTTGCAATTGGGAATATTTTTTAAATAAATTTTTCTGTAACTTATTCATTTCATTAGCACAAAATAAAATGTATGTTTAAGTAAAAATTAATATAATATGTGTTATTCTCTTTATCATTTGAAACATAAATTCATATTATTTCCATTACATTAGTAAGATTAATAAGTTTATTAATTAAACTTGGTCTAAGTTCTAAAAAAAAACAATACCACATAATATAATACATGTGTCTTAAGTGTTTTTAATTTCTTTTGAGCATGTTAAGTAAAAAAAAGGACCCACTAATAAAAAAAAATTTTTTTCAAAATACAAGATTTATAAAAATATTATATCATACTCGATTAATAGATTATCTTCAAATAATGTCTCTAGGAAACAATATGTAGCAACTTCTAATGCTGCAGAACTTGAAAGTCCACCGCCAACTGGTACATTAGTAGATACAAGTGCATCAAAACCTGTTACTTTTCCTATGAATGAAATCAAATTTAACTAAATATGACAAATAAAATTAATAGTAATAATTTAATTATATGAACTCTTAATATCTTAAAAAAATAAAGTACTTAAATAATTTTATATTCATAAGAAAAATTTTTAACTCAAATTTGGTAACTGTTCATTTACACCAACATAGATTTACAATCATATGTTTTACTGTTTAATAATTGCATCCAATTTAAATTTTTTAATTGGGCTAAAATATTTTACGTTTAGAGAAAAGAATTTGTCAAAAAAATCAACTTTTTTTCCAAAAATATGTTTAAAATTCATTGGCATAGCATTGCAGGAGTGTCAAGCGTAGTAAGTCTAAAAGATTGGGAAAGAATTGCAGGTAAGAATTAGAGTCAAAATGTTTACAATGGGTATGACTACCAGAAATTCCAATCACCTGTCAGCCTATTAATATTTATATAAATCATATTTCTTTGACAAAAAAATTTTTATTACACATCTGAATAACTAAACTAATTTTTTTCAATTATAATTTTTTAAATCTGTATTAAACTTTCATTATTCTATGCATTTGACAATATAATAAAACAATATTAGCTTTAAATAGATTTTCCATATTCCATAAACACATTAGTTTTAATCAGTGATGGCATTCAAATCATTTAAAGACCAGTGAGTTTAAAAAAATTCAGGATTTTATTGGAAAATCTGAAAATTAGTGATAGCATTTTAAAAAAATTTGATGAATCTATCAGTTAAAGGTAATGTCAGAAAATATTTATAGTACATTTATTTTAATATTAAAATAATTTCTTTAAAATACTTATCTGTTTTTAAATATTTCCATTATAAAAACCTGTAAGCACATGCAGATTCGAGGATATTGTTCAGAGAAGGCAGGCTTTTCCAAATTATAACATTAAATTTCAGTTAAATAAATTCTTATGCAATTTTAAATCATCGAAAGTAAGGTATTCTAAGAGTTAATAATTGTTTCAAGAAATTTAATTAATTTATAAAAATAATTTAATACCATAATAATTAGCTATAACTCCTTTGATATAATTAGCCCATGCAGGTTTTCCAGGCTTCAACTTTGTATTATTTCCATCTAACGAAATATCAAATTCTGTTTCTCTCGGCTCGTCAACAAAAGGACAAGCTGTAACCAAGTGACACTTATTGGACCCATTTTTTCTGCCAACAACTACAGTTACCAAAGGAAGTGCCTGGAAATTAAAGGAATCATTAAAAAAAATTATAAATTCAGTTTTTATCATCATTTAACTTAATAATGTAAGTCTCTAAGGAGAAAAACATTAGATGTAGACAAGTACTACAAACACTTACCTAAGATCTTTAAATATTTCATTAATTCTTTAAATGGCTTAAGAATACAATTCTTTTCTGGTCAAATTGGTACTATTTGAGCGTTAATTCAAAATCAAAAAATTGTGCTTAACTTTTTCAGGGTGCTTAGCATTTTTAAAAAGTACTTAAAGGTGCTTATTTTCCTTTGTGTTAGCAAAAAATGCTTAATTTTATTTTCATAACGACATTTTTCTCTTTACCATGGCGATTGTTACCAAGAATTATGCAAATAGTGTGGTTTTCACAATGGGGTCATTCAATCATAATCCTCGTTTCTGGGTGCCAATGTTCATATCGTACGGAAGCCCCAAACTTTGTTGGATAAACTACTCACTTGTTTGCAACCTTGTACATTGAGAGGAATTTTTGCATTCATACAGATACTTGATTTCAGGCTTCAATCATCAAACTGAAAATCCCTCACATTTTTGCTGCTAATGGGAACCAACTAAATAATTCTCCCTAATAGCAAAATAAAACTTTGTTTTATTTTATTTTGAAAATTTTTTCACTGATGAAGCACAATTGTTTACGTCACATGGGGTCTGTTCAAGCCAAATTTACTACCGTTTAGTGGTATCTTCACAAATTCAACTTTAGGGAAAACGGTAGTTTCACAAAATACTTTTTCTTAAAATTTTATTTGTGTATCCCTTAAGAAACGATAAATCCATATTTTTGTGTTAATTTTTTAATATAATTTTTAATTTCTCACAAATAATGTCTAAATTTTCACAATAGGTACCTCTCAGAAAAACCAAGACAGACCCCTGGTCACAGGAAAGTCCATGGTGTTCTTGCACTGCTCTATTATTAAATCAGTACAACAATCCTTAAATTTGACTTGGAGATCATTTACGAATTACATTTTCCTGTCTAGAGCAGTCAATAATCATTGAACTTCATCACTTCTAAATGTTGGTCTTCCTTTAATTCATTTGATTTAATAAAGATAAAAATTGGTTATGAGTTTATAATCATGAAAGATTGTACCTACTGAATGATTTTAATTTTTTAATTGTAGTCTTATTTTACCGGATTTGCTATTAAAATTTTCAATACTGAGTTTTTTTATGAAAAAAAAATACAATTTTTACGAGGAAGATTTCAAAAAGTATGCATTGATGAGGCCCTTCACTTATTTAATATTTAACAAATGCAGTAAGAAATTTTATGTGATTCAGATTTGTCGTCTCAATAAAATTTATTCACCACTTGAATATTTAATTTAAAAAATTTAAAATTAACGCTTCAATAATCTCAGATTTGTTAAACATAATAAATATATGGACCGTATAATAGTTTTCTTCTGATAAAAATGTTTAGCTGCAGTACTCACTGTATTTTCATATCAAAATTATCAAAACTATTTTTTAATCATTTGATTAGAAAAGTACTGAACCAAATTACAGATCTTAATTAAACATTTAATAGGAGTTATTAACCAATTTACATTTGTAATATTATTTAGATTTTCTTTAATCACTTAGTTATTTACACTACTTTATCAATGCAGTATGATCAAAAATATTTCTTAAAAATGCTTTTGTTTAGTATACATTTATAAATAATTTTTACTTAAATCTAATAAATATATCCAATAACATTTTTTAATTAAAAAATAAAAGGAATAGAAAACACCACTTCCCATTGAATATAGAATATTTTTATGGTGGCTAATAAAATCAATCAGAATTCTTTGCTTCAAACAATTTATTTTATCATGATTATGTAAAGAACTTTTAATAATAGGAAGGAAAAAAATATTGGTGTGTGAGTTTTTTTAAAAATATTATTTAAGTGCTTACGCTCTGTTGGAAAAGTTGGCTATGCACCTTGATTATTTTTTTTTAAAACTTATTTCTTCCTTTTGCTATATCTGATCTGTTCTCAGCACTTCATAGAATCTGTTCATTTTAGCTAATTTCCTATTTATCTGCCCATGTAAAAAAATATCTATTTCTTTACGTTAAATTTTATATTAAAAAAAAAATTATGACAACATAGATTTATTTATTTTTCTTGTTAAACTGGAAGAATTATTTTCTAGTGAGAGGGATATGTTATTTTTAGCTAGCATATTTTTAAAAATTATCAATCCTGGAGACCATAAAAATTTGCCAAACTATTGATGATGTCTGACAGTAATTACTATGGCAAAATATAATAAAGTATATAATGTAGGCACAGTAAATTTTTTACAGCTTTCTGAAGTAAGTAAGAATCTTTTTTAATGACATTAAGAAAAATTCCATTCTTACGTTAATGAAAAAATAAGAAAATCTCAAAAATTCATTTATAAAAGAATTCTTGTTTGACACAATTTATTAAAATTCTTTCAAAATAACTTTAGAAGTCTGAAAGCAAAAACATTTTTAAATAAGGTTCTTTCGTTGAAGTGCACATATTTTTTTGCTATTAGTTTGTTTCCTAAAGCCGTAAAAAATCATCAAAAGCAATTTCAATGAATAGAACTAATTGTATTCTTCATAGAGACTATTGGCAAAATAAATAAAATCCTGTACATCCTTACAACTGAAAAACTATATCTAAATATTAAAATAGTTATGAGCAATCAGCAAATATATATTCAAGGGTAATATAGATTGAAAAAGCCCATGTTCACAAAATCTAACTGTATTTCATACATTAATTCTTTTTTTAAAAAATTGCTGTCCTCGAAGCTCTTTAATATAATTCAAATTTGCATTTTTTTTGATAAGTAGAAATTTTTGTAACTAATATTATAGTAGAAATAGATATTGCGATAGAAAATCTCTTATAAAAATTATTCACCATAGGAAGCACAAAGCCATCATTATAATCAGTATGTTCGCCTATTAAATTTACCCTACCAGGTGCACAACCACATGATGTAGGCTGTGTTTTAAAATGATTGAAGAATAATTCGGATGCTTCTTTAATCAAATCTTCAGTTCCAATACTTGTCATTTTTGCTTAAAAATATGAAGAAATATAATATAGAGGATGCAATTTTTTTCTCTTTCGATCCAATATCTCTTTTAAAAAAATTAATGGAAAAGGTAACAATTATTTTGTGCTAAAAAAAACTCAAAGAGCCGTTTAAGAATATCTATGTTGGATCTCTGACGATTAAATTACTGATAAAAAGTGATAAAATTCAAAGTACAGAAAATAGAAAAAAATTTGCTTACATCTCAAAGAAAACTTCGTCTGCTATTTTTCTTCTAAGTTGAGTTGTTCGATACTTATATTCAAACAGCTAATTAGAGTAATGACGCATAGTTGATTATTTCAATCTTTAATTTCATTAAATAAAATCGCACAAAAGCTTTTAATAACCATAAAATTGTTTTTAACTTCTTAAAGGAAAATTTAAATTTTAGCTTATGTCATTTTAGATTAACTGTGGACTGTCAGTGAATGAAATCGAAAACGAAACTGGTATTGAACGCGCATTGTTTTGAATAATTAAAAAGCTATATATATTTCTTTTTTTATTTAGTATAAAAGTATTGAAAATGTCAACTGAACCTGAAGATATTCGTTTTAATTACATTCAAACAGTTTCTCAGCAAATATTAAACTATGCTTTAAAGTGTTGGAAAGACATTATATGGAATGAAGACATTCAAGCTATTATTAAAGACTATTTGGAGGGATCAGAAATTCTAACTCTTTTTATATACTTGGATCAAGACAATTCTCTTAAAATAACACTAAAATTACCTCAAAAATCACCCATACCGGCAAAAATATGCTTCTTCTTAAAACGCAATGTCATTGTTTCTGATACAGATTACAAACGAGAGTTGTCATTCGGTTGCATTTATGATTATCCTTTGCAAGAGTATCAATATATTTTCTCAAGAGTAGGTAAAATTATTTATGGTTAAGCTTTAAATTAAATAATGCATGCTTTGAAAAGCTTTAGTGATTTAAAATAAAGAGCAATTGTTTTTTGAACTTCATTTTCTGTCAATTGTTGTTCCATGTCAGACTTACTTAAATTTACACCTTATCGTTACGCATAACAAACACTACGCAAAATACTTGTATTTACTAACACAAACATTGTTTATACTTTGTTGGAATATTGTCTAAATTATATTCTGTGTTTGCTTACTTATATCATTAAAGTTTGAATAATCTGAGGAAAACTTTTCCATTTTTGCTGTCTATTTATTTCATTTCTTTATTGTTTTACATTTAAAAGCCCGTATCGTCGCAATATGTATCTATAGAATTATAAGTATTTTGAAAGTAATCATTGTTATAACATGAAATACTTCACTAATATTCACTTAAGTGTTTCTTTTATTAGTCATATTTCAACTGCAGTGCTTAATTAACTATAAAAGTGTTATAACAATGTTTTAATATCAAAAATTATATAAATTTATTTTCATTCTGTTTTTATTACAATTTTTCTAAAGATTTTATTCCATTAGCTATTTTACTGCATTTGTATCAGTTGATGTTGTGAATCTTTAATTAAATATCTGTAAATGCTTAACTCTTTTTTTTTTTTTTTTTTTTTAATTTTTTTCTGGGGGTTATTCCTATAACTATATTACTGCATACCTATTAACAATGCTTTTATGAATATCATTTATTCAGTAATATTCATTCTTTCATTTTTTTTTTTGGAAAGTGTGTTAGCCTTCTTCCTAATTCATAACTACTACATACATGAATACTTTATGTAAATGTTACTCTAGAAATCCAGTTGAAGGAATGAAAAAAAATCAACTTAAATAAAGGCAGCTTTTTAAAACTCCAGAAGAAGAATCCTAGAAGGTATAGATCATTATCTTGGAAAAAATATTTCTTAACATTACTAAACGCAGAAAATATATATGTACCTCATAGACTTTAAATTGCGATCTTATTTTCTTATTGCAAAACTAAACATCTTTTTTCCTCCTATCATTTCTTGATCTAAAAATGAGAAAAAACTTCTTTTGCATAGTTATCTTGTTTTTATTAAAAAATATAATATTCTGAAACTATTTAAAATTTATACCATACCATTGCTTTAACATCAATTTTTTTTTTAAATTATAGGTGCTTTCACCAATATTCTGTAATGCAGTCAATAATGAAAAGTGGCCAGCTGAAACGTTTCAAGACATGTATGAACATTTTGAAGATTTTCAGATGACATTATCATATCATATTGGTATCTGTCAGGAGAGGACTATTCTTTTAATACCTGAAACCGCCAAAATGATAGATTCCTACAACATTGATGAACTTTCTGAGCGGTATAGTAACATTTTATATTTTTCAGTGTTTTAATTTAAATTCCCATATATTGTAATATAAATTTCAAAAATTTTGTTTTGCTTTCAAAGTTAAGTTCTTTAACATCTTCATATGTTAGGTTTTATGATTGTGTTTGAGTTTAATTCAAAGGCAAAGAGCAAAATTTTATGGGACATGCTGCAAATGAACATATATCCATTTATTGAATATTAAAATGTTTGTACTCATTTTAATGTTATTTCTTGCATTTCATTTTGCTTATTACAGTAACAGCACCAATCCTTTTAGACATCTTTTGTTAAAATACATTTAATTTTTCTCGAAATAATTTTATACATTCTTTTATTCTCTGGTCTCTATGAAAATTTTGCTCACACTACATAATTTGTATAATTTTTAGAATCGAAAGACTTTCGTATCTAAAATCACAGAGTTCAGTTCTCACCATTTTACTTTTATAATTTCTTTATTCTTCATGTTTTTTATTGTGTTCATAAATATTTATTGTGTTTCATGCATATTCTAATAAATGTTCAGTGTGAAATGTTTTTATCCTTCAGCTCCACTTATGATTTGCAACTTCAAAAAACCCTGATTTCTATAACTGAAATGTTATCAAGCTGGTTTCTAATTGTTCGACAAGTACTGGAGACTACATCTGAAAGTGTTCTGAAGAAAATAGATCAAGGTCCTTTAACAGAAATATATTTTTGGAATGAAAGGGGGAAAAATTTGGAATTCATATTCTCTCAAGTATTCAATAATTTCTCTTATCTATATTTGATTTCATGCGTAATTGTGTTCATAAACAAAGAAAAACCTGTATCTTCACCATTATATATTCTTGTAATGATTGATATTTTTCTTGGTTTTGAACTTTAAAATTATAATGAATACTAACTGACTTTTATTGGAAAATATTAAAGCTACTCATAAACTCACTAAAAAACACTTCAGTTTAACTGGAATTTTCCTAAATATTATTTTGTTTCATTGTAATTTGTAAACCCAAAAGAAATTTTACAAGTTTGCTTTTTGCTTTATTTATATATTTTTTATTTACTTCATACTAAAAGAGCAGTTTTTCAAATCTAAATCTACTATATTAGTTTTTCTAGTAAATTTGAAACAATATTTTATGTACAGTGCAGAAAATAATAATACTATCACACCACCCTAAATGATTTTTGAACTAATAATCGAATCTTCACATTCTAGGACTCAATCTTAATTGTTCAAGAGGGTGACCTCAAATATACAAATTAATTGGTGCAGATGATATTTTAAGTTACGAAATCAGACTCAAAAACTTACTTCCTCTGAATAAACATACCTTTTTTTCAACAGATTCAGATTTCTTACATACAAAATATAGGGAGTAACTGCAATCTGAGAAATATGGTTCAAATAGTGTTTGGTCGGGAGAGGGGTCCGAAGTTTAGACACCTTAATGTTAATTTGATTTTTTACATATTTCACTATATCTCGAGAACTTTTTAACTGAATTAAAAATTATTGCACACAATAATAAAATTAATTTATCCATAAAGAATTCCTTGCAAAAAATAAGTTTTTGTAAATATTTATTATTTCTGTTTCTTATAGCTGAATAAACCAATTGTTAAAAAAATGGTTCTTGCTCTTGAGAAAACAAAAAGTTGTCACTATCCGAAGTTTAAGATTCTTCTTCGTGAAGTGGCAGAAGGTATTCTCTTTTAATACTATTGTCTTATTTAGTTTGTTTTTTTTATAAATTTAAGTTTCTTTAATAAAAAATTTATTTATTTATGTTTTTAACAGGGTTAGATGAAGCTAAAGATATCTCTGAAAGTTTTGATCATGTAACAGCAAAAGTAAATGAGCTTGAAGAAAGCTCACTTCAAGAATTAAAGTCTCTTTTACCTGAAACAATGAAATCAATTACATCATCCTGGATTGGTTCAAAATATTATAACAGAGTTCCAAGCCGTGTTACAGTTTTATTGAAAAAGTGCTGTATTTTTATCTCTGACAAAGTAATTTTTGAATTAAATATGCTTCAATATTTGTTATGTTGTAGTGAAATTCGCAATCTTCATCTTTACAGTTTTTGATTTTCAGTTATACTGCTTTTTTATATGAACATTTTTCTATAAAACATAATGGCATAAAACGTTTCCATTATTGTCTGCACATTCTTACTGTTTAGAAAATCATATGATATGTTACAGTTTTCTGACAGATCCAGATTTTTTTGTTGCAGCATAAAATTTATAAAAGCTGTAAAGATATATTTTTATATATAAAATTTTTCTTTATCCTTAATTCAATGATTTTTACCTTTAATATTTATTTATGATAATTTTTAATTTTGTACTTTCTGCTCTTATTAAAGCTTTGATTTTAATTATTATTCCAAATTAAAAGCTTAAGACTAAAAACAATGTTTCTTTATTAATGAAGGATATTACCTTTATAGCATTATTTCATAATTAATATTTTCAAATTGGTATTAATGTTTTACAATTATTGCAGAGTGAATTTGTTCCATTTACCTTCATTGAAAGCTTTATGTCAAACTGGTTTAGACTATTTATTAAAGCTTATCAACATTTAATGGTTCAGAAGTATAACAGTTTTAATTTCCACCAGTTCTAATTTATTTTTAATGTAAAGAAAATGTGGTATCTTTATATCAAGAAAAAAAAAGAAAATATTTTTATTTTAGTTAATATTAACTAATTATATTATTAACTATTTATTTTTATATTAAATATATATTGTTGCTGAATTATAATCTCATGTAAAATTTTTCTCTTGATACATTTTTAAGTTGTTCCATACATAATTCATAAGATTTAATCAAAATATTAAAAGAAATTTAATATTTAGCAGTTCTTTTAATGAAATAATTAAAAGCAATAAATAATTTCTTAATTTTTGAATCACAGAGTTTATTCTGATGTTTTTTAATATATTAAAAATAGGCTTTATAAATTTTAGATAAATACATTTTTGGATGCCAAAACTCTTTTTAAAATTGATCGTCAGGAAGCTAAAGGAAATCTCAAATTATCAATTGATGTGACTAATGTTTTCCTGGAAGCTTATGAGGAATGCCGTGAAAAATTTCGGGATATTTATGAAAATGAATTGTACCCATGGGATTTTCCTGATGAAAGAGTATTTTCTCAATTCAAATTGTTTTTACTAAGATTAGATAATATTCATGTAAGTAAATAATGTTAAAAATTGTTTTTAAGGTTTTTCATTTTAATCTATTTATTGTATATCCTTTCTATTTAAATGTATGTGAAAATTCAACACTGCATTTTACATAACTTATTTTTCTCAACAGTAATGAAATGAAAATTATAATATTAATTTTAATTTTGTGTCTGAAATATTTTTTTAAAGATATATTTTAGTTGTTCACTCTTGTTTTACATTTTGATTGTTTTAGGATATACTTCTCTCTGCAGATGTTTATTTTAACATACCTCATTACAAACTTGCAAGCATTCATCATAAAACATATGACAGAAGGTTACTTGAACTATACTCTGCATTCTGTTCATCATATGCAGTGTTTGAAAACTGTTCTTACAATCCATTGGATATTCAGTCTATGGTAAAAAAATTTCTCCTAGAGAAAAAAAAAAGGAATGAAAATCAGCATTTATTTTTGAAATATTAGTAAACTTTGCTTATTGATATACACAGTAACTTTTCACAACTTTCAAAGTTTTGTTTTAATATAAATTGAAGCACTTGTAACTGATTTTTTAATCAAACTGTTTATCTTAGATTAATTCAAAAGAAATAAAACAATAAGCTGTCTGTGATTAACTAAATCAGTTCAAGCTTCTCATGATCAATATTATACAGTATAAAATTTATCTACCCTGCAAAAATGTAACACAATTACAACTGACAATGATCAGTTATAATGAGAATATCTACGAACTATAAATTAATATTATATAATTTAGTGTAATTTCAGTTGTCCATGTACTTAAAAGCTATGTACTTCCTATCTTAAAAGCTCATTTTTAACTCGATATTTTAAAGAACTAAATAAATAAATATTTTTGTTTTAAAGAAATTTGATTGCAGCAAATTAGTGTTTAAAGACATATAATGTATGGAAGTATTTAATTTAAAACTGGAAGACATTTTAAAAGTATTCACTTATTATCAATAAATTTTTCTATTAGCTTTCAGAATTTTCTTCTTTTATTTGCTAAGAAAAACTTAGGCATAACTCAAATTGCTACAATATTTTTTAAAAGAGTGGTTTTTTGTTTTACACAAATTGATTTCAAAACAAACTTGCATAAAAGTAAATTAGTGTAAGTCAAGATGAACTTAACTGTATTAATTTCACATTCTCTCACTTACCAGCAAATTAAAAGTAATGTTAATTCTAATAAATGGCCTTTAAAAATAAAATTATACTGAGTATCAATTTCTTGTGCTAAAGATAAAAATGTCCTCTTTTAATTGCTAATTCATAATATTTATATAAAACTGCTTTCTAATCTCAATCATTTGCATAAGCAATGGCCCAGTAATCAAAAAAATAGTTTTTCATTTAATTTTGTTTTTTTGAAAAAATATATGAAGTTTCAGAGGAGGTTTCATGGATTTTGTAGTTTAGTATTACCATGTTGAAATCAAAAAAAGTACTCTGAATATAATTTTTACTTTTAAATGCCTATTATATAAAATGGATATTGGCAAATGGATTACATTTATTTTTCATAGAAAGTGGTATCACAATTTTTAGGAAGAATATCTTTCCTACTATGATAAATATGAAACATATTTACATTATGGAAATACATTATAATAATTTATTGCTGATATATGTGACTATGTTACTCGAAAGTTGTAAAAAAATCTATTTCTCTTGAGGTTTAAAGATACCATAACTTAAATAAGTTTTGAAATTAGTAATTCATTTCATGGTACAGTAGACTCAGAAATCTGTGTAGCTTGAAAGATAAGGTTTTTCTTTTAAAAAAAGATAATTTATTTGTTAATGTCTTCTTGCAGCATATTTAACTCATAGCTAAATGTATAACAATAAAGGTTTATATATTAACGGAAAAAGGTCACCACAAAACAGAGACATCGATGGAGAATGGAGAATTTTTCGTAAATCTAAAGATATTGGGGAATTTAATTAAAATACACAAAAACTCATGAGACAGAGTTATTTTGAGTTGATCTGATTATTAATTTTGTTTTATATTTTTATCAATAGATCTATCATAAGATTTTTTTTTTTGCCTTTTTAATGCATTTATATCTATTACATTTACAAAATTATTTAAAAATTTTATCAATTTAAAAAAAAAAACTATTTTTTTTACCAAAAACTTTATGTAATATTTGTTAGAAAATATTGCACAATCAAAAACAAAATATTTTGTCTTAAATATTAAGTAAACAGTATATTATTATAGGCATGCTCTTTAATAACAAATGTTTCCCACAGTGAGTAAAAATTACTTTTACTGTTATCGTTGATCAGCCATCGTTAGCAGTTTAAATTAAAGTAAAGTGTGTATTGTATATTTTATTTCTTAATTGCTATTATATTACACCAGAACATTTTCACTTAATATATTTGTTTAGTTTATTCCTTTAATAATTTTTTTTTAAAAAACGAATTGTTTATTTTCAACTTCAAAAACAAGTAAAGGTATTTAATAAATATCCGAGAAAGAACTGAAAGATTGAAAATTAAATACCATTATTTATCAAAATCAGTGAAGTTGATGAAAATCAATCTGAAAAGAGTCAAGAAATTATTTTAAGTGTTAGTGGTTACCCTAACAAACCACTTATGCAATAAATATGTAATAATCAATTAAAAATTATTAACATACAGTCACTAATTTTTAATTGATTATTAAATTTTTAATCCCTTTTCCAACTTTTGTTAAATATTTTTCTGGAAATTTTGGAAACATCTGTAAATGAAAAATGTCGTTTCATAACTTGAAATTAGCTGTTTAAGTTTTTAAAAACTAAAAAGAATAATTAAGTTTTACTTTCTTTGGAATAGGATTTTACTAAAGATTTTGAGCACTTTACTGGAATAGTTCTTGAGCTAGATCACAAGTTAGGCATAATCATTGGTCAAGCATGTCTTGATTGTATTCCCCCCGAAGATGGATTTAAGGTTTGTTGCCTACTTATTATTTTTATTTGAGTAAAAGTAACAGAATGTATATGAAAAGCTTGGGGCACTGCAGTGATAAGTCGCACTTTTAAATGCTCTTCTAAGCAATTTGAAAATGTTTATCATTATATTCCCCCAAATCCTTTCTCTTTCATAAATAAAATATACTTTAATGTGTTCTATTTTTAATTAATAAAATTATTTAAAAAAGATTTTTAAAAAAATAAGTTTTTTTTTTTTACACATTATTAATTTACATCTAATTATTTTATCCATTAACCTTCGAAAATTATTTTTTAAAAATTTAGTTTTTTTTCTTCCAATTCTTAATGTTTAATTCGTTTATTTATTTTTGTATAATCTGTTTTGTTTTCTAAGATCCTTGCAATGTTCTTTGGAAAATACTCCGATAGCAAAATATTACCTCTAAAGCTTGGAACTTTGAAGAAAAACAATCATTTTCAATCAATATACACCCATGATTTCTTTAAATTAATATTGTTATATAGAATAGTCATTTGGGTTTAATACCATCAACGCTTTCAAATATATGTTAATAGAATTTCAAAATTTAATTTGGTTGTTTGGTGGCAATTCTAACACTTTAAAGAGAGAGAAGTCTCTGTTCGTTAAAAAAATGATTTAAAATTTTTTTGAACATACAATAGTCTGAACTAATATTGATTCAGCTTAAAAAGGAACATCATGAGGAAAGATTTCTTGAGTAAGTGTTTTATTTCATACCCAAACACTTAGAATACTATACAAATTGTTTTTTTTTTTTTTTTTTTTTTTTTTTAAGTTTTAAAATTGTCTGTAAGTGAATGCAATATTTTTTATTGTATATTTTGTAATAAGTGAATGAAACAGGAGTTAGAAAAAAATAATTTCCGAATTAAATTTGTAGAGATTTAAAATTAGTGTATATTAGTAGTATTAGTAATAATAATGCAAGTACTTTAATTTCTTCTCATCTTCCACCAGACTCATTTGTAAAGCTTAAATGCACTTTGATAGTGTAAAATATCTTAAAAGTGTAAATATATTTTAAAACATAAAATATAATATTGAGTATTAAAATTTAAATTTTTGTCAATACAGCATTCAACTGGACAAAATACACCTACTTTCATGTGAGGTATATTATATCTAATATTTCAATAAAATACACATACCTGTCATAACTTATCTAAAAATCAACAACTTGTGAAATGTTTTCCTTTCAGTCAATATTTTTTAAACTTGTCTGTGACATTTAATTTCAAAACAAATATTATGTTTCTTGATTTTGTTAGACTTTTAAGATGTATGATCGAGTTGTTTTAGTAAACATTAGTTTCAGTTGATATTGGATTTTATAGATATGCTACTATAATACTAGCCTTGCTGTTCCTGTATTAAAACATTTTATTTCAAATGCAATTCCTTTTTAGTTGATAGATTTGTTGCAAGGATTAATGAAACGTCCTGTTGTAGAAATGGAATTCAAAAAGTTGATACCTTCTCACATGGAGAATATTTATGAAGATTTAATTGCTGCTCAGAAAAGCTACAGTGGTTTAGAAAGTAAATTTAATGAATCAAGTGAGGTGTTTGTGTATAAAAATCTTCCAAAAATTTCTGGTATTCTGCAGTGGAGTAATGATCTATTTAGTAAAATAACTTTGTCTGTTCAAATGCTGGAAAAGAAACAGGAATAGTAAGATTTCGGTTTTTGCTTTTCTGTCATTCTTAAGATATCTTTTAAATTGTCATAAAATACTGGGTAATGAGTCCAAAACACATGCAAGCCTACCCATCATTTTAAAGTAGTAATACCATTCGGGCAGAGAGAAGTCTCATAGAATTATTTTAGATTAGAATTTTTTGATTCCCCATATTAAATTTTATTTATACTAATTTATATGTTTATTAGAAATATGTTTTTTTTTTATTAATATTTAAGTTTTGCATTTTTTAATCAGTTTGTTGTTCAATTGAAAAATCCTATAATTAATTTTGAAGTAAAATATGATTGAGTAAAACATTTTTTTAATTCAAGTTTCTTGGAATTAGAAACCTCATATATCATAGAATAAATGCTAGTACAGATTTTGGTATTTAAATACTAAAACTTGCCGGTTATTTTATATATTTGATTTTTATTTCATTAGTAAAGCTGCCTTAACTATTACTCTAGTACCATAACAATTTGTACTTTCTTAATTAAAAGTAGTTATTTATGATATTTTTGTGTTCTCACAATATAACTACTATGCCTCGTAATAATGTTCATGTCTCTTTTTTGCAACCAGGGTCATTATATTAAGCATCATTTGTGGTACCTTTTTTTGAACGCTGTTTATAATAGTTATGGTGAATTTTCATAATTTTATATAATTATAAAAAATTGAAATTCAGGAAATAAATTGATTGATTATGAAATGCTTGAAAAATATTGTAGCATGTATTTATTTGTTGCAATTATTTTATTAGGTATATGATTAATATGTAGTCTTTTTAGCAATGTTTTTATTGTATAGAACAGATTTTTGTCCTGCAAATTTTCCACTGTTATAATGGAGGTTTTTTAAGGAAAATAATACAGATGGTTTCAAAGTTTGAAACTTTATTTTGTATGCCCTATAATAGAGTCAAGTATTCTGACATGTTTGATTTTTTTTTTTTTTAATTTAATTATTCCAATTATATCTGACTTTTAAAAAAAGAAGAAAGCATAAGTTTTAAGTCCAAAATTGTCTAAATTTCCTCAAAAACTAAAAATGTGGTGGATTATATATAATATCTTTCTTATCTCAACTTGTGAGCTATATTTTACTAATTCAGTTTCGTTAAAGAAATGAACATGAAGTGGGTAAATTTGTTTTTATTTTGAAATATAAAGAATTTTTGCATTTGAAAAAAAATTAAGATATTTTTTGAAATTATCAACAAAATTATTTCAGTTTTCCTACACCTGAAATGTATGACTTTGTTATTAAGGCTTATCTTGAACTACAGGATCTACTTGAAGGGTATGTATTTTAAAAATAATAGTTTTCTATAATAATTATTCATGCATATGGGAGAAAGAAAGAAGAATAATACATAATCCAAATAATCTATGATTCCTGAAATATTAATAATATTATTATTAATAAAAATTTTTTTTGAAAATTATATATTGGATTTAAAAAATTTCTAATGATATGACTATAGTTTTACTTAGGTAAAAGATAGTTTTGGTGTTAATAGCAACTTAAATTATGTTTAAAAGAATTTTTAAATTGGAAAAATTCTTTACACTTAAATTATGTTTAAAAGAATTTTTAAATTGGAAAAATTCTTTACAGTTAAATATAATTTTTTTAAAAANTGGTAAAGTTTCTTAACTTGTGGCTTTTAATCTGTTAAAATAACATTTTTAAATTAAACTTAAATGTGTTGTTTATGAATAATAGAAAAAAATTACCTATTACATTTTGTTCTGGGGCAAAGTCTACCTAATTTTAGGGTTGCACATACCGTCATAAGAAAACAGTCCTTATATTGGTTACCTGGCTGGTTCACACAATATTTTGGCCGATCATCAAAAGTTAGAAATGAATTTAAAAAAACTAAGTCGCTTCAAAATATTATTTTAAAAATTTCATATTCTTTGACAATAAATATATTTTATTTTACAAGTGTTCAATTATTAAAATAATAGAATATGACATCTATTTTAATTGCAAATTACCTAATTTTTAGACTTCGTCAAAAAGTAATTTCTCATTGGGAAGAGACCTTAAATATTTTGAAGGTGAAACTAAATGATGTTGTTTTTGTGAAAGATGATGCAGATGTTACTCGTTTAAACTTTAAACCTGAGGTTTGTATTTATTTATTTCCTTTCCACTACTCTTTTTCATGATGTTTTATTCAACTTTTGGAGTCTAGTACAAGTTCTAATAGTTTTCTGACATGCTGAATTATTACTAAAATTTTAATTTTGTTTCACAAATTTTCTTTTTTTTTAAAGAAAGAAAAACTTTATAATGTTTACATAACATTTGTAATAACATTTATTAGATTTGAAATTTATTTTGTTTGATTTTAATAAAACAAATCCATGTGATATTTTTCAGATACATGAAATGACCAAAGAGATAGAATTTCTGAAACACATTGAAAAAGCTAATTTAATGCCAGATCACGAGTTTGATTGGGTGACTAAAGAATTTAAATTGTCTCAATCACTGTTAGCCAACTGTATCTCATGGTATACTGATTTGAATGAAAATTTACTTGAACAAGAGAAACAGTTAGTAATTCAACAATGGAGTGAAATAAAATCATTTATTGAAGAAGGTCTTTCTATAAATTGGACAAGAGTAGGTATGTATTGTTTAGGATTCTTTTGTAATGATATAAAATTGTAAGAAAATAGTGTTAATTATCCTAAGGTTTTATAACTCTCTTTAATCAAAAATTTGTGTTTAGATAATAATAACAATTCGAATCAAGTATAATTCAGGAAGGCAAATAATGTGTTTTCTATAGTTTTTATTATGTATTTAGTGATCTTTTATTTTTAATTCTTTTTAATACTTTTTTTCAGCTTTGAACAACTTATTTATTTGTATGGTAATTAATTTTGAATCAGTTTTCTAGATACTTAATAAAGTAAGAAGTAGAAGTAGAGAAATGTTAAGGTATAAGGGGAGTGCAATAAAGTAGGTAAGAAGTAGAGAAATGTTCTGTTACTAAATGTGTGGTCAAAACAGTTTTCAAATTACTGATTTTGATTTCTTCAAAAGGAAATAAATCACATTATAGTAGGAATACTATACTTTTCATTAGCATTGATTTGTTTTTATATAAAATTGAATATCATTTACATTTTAAGATACTAACAGTAACATCTCAAACGATAAATGTTTATTGATCATTAAAATGAGTTTTTTCAAAACAATTACATACTTCCTGTTCAAAGAAAAATTTTGTAAAAACATAGCTTTTAAGATTTAATGGTGCACTCCCCTTATAATGTTATAACTTGCAGTTGGATGGAACCAATGGCTTTCTTTTAAGTAGGTTGTGAAGCTGACTGTAATTATTTTTTGTTATTTTATTTAATAATGGTCAGAAAAATTTTAGTTGTAAGGTATACAATTTTTACATAATCTTAAAGAAAGTAATTTTATATGATAAACTATAAAATGTAAGTGCATTTGTTTAAATAGTTTCTGAGTTAGGAAATTTTTATAAAAAGTCATATATTTTTTGATCATATGATTCAGGGTGTTTCGTTTTTTATTTTGCGTACTGTAGATTGCTGCTAATCTGGGAGTTGTTTATCAATTACCAGACTTCAACAATGATTCAAAGTTAAAATTTGATGTTAATGATTCTCATTAAACTGAAACTATAAGGAAACACATTAATCTTGCATGAGGAATGGTTATCGTAAGAATGTTTTTGTGACTTAAGCATTGACCTTGATTTAATTTTTTTAAACCTATAATTGAAGATTTTCATATTAAATTACTGGGCTATTTGTCTCAGAATGTCAATTATTTCTCTAATTTTTAAAATATTTAATTCATTATTAAGAAAAAGATATTTCAAAAATATTTTTCAGTAGTAATAAATTTCATTTCAATTATTTTATTTTAGTAAAATAATGTATTTAAAAATTATTAGGCAGCTGTACCAACTGGTCGCTGCATAAGTGAATCTCCAAAACTGGTTTTGCTGTTCCTTTTAGATTGTTTTGCAATTTTAGTTTGCTGTGCTTGCTCATTGTATACTTGTCTATTTCAGTCTAGATTTAAATGAATGGTGGTTCTCTTTTTTAAAGAAGTTCTAGAAATATGCAACCTATACATCCTGTGGAACTTTTAATTTGTATACATTTCATTCAATTATCTTCTTTGATTTAGATGCATTTGAAGCTAGACTAAACCCTCAAATTGTGTCCAACTCCTGAAACCTTTTGCAATTTCTTTCAGCTTGATTTGATCTCACTTCTCTCAAATTTCTTTTGAATTTTATCTATTTATACTATTTTGAATTTCATTACTTGAAGAACTATCAGCTCTAAGTCCTTTGTTTTAACATAAATTTGTAAAATGTTTAAAAAATATCAGAGAAAAATGCAATAAAACATTGCCCGTGTGAAAGAAAATATTTTTATTCTGAAATATGTAAACAAATGCATTTAAGTATTTCCAGTTCTTTGTTATTTATGTGGGGAAAATATTTCATTATTTTTTTAATAATCTACTTACACATGAGTGTTTTATATTCTATGATAATCTTTTGCAAAAATGCTTAATAATAATTTTTATATTAAACAACAAAAGTGTATAGGTAGTATAATTGAAAGTCACAGCATGAATTAAATTAATTCAATTTGAAGCATAAAGAGCTTGAAATCTGAATCAAAAATAAAATCATCAGATAGCCCTTCCTCTGAAGATTTCTCCATAATGACTTCCGGTTTATCTTTGATCTCTAATTCTTTTCATTAATTGCAAGAAAATCAGACTCCACTGAATTAGCCTATCTCAACTGTGGCCTTCCCCTCTTTCTTGTTCCAATGGGTCTAAAAAGCAATGTCTTTTTTATTGTATTTTCATCTCTCATTTGAATCATATGGGCCATCCAATTCATTCTATTTATTTTTATGTATTTAATAATATCAGTTTGTTTATAAATCTTGTACAAAGTTAAATCTCTTTTTCCAAATATTGTTTTCATTTACACCATCAAGTATATTTCACGAAATCTTTCTCTCAAATATTGCAATACATTTTTCCTCCAGTTTTGTCATTGTCCAAGCTTCAGAAGTATATGTCAAGATTGACCTGACAAGAATTTTGTAAATTAAAAGCTTTATTTTTTTTTAGAGAGAAACTTAGATTTGATAAATCTTTTCATCCCATAGACAGTCCTATACAGTCGGTTTTTTATTTCAGGAGATTTTCTGTCGAAGCACATGCACACACACAAATTAAATAGTGAATTCTAATTCACATTTTTAAAAAATCTAATTAAGTTTAAATTAATAAAGAGTACATATTTTATTTTATTTATATTAATTAATTTTGTTTAAATTTAATGTTTTACTTGTGTTTTTTCTTAATTCAACTGTCATAATAATTGTAGAAATATGATAATAAGTTCTTATATTCTGCATTGAATAAAAATAACACAGAATTTTTTTAACACTCTAATAACAATATGCTTTTATTTTGTAGACATTTTGAAATTTGCTGAAAATATGTATAATGTAACTAAAAAAGTGTTTGAAAATGTTCATCTGTCTAAACTAAATATTAGTGAAGTAGAAAAATTTATTAGCACTTGGAACACTACTCCAATGTTTACAAGGGCCAGCCCAGATTCATTGGTAGATTTTGAGATTTATATGAATGAAGAAGTACGCAATAAAAAAGATTCTGCAAAGAAATCAACTGAAATGATGCAATCAGTAATGGAAGTCAGTAATAGTGTTTCAGTTTTGAAGCCTTTTTCAAATTAGTTGCATAACTTTTAGTTTTTTTAGATAAGAAAAATTATAAAAAGTTAATTAAGCGAAATTGTCTGTTGACCATTTAGTGTGTTAACATGATTTAAGACTGTTTTCTAGACTTTTTTTAATCATTTAAAGGGTCAGTTTTTGGGCACAGATCTTTTGGATCCCTCTCTAAACTATTCTGACGATGTTGTTTGAAAATCATACAGAAAATTTTAATCGGTTTTCACCTGAATGAATTTAGATATTCTTTTCTTTTCATTTTATTATAAATGAACAATTTTGTGTAGAATTCAAATCGAAGTCAAAATATTATCCAATGCTGCAGAGACAGTATTTTTTGTCACTGTTTTATCAAAATAAAAATCCATATAAGATATAATATTAGAAATTGAGAATTTGATTGCTGCATTTAAAGTGAAATGATCAAACCAGATTCAGTAGGAATTTTCTCCAAGTTTGTAAAAATCGTGAATTTTATTTTATTATTCTTTAAGATTTTAACTTTTTATTGTAGTTTAATTTCTTGAAAGTAGTATTTAAAACTTTGATTCACGCAAAAATTATAAATTGAATCAATCTTAAAATCAACAGTTAAAAGATTAATAACCATGAACCATCAAATGATAAACTTCTCAAAAGTTGAAGAAATTTGGAGTGGGCTCCAAAAACTTTGTGTAACTGAATAATTATGTCTATATTACTTATCAAATTGCTAGAATAATCACAGATTTGTTTTTTGGCAATTTTTGTTTCTTAAAATAAAATTTTAAAATTGAACTTTGAAGAAAATTTAACTTAATTTTTCAGCAACCCAAGAACACACTGGTGCTTATAAATTTTTCTTTGTGATAACTACAGTCTTAAAATCACTCTAAAATCTTAATATTTGATTTCAAAATTTGTTATGAATAGGCAAAAGAAATTTCATTTATAAATTATTTAGAAGGAAACTGTAAATTAATCTTGTAAACAATACTTTGGTTCAAATCCTGGATAGAATAAGTATTTCAGTTTTAGGACTGATTCTTGTCTTGTTGTTAAGACATGGACTGAAAATAATTTTTCCACTTATTCATAATAGAAATTAATCTTATTAATACACACATTATTAGAACTCTATAATTACAACAATGTTGAAGTATAATAGTTTTTAGTATGTCTAAATGTCTTTTTTTTATGTCTTAACTATTTGGTTATCTATTTCATTTTTCTAATTAACCAGAACAATATATTTACTGTATATTCATTAGATAGAATGAAATTATATCAAATATATAGATAATCTCAAGGAATGAATGATGAAAAATAAATTTAAAAAATTTATCCTTCCAATAAAGAGTTTCAGTCCTGTTTATAACCAACTGATTTCTATCATTTTCAAAAACAAGTTAGTTTAGAATAAATTTCCAATATTTTAATCAAAACATTCGAAATGTAAATTGTAAAGGTAAACTATTGTAATTGAATGTAAACAATTTTGATAATACAATATGAATAAATTTTCCATAAACTATGTAAACATTTCTATTTTAGATTTATGTTTCAAATAAACAATCATGATTAAGAGAGGAAAATTTATTTTCTTCATGTTTTTAAATTCTTTTAAGTCAATATTATCTGTTTAGAATGCATTAAAACTGTTATTTGATAATTTATTCTGTTGAAATAAATGTGATGTTTATTTAAATAAAGTAAGAACTCTCATGAAAATAACCTTAATCACCTATTTTTCACTAATCATACTAAAGATTTTTAATTTTATAAATTTCAAACTAAGTTAAACAATATTTAAATGTAATTGATATATAATGAATTAGAATGAAATTTTCCACATAGCAGTAACGATAAAGATTTAGAAAGAAAGTGACTGAAATTAGTTTTATATGAAAGAAAAACGATTTTTACTACCAAATTGTATGAAATCTATAGATTAAAATTTGAAAAAATATTTTGCTAAATACTGAAACAGAAGCTAAATAGCTGAAAACCATGCTATTTATAAAATATTGTCATTAGTGACGCCATTCTTCAGAAAAATTCATAACTGCATCGCAATAACTTACTAACTATTAAAAATATTGAAAAATACTTATAAATTTTCATATAAATAAAGTTTGTTCATTAAAGCAAGTCATTTTTTTGTAGAATCAATTCTTTGCGGCGATAACATTTTTAAATAACTGAGAAATAAATAAACTTCTGTAAAATGTCGACTAAGCCCTCAACAAAAAATTTTAAGGCTAGTTTAATGAGGTTTGCTTGTGTTTCCTGCCTATTCCTGTTTTTTGTTCTGAATAGTTCTATAAAAAAACTATTTCTGCTTCACCCGATCATCCATTAATTTATCCTTTCCTCTTCCCAATTTTTAAAATGTCTTCTTTCTACAAGGACTTGGAAAGCAATATCTGGTTTAAATTTTCAATTGAAGAGTATGGGAAAGCAGTATCAGATTTAAATTTGACCTTGATGCGAGTTCAATTGAAGAGTATGCTCTTGAATGTTTATCTTTTTCGATCCTTTTGTGTTCCACATTTGAAACTAATAACACTAGAAATGGCTGGGCAATAGGAGAATATTGATAAATATGAGATGGGAAATATGATATGAGAAAATATATCATATGAGAACTTATTCTATGCCTATGGCTGGTCAATATTTGTATGAAATAATGGGTTGAAACTTAATCAAACCTGTGGGCTTTTGTTTGGTGTTTTATAATAAGACGTTTAAGTAATATAAATAAAAAAATTAATTGAAAAGTTCCTGTTTTTTTCCAGTAACATTATTTTTTATTTTAAAGGAGTTTTTCTATTTATAATTTTTTTTTTATTTTGATGAAAGAGTTTGAAATAGAATGACAAAATACAGTTTTTCCTTACCTGTTTTCTAATTTTTATTTTCAGAAAAATAAAAATATCTTTGAGGCTGATGCACATTCTACTGAGTGGAATGATTACATCCACTACTTAGATTCAATAATAGAAGAAGGTCTGAAAACTGTTGTGAAGTCTAGTTTACAGTATCTGAATGACAACACAGATTCATCTAATCAAAAATTGGCATGTAACAATTTAGTGCATAAATATTTTTAATTCAACTTTCAAAAATATATTTTATTATTATTATGGAAAACCTTAATTTTAAAATGATTGTGTGTTTTTTTCATTATAAAGCCATGTTTTAAGGTAAAATTTAATATACATATATTTGTGTTAGCATAAAATAAGTAATCATTAGTCTTTAGGTCTTTTTAAAGTTTTTAACTGAAAATGAAATCTTCCAAAATCAATTATGCACGTGCATAACTTATAACTAATTTGTTTTGATACTGGGTACAAGAAATATCAGTATAACCCATCAAAACCAAATTTTTTTTAAATGGCCTGACAGGGTGTTGTCTCACCATTTTTTTAATAAATCTGTGCAGAATTTTGCATTTGTTAATGATATTGATTTTGTTGCTTGAACCCCAGAAGCTTTTAAACAGGCCTTTCTTTCATTGGAGGCTGAAGCAAGTAAAATGCATTTTGCCATTAGTCAGAACATGTCATGCACCAGATATAATAATCATTTTTTTGAATAAAGGTGTGAAATTGTTAATAGGCTATGAAATAAATGCAATAAATGACATAACGCCTGAGATTCAAGATAGTGTCACAACTGCTAACAGATATTTCCTCCTACAAAAATACGGCCTGCGCTTTAAAAAATTGCCTATTCGCTGGCCTACAAAAATATTTGAAATCTCTATTCATCAGCAGAAAAACAAAATTATTCATTTGCAAAACTTTAATCAGATCCATCCTTACATTTGACGCTGAAACATGGACAATGATCAAGAAAAATAAAGGGAAGGGACGCTTTCCAGATCTAAACGGAGAATATTAGGAAGTATTTTTGGAGGAATGAAGTGTGAAATTTATTGGAAAAGAAGAACAAATTCAGAAATCTTACAAACTCTATAAAGATAAGACATCATTAAATTTATTACTATACAAAGGTTTAACTGAGCAGGACACCTTATAAAATTTGATAAGGGTCAAGCCACTAAGGAGATTTTGGCCGAACCATCTATTACCCTAAAATGTGGAAAACCAAATCTTAGTTGATTGACTCTCTGGATTAAAACTATTAGGATAACAAACAACAAAAACCTTAGCTATGAACAGGATGGCATGGAATGTAATTTTAAGAAAGGCCAAGGCCCATTGGTTGCTGTTGTGCACATTGAAGAAGAAGAGCTTTAATAATTTGGACTCTGTAAATCCAATATTTAAGTTAATCCAAACCATATTCCAAAAATTATGATTTAAAAGATTTTTTAGAAAAAGTTATTTGTTTGTAGGTACAAAAAAAAAAAATTCATGCATTATTTATGCACATTAGAGTAACACAATCATTACTCAAGGTAAGAGGAGTTATATTCTTTTTCTGTTTTCTAGTTAAATTTAGTTTATATATTTCATGTTTTTTTTTAATCAGAAATCATATTTTTTTAAATTAAATTAATTCACATAAGTGGGGCTCTACTATTCTTGTAATAATTGTAGGTGTAGAATTTTCATAACAAAAGTGTTTTCTCTTGTATTACAATCTAACGCAATACCTTTATTATTAGTTACATTGCTTTATGAATTTGGCTCAATAATAATGGCTCATTGTTTTGTATTTAATGAAAAAGACTCAGTGGCACTGAGTCATAACAAGTTATTGTAAGAGGATGAAGACAAGAAAAATCTTGTGTGTTTGAGAAAAAAGAAGGAATTGACTTCCATTTAGGGAAATATTCTGATGAAAGAGATTTAGATAGTTGAGATTCTGGCATAATTACTAAATATTAGCTTGGCAATAGACAGGGTTAGTCCTACGTCATCAACGACGTCACTAGCTCTCCTCGTTCCAAACTTTGTTTTGAACAGAGCAAACAATATGGCGTTTCTCGTGTAGTTAAAAGTGGGTCAACTAAATCTTTGAATATATTAATATAGAGTTGAATTTAACCACTAAAATGGCAAGAAAAAGTGTTGCATATATTAATATTATGTTAATCTCTTTTTATGATATTAATTGGAGTAGCTTATTAATTGTAAATGGTTATGAAAACTTTTTGTATGTATGATTAGGAGAATTTGTATTTAATATTTACCATATAAATTGTAGTTATAATCTGGAAATCGGAAATTTGTGAATTTTATTATTTGGAAAATGTTATTTCTAATTTATGTTAAATTTTTCTTAAAATATGTATATTATATTAAATCAATTTTTTTAATAATATTGAGACAACTTATTAATTGTAAATAATAATGAAAATTTTGAAACAAATTAAAAAGTTATGTAAGGAGCATGAATAAAGTCAGATAAATTAGTAAAAATTATAAAGTATTTAAGATACACGTTTTTAAAATAGTAAATTTACCAATAAATTTGAGCTAAAATGATAGGAAGTAAAAAAAAAAAAAAATTATGTAAACAAAAGAGTTGACAGGTCTTAAAACATATTTACAACCAAATTATGAAATAAATATGGATGACTTGAATGTTACGTTCACTGCAACAAATAGAATATTACTATGAAGGTAATTTAAAAAATTTTGATTTAGACTGTCAAATGCAAATTTTATTCTATAAAAAGTGATAACAGTAACATTTGCCAAAATAAAAGCTGTATAACTAAATATGCATACATACATTAAAGAATTAAGTTTCTAAATTAAAAAATTTCTTAAAAATTTGAATTATATTTATTTGAAATGCATGCGAAATTAATATTATTAAATAAGTAAAATTTAAACACCTATGTGAATACATAGATTAATAAATATGAATGTTAAATAAAAGTTTATGTATGGGATAAGTATGTTTTAAAGAATTCTAAAAAAATTCATGTTGCACTTTCTTATCGAATAAAATAGGAATCTGAGATTTTAAGATAAATTCATATATAACACCTAAAAAAATTGTTCCTCTCACATTTTAAAATGAAAATTAGAAATTTAAAATTCTAAAATAATTTAGCTATTCTATATATTAAAATTCTGGAAACTATACATAGTATTGACCCTTTTAACATAACACTACACTTTAACATAGCACTACACTAGTTACGTTAAGAAATAATCTAATATTAATTATTTAATAATAAGGTATCTTAATTTTTTCAAAAAATTAATGCATAAAACTACTGTTAAAAACTGATAAATACAAACAAGAAAAAATCTCAAGTCAAAATAAATCTGAGTTTAAACTAAAACTCTGTGCAGATTTAAAATTAAATAAGTTAGTTACATAATTTATTCCTATTTAGTAGTTAAAAACTAAAGCTTATGAGAATTAGCATCAATAATCAGAAAATCTTAAGCAAACAAAGTTTACAATAACTACAAATTTTATCATCAGACATAATTAAATAAACAGACATATTAGTATTGATAAATACAATCTAATTATAGATTAAAAATTAATTACAAAACGTTTTAAAACAATGCATGCCTATCCATAACTAAAGAAAAAAATTAGATATAGATCAAGAATATGAAACAAATTCTACGTAAAATAAGACATTATTATAAACATGAAACAAGAGTTAAAAATATTGACGCTTAAAGCAAATATTGACGCTTATAGCATTTAATGCACTTAACTCGTAAAATCTACTGATACCCCGTATAAAGAAAAGTACTTAAATTAGGAATAAGTCCCTTAGAAGCGCTATATAAATTTATTTATTTCAATAATAAACTAAAAATCTTGCCGTCTTAAATTCACATAAGAAATGCCATTGAAATGGTTCGTTCGAAAAAATGTTTGGAAGGAGGCGGGGTTTGACGTCATAAAATATGTCATCACTGTCCCTGTCTATTGTAGTATAAATCATACTTTATCATTTATTTGTTTGTTTTTTTTAAATGTTTTTTTTTAATATCAAAATTCTTTTATATTATAGTTTCCATTTTATAAAATAACGATGCAACTTGAACAGAAAATTGTTTTTGCACCTCCCCTGAATGAGGAGCAACCTAGAAACTTCATAGAATTATTTGAAAATGTGATTCAAAAGATCTTTTCCCTTGGAAGTGACACTAAGCGTGTAACAGACTTGGAAACAGATACTGTAAGTAATTCATTCAGCCCTTCTATTGAAGCTTTTAGAAATTTTGCAGCCTAGCTTTATTTTTTATTTATTTGTGAATTTAAAACTTTAAGGTATGTTTTACTCATGACAAAAATTCAGTTTTCAAACTCATTTGGAATATTATGTATTTTAAATGTTTGCTATTTTTAATTTATGTGTCACCTTCTTTTAAGTGATGTGTATAAGTTATGTATTTAATGGCAAATATATTTCCATATTTCTCTGAAAAATTATTAACTACTTGGTTTAGTATATTTTTATTAAAATTATATTATATTATTTAAATTTTTCAGATTGTTGAAAAGCTTGTAATAAATGTGCTACATCGTCCCAAACAAGAAGAAAATTATTATGTAGGTAACTTAGTCTGTATGTGACAAGAATTTTGTAAATCTTGGCATGGTATTATTTTTATTATAATATGAATAGTTTGTTATATCTTTATGTCCTACTTATGTTTGTTATGTTTTTAAAATGTTGTACTTATTAATATGAATTACATTTTCAAATTCATTCTAATATAGGATTTTTTTTTTAAGAATTATAAATAATTTTAATTCAGTGTATTAAAGATGTTATCTTATATGTTATCTATGTTATCTTATTTTAAATGATGTATATACTGAAAAGGTATGTAATCATGCCTATTTGATTCAAATTGTGTATTCAATGTCAGGAATTTTTAAGTTATATATATAATAACTATTACATTTTTAAATTTCTTTGAAAAATTATTTACTTTTGTGATAAAATTAAATAAACTTTTGTCAAAAATTAAATCTTGCTTATAATTAACAACTAGTCAACTTTTTGTTTTGTGATGCCGTTAAGTTGACTGTTAACTGAACTTAAAGCTAAAATGAATCTATATTTCCTCGAGTTTTCTCTGTAACATAAACGAAAACTAGTTATGAAGCTTGTGAAGAGGTTTTTCTCTTTCTCAAGCAAACCTAAAGCAGAGCTTGTTACAATATAGATTCATCCTCTTTCTCATTGATCTTCTTTCCTGTTTTTGGAGATATCCTCAATATAAGTTAAATGTTTACTTTGAAAACGAAACAGTTGAGAGGTTTTACCCCATTTTAAATGTATATATCCCAAACAATTTATGTAATCTGCTTGACTGGCAGTTTAAGTTCTACCATTATATTATCTTCTGAACTTTTCAAAATAAACACTTACTTAACAAGAAGCATTTATAATGAACATGTGTCTTTTGCATTTTATATATAGAAAAATATAATTTATAAATGAAAATATAATTAGATTTAGAAATTATTATGTATTTAATTTGATTTTCATTTATATTTGAAATGTCTGAATTCAAAAACCTTTAAAATTTTCAGGCAATTAAATTCCTCTTTTTCTCATTTTCTTCTTACTTTTCTTTCACTGAAATAGTTTAAAGAGTTACAAAAATCTTAGAAGTGCAATATTCATTCAATTACAGCATGTAAGAATATTAACTCAAAAAAATTTTTTAAGCTATATATATATATATATATATAATCTCTGAGTTTATAGGATTGTTTAATGTAAGCTTTAAATTTTCTCAATGTTGAAGCTGTACTTTTACTAAATTAATTTAAAGTTACCAGAAACTTTGAGAAGTTTGAAGTTCACAATATTCTAACAACAGTCCTTAGTTTTGAAAAATATCAAATATTAATTAATTACCAAAATGTGAGTTATTGTAGTAATGATATTAGATGCAATTAATTTTCAGAACCGTCTTTATTTCTTCTCGCTAACGCCTTCTAGCCCTCTGATTACTGTGAAATCTCATAGGGTTTGCTTGCTGGCCAGTAAGACCTATTTGAAATGTATCCTAGTAAAACGGCAAATATGCAAAAAAATTATGATTTCATCAGAAATAATTTCCACACATTTTCAATCAGTTAACAACTCTTGCAATAAAAGTTAAGAAACACAATTGAATCATCATTAGATATAATATAAGTTAGTAAAATATGTCCATGTATTGCCTTAACTCTGCCAGTTGTTGCTGGCAAATCAGTTGTTGGAATCTTCCTGATATTATTTGTAAATGAAATTAACTCTCATAATTTAAAATCATTTTTTTTTTTTTTAAATTTTTAACTTGGACGACAATACTTAAAAATAATCTACTGTGATGTCTTTATAACGTTTGAAATTGTTTTTCGCCCAACAGTTGTAGATTTTTCTCGAAAATTTTATGGCTTGATTGTTTTTTGTTTTGTTTTTTCATTATTATTATATTTTCTTGTCTCAGATTCAAAAAAAATAGCACTGGTTTTTCATCTAATTCTCACAAAATCTATTTTTGGAAAATAGAAATTTTGTGTCTTGGCTCTTTTCCTAATAAATTTAGTTTTGACCATTTGAAGATTCAGTTAAGTTTTTTTTATAGTGAGTATCTTTATTAAATTTTAAGGTGAAAGCTTAAATACTAACTCACCATAATTTATATGTTTTAGTGGATTTCTTCTTGCATATTTCTAAAGCACAAGAAATTTCTTATAATTGCTAATATGTATTATTATGTTTGCAGGAATTTTTAGATAATGATGAAGAATTGAAATCAGTGTTGAAGTCTTTGAGGCAGCACCTAAAAGATGGTGTAGACAAAATTATGAAAATTACTGAGGACTTTAATCGTTACGCAGATTTATGGTTGCTAAATATTGAAAAAGAATTAGAGGACTTTACTCTACATGGTCCTGTGCCTGAAGAAGAGGAAGGTGATTATGTAGGTGATGATGACATCTCGATTTTAACTGTTGTGGAATTAAAACCACCCACAGAAGAGGAGTTTAAAACAGAAGTATGTAAAATATATAATTACTATAATGCTACAAACTTAGATTTATTTAAAACAGACCATATTAAATAGCTAAATTTATGAGGGGTAAATTATTTCTGTAACGACAAAAGTAGTCTTTGTTGACTTCTGTGTAAGTTTTTCTTTAATGCTTAGATTTGCTTATTTGGTATGGTTTTATTATATTTTAATATGTTTAAAATGCTCTCTCAACTAATTACTTTAATGATCTGTAATTTCTTAAAATTCTGGAAGAAAAAAAACTATATTTTCTGATTTTTTAAGGCCTGTTTTGTTTAGAAAAACAAATAAAACTTATGGAATTTCAAATTAATGTTTCAGTTTGAGTTTTAATGCCGAGACTATCTCTAGTAATACTGAAGTCTGTGTGCAAGAAAAAACATTAAAATTAAGTTAAGCTAATCTGTATTACAATTTGCTTAGTTCCCATCTCCATTTGTTTGTCAATATGCATTAAAGAAACTTAATAAATTTCATGGCGTCTTTGTAATTAACTTATCATTGAGCTTCCAATAATTGATGGATTATTTTTGATCTTATAATTTATTATCAACAGCTTAATAGGCAATAAATAAAACCCATATTTTTTTCATTACATGCAAGGCTGGAAGCCCTATTTTTTTTTCAGATTTACAGATTTTTTTTAATCCTTAAAATGCTTCTAGCATATGTGTTATTTAAATATATTTTTTTCTACTGTCAGGCACTGAACTTCTTATTCTTCATCTTGGATGACACCGGAACTGTTGCTCATTTCCATTCAGTGAGCACTTGTGAACCTAAGTCTCAGAACTGAGTAACATAGACCAGAGGACAACACACAAAAACATCTATGCCTTGAATGGGATTCAGACCCGCAATCATTGGCTTCGCCAATAAGCTGTTCAAAATGTTCAGCTACCTGGCCAGATGTTATTAAAATATATAAATTATAACCTCCTTTTAATTTACTAATTAATTTTTCTTAAGCATATAGTTCATGAAAAAAGCAGGACAACACTAAATTGAATGAAAACATGCTTCATTTTCATTCCAACTAAATGAAATTTTTATACGTTTACTTTTGTTATAAAATTTTGTAATAACACTTATAGCACATAAAAAAAAATTTAAAAAATTGGCTTCAAAATATGGATTTTATAAAAATTAACACTAAAGAAAATATGGAAAAAGCATAAGGACATAATCTAAAATACTTAAAATTTTCTTCAATAATCAAGAAAACTAAATTTTTTCAATCTTTTGAATGAGCCAAGAGGTCATTGTCTCCGAGAAATTTTTTTCCTCAAGCGTCTTTGATAGCGAAGACAGGATCCTACTTGCACTGATATTGTGAGCCATTTTTATAAACTTCTTGAGCTAGAAATCCTTATAAGTTTTCAATTGAATTAGGATCGGGACTTCTCGCCGGTTAATCAAATAATTTTATAGAATTAGCTTCAAACCAGAGTTTTGCGCTCTTTCGAACCTGTATCGAAGCATTATCCTGTTGAAAAATATAGTCCCTTGAAGTAATCAGTGAGGCTTCAGGTAACAAACTTTATCCTTACATATCAACATATTTGTCCGTACTGCTGATAAAGACTATTGAAGTGGTTCCATTTGCCGCTGAAGCACTTCAAAGCATAACTGAGCCACCATCCACATTGACATGAGTGAAACACTTGTTCGATCTTTCGCTGATCATATGAAAAATAACAAAAACATCAGGTCCATCCAGGTAGAACTTTTTTTTTTGTCAGAAAAAATTACATCAGTCCATTTTTAATCGGGAAAAACGTTCTTTTTTTGGCAAAATCAGCTCTTCTTCTCCTGTGATGATTCGTAAAAGTGATAAAAATTTAATTAAGGATGTGTATATGAAATATTTTGAACAGTTCTTGATGAACATAGTAAATTCAAATTTTGTCCAACTTCATTTGCGGTTTCTTTTTTCGGACAAGCTCTCTCTACAATCATTTTTATCTGTGAACAAATGTTCATTTAATCCATATTCTCGAAAAGGAACAATTTTCTTTTTTTCAAAGTCAGTGAGATGAGTTCCTTTATTCGTTGTTCAAATGTCAAGATTAAAGTCGACGAGTGTGAAATTTCTTTCCCAAACTAATCTTTTAACCTGATTGTCATTTTCTGTTTTCAAACATACTAATTTTCCATTAATTAGGGAAAATAAAACAATATCAGTATACTTTTATCCAATATCATTTGGATTTAAAAATTAAGTTCAAATAGATAAATATTTGAAAATTTTAATTAGTTTACGCAAAAAAAATTTAATTTTACTAGTATTTCTATTTCAAAAATTTACCTACAATTCCATAAACAAGTTTTCTAGAATTGGCTATTTTTCACGTGTCCTTATATATATTTAGCTCACTATTGAACAGTGAGTATATCATATCAGACTTTTTGGAACGAATCAACAAAAATTGTCTTTCTCAATAAATTATTAAAGAGCAACAATTAGCAGTCTTTGAAATATTTACATAGATTTCAGTGTAGCAATGTATGGAAATGAGATTACCAAAAATGGAAATCTATTTTAAATTATAAACTGTGAAGTTTAACATTCTTTTTAATATTTGTTCTTGGTATTTATATTGTTTTTATCTATCTTTATTATTTATTTCTAATGCCTCAAGGCTTTATTATTAAATAACACTACCATAAATATTTTATACAAAACGTTTTATAGGTTCATACTTTACATTAATGTCAAATAATATATTTTTCAGATATCCCATTTTGATCAACTGTTTAAAATAATTAATGATCTGGAAAGTATTATTGAAGTAGAATCATGGTTGATACTGGATATAACATTGTTTAAAGACAGCTTACTAGAAATAATTAGAAATTGGCAGTCTTCGTACAAGAAAAAATTTATTGAAATGAAACATTTGGGAATGTTAAGAAAACTGCAAGATGAAGAGTGAGTACTTTTTTTTTTTTAATATTAAAATTCTAACAAATTCACTTCTGCATATTGTTTCCACACCTTAGCTTTTGTTACACTTATAATCTTAAAAAATGATTTTGACGTTTTAAACTTCAAACTTTCTTAAAAAAAGGGATTTTTATAATTTCTTTGCAATTTAGTCATCAATGTTTGTTTTTTTTCTCTTAGGAACAGTTCTAGAAAGGGACATAAAATTTAAATTATTGACATATATTTTGCATAAATTCCTATTTAGTATTTATTCATTTTCGTAAACTCAAAAAATTTTTAAAAAACTGAAGTTTCATTTGCAGTTTTAATTTTCAAGTTTGACTCGAATGTAGTCTTTTTCCTTCGTCAAGAAAAAATCACTTAATTTAATTGCATGTATTTCTGGTCTAACCTCTTTGCGAGATACAATATTTATTCAAATCTATTAACCCGTATCGTATATATATGTTTCGCTAATCCAATGCGTTAACTGTCCCTGGTGTACACATACACCTTTCTAAAGTATGCATTGCGCAATTCACTTTGCCATGTGCTGCTATCAGTAACTACACAGCTTTGGAGTGCAATAGAATGACCTTATGTTTTCAAAGCGTGCTTCTTATTCTCCAATACACACCTAAAAAACATACGCCCCTGTGGAAACCGATATCACTGGTTGGGTGAATCTAAATTTTCCTCTGCATGCAAGGGGTTAATAGTTATATATTATATAAACTTAAAATAAATTACCATTCCAAATTTAATAAGATCTTTAGCTTGAAATCAGACTGAATAAATTAACTTTCACAAGGTTTCAAATATTTGAAATATAAGAAGGGACTACCATAATCTACGAAATATGTTGCCAACAACTAAGGAGTTAGGATCCTTAAATGTTATTTTTACTTGCAGACAGTTTCGTGTTTGATCATAAAAAGGAAAAAATTGACAAAAAATTTGAAAACCTAAAGTTAATTTAAAAAATTATTAAATTCTTATATTTTTTTTTAATGACAATTATTCTGCTTAGGTTCAATTAAGAAAAAAAAACATTAATACTGATAATAATAGTAAACCATCAATTATTCAGTATTATAAAAACATGTATAAATATTTATACGCAATCATGTGAGTATAATTTTGACCATATTTTAAATTCCTTAATATTAATTTTATTTACTATATAAAGTTATTTTGTAAATGAAAGTAAATTTTTATTGTAAAATTGTTAATGTAGCAAATGTATTATTAGCCAATGTAAATAAAAATTTTTGCATGATAACTCTAAATGCTAATAGAAATTTCAAATAATTAACTACACAGTATTTTATCCAATGTCATCATTAGAAGTTCTAATCATTTCTTTAAAATAAAAATATATTGATTATTTTCTTTCATAGTGATATGTAGATGAAACCAAGTTTAGCTAAAAAATGTGTCAAATGAATTAAGACAAGAAATCAAAGATGATTCATTTATTGCTAACAAAAAGTACAAAATGTGTGTTCAATAAAAAAGTATTTAAACTGTTACAGTATGCTCATTTCTAGAACATATTATTATTACACATTGCACATAGTGCAATTGGATATATCACAATTGCACATTCCATGAACATAAAACTCAACATGATAAAAATCAGTCGTGTAAGAATACAAATTAATTACTTTGGCTGACACATGCACTTTAATGATTGCCTTTTAGGATTAAAATGCATTGAGCTTAAATTTTTTTAGACATTTTAAAATGCAAAATATTTAACTAATGTATAAACAATTATTCTAAGGCACATTTGATGACACAATGAGATCACTAATCAGTCTTGCATTATAAGCACAGGGTAGGCAAGTTATGATTATCTTGCTCAATTGAGATAAAAACTGGTTAATATCAAGCTAGGTAAATTTTTGGTCAAGACACTTGTGGATTTGCATTTTGATTCATATGACTGTAAATAAGAAATAGAAATTTTTGATTCATGTTTATAAATATATGTATATAATATATAATAGACAATTAGCACTTCTAGACATAATACACTATAAGATGTTCAGCGGTAACAATGTTTCTAATAACAAAATAATGTGATTTGTAAAAAGAAATTCAGATACATGACACTTGTATTGAAGGAATCATTCCCAATCTTTCTTGAGTTCAAAACTCCATTCCCACTTCAGATGTTCATTTTTATCATCATCGGTGAAGAGAGATTTTACTGTGTAAGTACCTCTGGTAAACATTCCACTGGGCATCTCATCGACTGGTGTTGAATAAGATTGAAGTTCAAGTTTGGGAGCATAACTTCCAACCATATGAGTTATCTTTTCCTCTAAAAGAGTACAAAAGAAAATTAAAAGACCATAAAAATATTGAATTATATATTCTAACAAATATTGGTCTTTCAAAAAGAGACAACAAAGTATGTTATATAAATAGTAATAGAATAGTATTTATATTACATACATTTAAAATAGAACCTTAATTTATTGGGATGTAGATCAGCATGTGATATCTAATGACTTGAAAATGTGTGGAAAGTAATAAATTTAAAAATTAAGAAATTTACAATGGGCATAAAAAATTTTAATGCAAATATATTTATAATGCAAAAGGAAGATAAATAAACACATTTATTTATTCAAAATATTTAGTAACTTTGGTTTAAAAACTTTACCTTTCAGTGCAATAAATGTTCAACATTTGTTACAGATTTCTACTAATTTTCTGTTAAGTTTGCCTAATCACTTCATGAATAAGGACCCACTTCATGAAAATAGACTATTTTAAATAAGCATGGTAACTAACTACACCCTAACTCTAGAAATGGTAAATACCAAGTCAATTTGCTTTTTAGTTAATTTTCAGGATTGACTATAATATAATAAAATTGCTGCACTGCATACTTATGATAAGAGTTTTGTTCTTAAGTTTATTGATCCTGTTAAATTTTTGTAGTTGCCATGAAACATCCTGTGCCTTTTAAGGAGAGTACAATTTTTAATGGTAGTGCAATTCCACGATAATGTCCTGAAAATTATAATATCCTGCATATGAAATGAAATTGCCTTATTGATACTTAAATTGCGAATTTAAAAAAGAAATTTTAAGTACTTCTGAAGTTTTTTTTTCTTAATTAATAAAACATAGAATAAATAACTTTGGATCTGATTTTTTAGAATAGATCATCAACCATTAAACAAAAATTAAAACCTAAAATTTGATTTTTTTTTAACACGGTAATGTTGGATTAAAAAACCATAGATCGATAATTAAAAAAAATTTATATGAAAAGGTTTGACAAAGTAATGCATATCTTAATGTAAAAAGTAATCATGGTATAGCACACAAAACAGCATTATGTAACTCACGTTGCAATCCGTGCCTCAGAACTTTTTGAACATACTTCAAACCGGTAACGATTTCATGCTGTACAAAGAAGTCTATTCTAATTCGATACTGAATACCTTCCTTAACTACAAAGACTCTTTTCTTCAAAGCTTCCAAATCACCTGAAATATATTGATAGTTACTCGAATGGCTGAATATAAAAATTTACATCATCAAACATCTATTAACTAAAGGTTTAGATATCAAAGCATTCTTTACTGCATTGTTATTTATTAAAAGGTTTATTACAAACAAACTTTTTTAAACACCCCTGTTTGAAATTGTATCCAGATAATATATTTGAATTTTTTTTTTATGAATTCACCAAATTCCTAAAATAAATTAGAATAAAACTTATTTGAAAAGCTCTTTTTCCCTTCATTTTATTTTTAGCATATTACAATCTAATTAAAAGCAATTCTTAAAAATTTAGTAGATTTTGAAACATACCATTGTTACAGATTTATACAAAATGTTTACAAATAAAAACCACCATAAAACTTGGAAACATAGTTAGAAATGGGTATGAAAGTGATATACATGATACTTTAAAACTCTATATTTTCTCTGAATAAGCAATACTAATGTGATAACTTCTCCAATAGACTATATTTAATTATAACCACGATACAACATTATACAAAACAAAATTAAGTTTTCATAGTATTCTAATAATAATAAAATATAACATCTTTTAGAAGACTTTTGCAGTGGTAAAAAAAGTTTATTATGAAACAAAGTGATGCACTCTACAATTTTAGTTTTTCGTCTTAAAAAAAACAATTAGAAGTGCGGAATTAATAGCTTCATAATGTACTTATATACAAAAAAATAAGTGCAATTATTAGCATTAAATAAGTTTTAAAATTGGGTGTTTTATTTTATACCCAGCTTTGAACAGCAGACTGAATTCTGAGTTTGAGTTCTATCAATGTTCAACTCCATAGCCTTGTAACTTTGAACCCAACCCAGAAGGCAAGAGAAACCTTTGTGGTGGACTTTTTGATAGAACTAACCAACATTTGTTTTAGCTGAAGAGAAATACCACAAAAACTTTCCATGGTTATCCCGGCAGCAAGGGGATTCTGTTGCAATATCAATCACAAGAGTTAGTCTAAATAATTATAACTCTTGCTGGTTGCAGGCAACCAAATGACTTTTTCTTATTTTTCTTGTTATTAATGTTTCATATATCACCTGAGTATGTCAGTGAAAATAAAAGGAAATAGTTTTTCATACAACTGCTGTAAAAGCTAACATTTCTAACCCATGATCTGTCTATCACCGAGGATATTTTACATCAGCACTAAGGTCAGTATGAACTAAGAGAAGAATTTTTATCAACCAGCCACTGCTGAAATTTAAACCTGGTTCACTTCACTGGGAGGTGAATTTTCTATACCTCAAGATATTGTTGCTCAGAACTGGATGTTATTTATATTTTAACTTCAGTAAACAGACTCAATTTTATAGATTCTGAAGATATTTTTTCTCATAGGCAACATGGAATGCAAGCAAATATTTATAACAGTTCAAAAATGGTTGACTTAATTATATGCACAAAACATTAAAATACAGACAATAAGTTTTTCCTTAATCGTGATGCTTACAACTGCATACTCTAGCACAACCTTGATAAAAGAAATTTTCTAATAATAAGGGTTTTTTAATATAAGATTTTGAGTAATGAATTTTATGTAAAAAGAGAAGAAATCAAAGTATTTTTCCTTTATCTGGGAGCTAAATATAAAACAGTTGGCAACAATTAGACAGTAACATTTATAAGAAGCTGAAAAAAATTATAGAAAAGAGCAAACTTGTAAGGTTAAATCTTGTGGTCACTATATAGATTTAAAAATTGATTATAAGTAGGCATAATTGAAAGTAGGCAGTGGCATTTAAGCGATTGCAATTCATGCAATCAGGATACAATGTAGGAACATTCCCATTAAAAAAAAAAGTCCACCAGGATCAACTACACTCACAATAAACCAGGAATAAAAATCTGACAAATTGGAAAGAAAAAAAAAATGCTGTCCTGGAAGTAACAGAAATGGAAAAATCTTTAAAAAAGGATAAAATAATAAATATTTTTTTAAACAGTTTATAATTGCAATCTAGTGTTTTAAATAATAGTATTGATTTCCAAGCTATTTAATATACTTTTCTTAAATAGGAAAAAAAAAAACAGCAGCCTTTCAATAATTTGCATAAGTTTAGTAAAACCTAATTTAATTATATAAAGAACTATTAAAATATTTAAATCAAATTACATTTATATAACTAAATTACGAAATCACACACTAAACAAATACACTACTACAAATTGTGCACTGAATTCAAAATTACAAACATAAGTATATGCAATTTCATATTCAAGTACTTTTAAGTATGAATATTCAAACTGACTCTTAAATATGCTAGATTAATTTAAAAATTAGCATTAAAATTATTAAAAAATATAATTTTTGGAGAAAAGTAGATTACTTTCAGGTAATTAATTACATTTAATTGGTTTAAAGCTAAGTAATTCTTATGATATTGATTGTGAGACAATTATATTTGCCAGTTTTAGTTTCTTCCATTTTGACAAGTATCATCTTCCAAACAAAAAGAAATGTCAACCCTGCAATAGGATGGATGAGTTCTCGCAGTAAAAATGTCATTAATGCTAAATACTACTAAAATATTGTCAGTTATATAGTTAATATACTCATCTAAAACCAAGAATTGTCTAGGTAGAAATAGGTCTTCAAAACATTAAGGTTTTTGAAAATAAACTTTTGATATTGCTCTGGAAAATGCATAGAAATTGGGAGGCATTAGCAAGAGAAATTTTCTTTATTGTTAATTTGAAGTTCAAGATAAAAAGTTGAGATTATCTATTGCCTTTTTTTATACTCATCATTAAATTTCAAAATTTGGAAATATTGCTGCTTTACATAAAATATACATTAATATAGACAACTTTAGACTTACCTGTCAGATCTAAAACTACATCTGGACGTCCTTCAACAACCAAAGCAAGTTTCTTCACAAGCACTCTACTAGGATTATTAGGCTCTAAAAATTTAAATAAAATGTTAAGAGATATTTACCCACTTTAATATTTTAAGCACAAGATTATTTTTATAGTATTTTTATAGAAAAAATTACAGATTTACCAACTACTACAGCTTCTTTCAACGCTTGTCCTAATAAGGCTTCTTTATACTTCTGCAAACTAGCATCATTTTGATCTGCTTCAACTATTTCTTTTAAAGATTTTTCAGGAGGAGGCCTATAATTTGTATCTTCTTCATCATGAATATCGGCTACTTTGTCACCCTGAGACATTTCTATAAGGAAAAAAAATCAGATTGTTTAAAAAGGAAAATCAGTATTTTACAATATACAAGCTTTCATTAATAAAAATTCCCCCCCCCCCAAAAAAAAAACTTCTTATAAATTTTTGAATTATTATTATCACAATCATTTTATATAAAATAATAAAAAAAAGGTATATAAAAAAATTTTCAAACTAAATTCCTACTTAGGTCAACAAAGAAAATTTTTATTTTAGTTACTTTTTATTACATATTTACGATTTTTACTCCCATATAAAACTAAAATTAATTATTTAAATTTAATTAATGAATTAATTTTTGATTTAACATAAAATACTACAAGTTTAAAAAAATGTATTTGATCTTTAATCTTCTTCTTCATTGGCCTGACAGCCCAGGGTGGTGGGCCCTTGCCTTCCACAGAGTTGAACTCCAGACTCTTCTACACTTGGCCAGAGACATCCAATTTGTGGCTTTTAGAATATTTAAATCACTTTCGAGGCAGTTGAGCCATCTAAGTCTAGGTCTACCTCTTTTTCGAGTGCCTAATAGTCTGACAGAGAAGATCTTTTTTGTAATGCGGTTATTATCCATTCTTGATAGGTGTCCTGCCCATTTGATTCTCTGAATTGCAATATATTTGACTACGTCAGGTTCTTTAAATAGTATGTAAAGTTTGGAGTTAGTTCTTCTCCAGATATTGTTACATTTTAGGCCACCAAATATGCTTCTTAAAATTTTTCTTTGAATGGATAAATAAAAAGTATTTCATTAATGATCGAAAATTTGAACAAGATACATAAATATATACTTATAGGGAGAATGTGAACTAATAGTAGCAATTGAAAAAAAAAGGAACGTGGTATCAGATAAATATAAAAGTATACATTTAGTGGCGTGGACTACACACATGTGCTACCACGTAATGTTCTTTATTGAACTTATCTGACACAGCAAATAGAAAATATTTAAATGTGCGCAATAAACTTTTTTTTTTTTTGTTCAAATGGAGCTATAAGTTAGAAATTACCACTGATGTTATTTATAAAATACGTGAAAAACTTAATCGCTTATGGTGAAATTTAAAACAATGACTAACGCTTAACCAATCAGAAAATTCCACTTCGTTTTTCGATCATCCCTACTTAATTAAAGAATTAATATATGAAAAAACTGTATTAACATCAAGTGTTATTTATAAAAAATTCAAAAAAAAATTTTTGAAGTTGAGTGGATGAATAAAAAGTATTTTATTAATGATTAAAAATTTGAACAAGATATAAGGAGAGTGTGAACTAATTGTAGGAATTTAAAAATAATAAATTACTCTTCTCTTAACATAAAATGTACATACTATTAAAAATGTTGTTAAATGTGATGCTTCTCAGAAATAAAGACTCATAATAAAAAAATTCACTAGCTAGATTTTTAATGATAAAATATAGGTACTAGAATACCAATTCAAATTTGAACTTTGGTCACTGAGAAAAATTGCATTTACCTTTCCCATAAAATGAAATTTATTTTTCATAAATTATTTAAATTATGCTTGTTATATAATAGCACCCATTAAGAAATTTTAATTTGCTCAATTTAAGAAATTTTTGCTCAAAAATAGGTTACAAGTTGAAAATAAGTTACAAATACAAAAGGTTCTAAGACTACATAGCAAGTACTTGAAAGCTCAAAAATAAAATCAACCAGGATCAACACTTATGAAAACACACACAATAGGTGATTTTGTTGCAATATCTGATTCTAGTCAGGCATGTCCCAAAAATTAATTGGCAATGAAAAAAAAAAAATCACTAAAAAAATGGATGCATATTGATTTCCGTATCGTGATCTGTGGCAGAATAATCGCCAAGTCTTGGCAACTTCCGGGCAGCGGCCTGAGAGAAACTAAAAAAACATCACAATTACTTGAAATGTACAACTCGCAGCCACCACCGGGCAAACATATAGATGTTTTTCTTATTTTAAAAAAATTTAAAGTTTAATATCTATTTGGCACCTTGGCGATTGTAGCTATAGCGACAGATCACGATATGGAAATATCCCCTAGTAACAAATCAGTTTAAGGTTTTATCATATCAAACCATGCTAAAGAATACATATGTGGGGATATTTCCTTATCGTGATCAGTGGCGCCAACTACAATCGCCAAATACATTTTAAACTTGCAAATTTTTTTTAAAAAAAACATAGATGCTTGCTCGGGGGTGGCTACGAGTTATACCTTTCGAGTTGGTCCTTTTCTGTGATGTTATTTTTAGTTTCTCGTGGGCCACTGCCCGGAAATTTCCAAGACTTGGTAATTATTCTGCCACAGAACAGGATACAGAAATCTCTCCACATACACTAACAAAGTGCAGAATTTCAAAGAGACATTTCTATACCTGGATCTGTGGCGCCAACTACGAACGCCAAGGCGCCAAATAGATTTAAAACTTGCGAATTTCTTTTAATAAAACTTGTACAAATTTTCTAGAGGGTGGCTATGACTTATACTCTTTTGAGTTGCTTCCCTACTGAAATGCTTTTTTTAGTTTCTCGCAACATGCTGCCTTAAAGTTGCCAAGAATAGCTATGATTCTTCTGCGGATTATGATACAGAAATATCCCCTAAAGAAATGCTAAATTGAATTTTTGCTCCCTCTCAAACTAAATTTTATAAACTGCTTGGTAAGGTAAAAATCAGTTATCCCACTTTCTAATTAAATGCACATTTAAAAGTTAAATATTTGAACCTTGAATAAATACTCATAAATTGCTAATAAAATACTACATGCATTCTATATTGCAAATTTATTTTTGTATCTTTCACATACAACTGATTAATAATTCTAAAAAAAATTCCCATGCATCTTAGACGAAAATAATATGTAATTTGAGTGATTTAAGAATAACACAGCATAATTTAAATTCGGATTTTGCTATATTATGCCAAAAAAAAACTTAACCATTGATTATATATCTATATTTGTGGTACATATAATGCAGAGGGAGTTTTCTAACGAACAATTACTGCTAAAATTAAATGCAAAACACTTTTATACCGATGATATATTATAAAAACCTGGCAATAAAATTCAGGGCGTTGTCATAATTGTTTTAATAAAATAACTGAGTATCAAATTCCAGGATATTGCATGCTTTAACAAAGGGGGATTGGCACTAAAACTACGCAGATATGCAATATGATAGACTAGGCACATCCTAATAGGCTTAACAGAGAATACGATAAATACTTGATAAAATTGTTTGCAAAAAAGCATAAATAATTCACATTGATATAAAGTTCAATACACTTNGCATTGTTTATTTAATAAGTTGACAGTTAGGAATTCTGTCACGTTCTGTAAAGTTCTCTGATTAAACTTTTTCTATAATTTGAAAGCTAAAACAAATCATTTAATAAAAATGGAATTTAAATTCAATACATCAGACAACTTTCTGGAAAAAAATAATAAAGTTTTAAAATAAGAAATATTAAAATGTATTATTTTGGCAATGAATCTGTTAAAAGAACTCGTTCGTCATTTTCTATTTTAACTGAGAGTTCATACAGTTTTCTGAGTTTCTAAAGTTATGTGGTAAAAATTACAACAAAAGGAACTTGTTCAGAATTTCTAGTCTTTTGAATTGATAACAAATAAAATATTGAATTATTTTGTTTACAGCACTAATACTTTTTTTATCAGCCGGCGTCGTCTGCTTAATTTTTACAATCGAATGGAAAATTATTGTGCAACGAATACCTTAAACTCGACTATTTAATTGTTTTTGTTTTAAGTTACATTAATATGCTAAAATCTAAGTTGTTTTTTAATTTATACACGAAAAGTCTTCAGCATCAGTTTTTCTCTTCAGCACCAAAAAAGAAAATTTGTATCATTGGAAGTGGACCTGCAGGATTTTATACTGCTCAAAATTTATTGAAAGTAAAATAAAGAGCAAGCCCCTTGCATTATTTACTTTTTAAAATATTCGCCGTAGTGTATTGATTAAATGTGCGCAAGACTATTAACAAATTAATTTCATTCATTTTACATTTTCAATTTAGTTTTTCCTATCGAATTTACTTTTTTTTTTAAAAAACTTTGACAATTAAACTTTGCTTCGAATCATGGTCATTACTAACTGGTCACTTTTTTTAAAAATTTTGCTTATTTATTAGAATATAAAAGTAAGATTTCAATATTTTATTGCACTTTTGTACTACAGTCTTTACTATTGCATGCCAATTTCTGTCTTAGAAAAAATTGAGGAAGATGCCAAATCGATTTTAAACTGGGAAAATTTAAAAACATATACATGAAACATGAAGAGGTTTGCTTGGAGATTGCTACGAGTTGGTCCCTGGCCTTTGTGATGTTTTCTTTAATTTCTCCTAGGCTGCTACCCAGAAATTGCCAAGACTTGGCGATTATTCTGACTCAGATCACGATACAGAAACCTTTTCCTCATAGCCACCCTAAACAAATCTCTGAATTTTTTTTTAAAAAATTGCTTGTTTAAAATTTATTTGGTGCCTTAACAATTTGTAGTTGGCATGACAGATCCCGATATGGAAATTTGCTCAAAAATTGTTTTAGATAGCAAAAAACCAGCCTTGGAGTTATGGCTTTTTTGAATTTTTCATTCTATCTCTCTTAACTGTCAATCGATTCTGACAATTTTAATTACCATATAAGAAATTCATGTTTTTCCATGTTATTGTATTATAAATGAATTAAAAGAATGGTAAATCAATTCTTATTAAAATTTTTTTAAATGGCTCTGATTTGATAAAGAAAACAAAGCATTAAAATAAACTTTTACTTTTTTCTTCTTATTTACTCTGTTTTAGTTAAGTAACATTAAAATAAGATAATAATGTTAGTTATTAATATTAAAGCTACTTGTTTTTTTTTTTTCATAAACTATTAATATTTTTGTGCGTAATTCTCTTTTAATATTTTTGTGCAATCTCTTTGTTTCAGAGTGAAGTTGTTGAGGTTGATATTTTTGAAAAACTTCCTGCTCCGTATGGCCTGATAAGATACGGAGTTGCTCCTGATCATCCTGAAATTAAAGTATTTATCCTTTATGAAAAACTACTTATTTAAAACTGCTTATGGTATCACCATAATAATGAAATGGTAAAATGATATGGTATCACCATATCATTATTTTGTCACTGGTATCAATATGGAAATCTTCCCTTATTCTTTTTTACTTTTATCATACTACAAAATTTGGCATGATTTTTCCCTAATGGTGTTTAAATTATTATTATGATAAGATTCAGCCAATTTGGTTCTTTAAATTGTTCCAATTTAAAACTGGTTTTCAGAAATGCATAAATTATTTGAATACTCACAATTTTATGCTGTTGAACTGGATACGCTTTCAAATTAATTGTAGAGTAAGTTAAGCAATAACAAATCCTTGATTAATGTTTTGTAAACACTTTTCTTTATATGCTATAATTTTGATATATGCTGATCAATTTTGTGAATATTCATTCTCTGTTTACCATGTGGGCAGACCAAGTTTTTTGATGTGTCAAATTAACTAAAATTTTACCTCATATTCTATTGTTAAATATCTAACTTTTAAATGTATTTTTAGAATGTTATAACATCATTTAACAAAGTTGCTGAATACAAGTACTGTAATTTTTATGGAAATGTCAACATTGGTCAAGATATAACTATAGAAGAACTTTCAAAAGCATATCATGGCATTGTTCTAGTAAGTATAGAAACAACCCTCTACTACATAAGTATAGCATGGTGGACACACAACCCTTTACTACATAAGTATAGCATGGTGGACGCATTACCCTTTACTTCAGGGGTGTCAAACTCGCGGCCCGCGGGCCACATGCAGCTCGAGATGAAAATGTTTGCGGCCCAGTCAATATATCCGACGCAAAGTAAAAATAAAATAGAAATGTGAATTAGAACGAAAACTAGCATATAAAATTATAATATACTTTATTTATGAACTATACGGATAATTTTAAATTGTACGCGCGAAAATGTAAAATTGTAATTGGTTTGCGGCACCTGCCATTCCAGGGATACTGCATTGTATCAAAAATATGCAGAAGAAATTTCAAATCTTAGAACAGAATTTGAAACAAGGTTTAAAGATTTTAATTCTTTGGAAGACAAATTTTGTTTGTTTTAGTTGATTTTCTCAATAAATATAGACTCAGTGCCCAGTAATATGCAAATGGAAGAGATTGAGATTCAATGCAACTCAAATTTGATGGAAAAATTCATTGAAGTGGGTATGCCTGAATTTTACAAATATTTACCGGCAAGGTTTGAAAATACTCGAAAATTCGCATATGAAATTATTTCCATGTTTGGAAGTACTTATTCAGTGCCAGCAATTATTTTCTGTTATGAATGGAAATAAATCTCCTGTTCAAAACCGTATTAATAACGCTCACGTTTGGTCAATTTTGAAAGTAGTCACGGCCAATAAAATTTCTCCCGAAATAGGAAAGATAGTAGCAGAGAATAGATGTCAAGTATCAAACAATAATTTAACTTTATATATGTTTATTACAATGTATTATTCAAAATAAAATATTTGTTTCTATGAACATTGATTTTTTTTTTGGCCCACCTAAAGTTAAGCATTGTTTATTTGGCCCAAGTTAGCTTTTGAGTTTGACACCCCTGCTTTACTACATAAGTATAGCATGGTGGACACACATAGTTTTTTTTTATTAGAAATTTAAAAAACTTCTCTTATATTAAATTTGATATCAAATTTAAAATAATCAGATTTCTAAGAAAACAAGTGTGCCCTCCTCACGCTATGCATCATATGCTTTTCTATTGCATTTTAATTTAATAGAAATAAAATTTTGGGCTGTCGCGCCACTGAGTTAGTTAGAAATAAAATTTAGACATGTTTTAACTTAATGAGAGAGGGGTTATCTATCTCCCAGCTCCAGCCTTAGAGTGACGCAAAATTAAAAATATATTCTAGATGAAAATGCTTTTCTTTTTTAAATATCCCCAGCTTCTTTTGCTAACTGTGGGCCTAATAGCTTCAAATTTTTATTTGATTTACCTAAAAATTGAATGAAATGTCTAACAATGTAATGTTGTAGGTCATTTTCATGTATGTTTATTATTAATAACTAGGAGGCTTCGCCCCCTGCTCGCTGGCGCTTGCCAACCCCCGGAACTGCTTTTGCAGTTCATTTCGGATTGCTTCGCAATCCAATGCTCGCTTTGCTCGCTCATTGGATACGTTCTTAACGTCTAGCTTTTGTATACTTTTTTGAACACTGAAGTTCCGAAAACTTTTCACTGTAGAAAATTCTAAACCTGTNATCATCCTGAAATTAAAGTATTTATCCTTTATGAAAAACTACATATTTAAAACTGCTTATGGTGATATATCCATTATTTTGTCACTGGTATCAATATGGAAATCTTCCCTTATTCTTTTTTACTTTAACCATACTACAAAATTTGGCATGATTTTTCCCTAATGGTGTTAGTTTAAATTATTATTATGATAAGATTCAGCCAATTTGGTTCTTTAAATTGTTCCAATTTAAAATTGGTTTTCAGAAATGCATAAATTATTTGAATAATCAAAATTATATGCTGTTGAACTGGATACACTTTCAAATTAATTGTAGAGTAAGTTAAGCAATAACAAATCCTTGATTAATGTTTTGTAAACTCTTTTCTTTATATGCTACAATTTCGATATATGCTGATCAATTTTGTGAATATTCATTCTCTGTTTACCATGTGGGCAGACCAAGTTTTTTGATGTGTCAAATTAACTAAAATTTTACCTCATATTCTATTGTTAAATATCTAACTTTTAAATGTATTTTTAGAATGTTATAACATCATTTAACAAAGTTGCTGAATACAAGTACTGTAATTTTTATGGAAATGTCAACATTGGTCAAGATATAACTATAGAAGAACTTTCAAAAGCATATCATGGCATTGTTCTAGTAAGTATAGAAACAACCCTTTACTACATAAGTATAGCATGGTGGACACACATATTTTTTTTTTTTTTAGAAATTTAGAAAACTTCTCTTATATTAAATTTGATATCAAATTTAAAATAATCAGATTTCTAAGAAAACAAGTGTGCCCTCCTCACGCTATGCATATGCTTTTCTATTGCATTTTAATTTAATAGAAATAAAATTTAAACATGTTTTAGCTTAATGAGAGAGGGGTCATCTATCTCCCAGCGCCAGCCTTAGAGTGACGCAAAATTAAAAATATATGAGTGACGTAAAATTTAAAATATATTCTAGATGAAAATGCTTTTCTTTTTTAAATATCCCCAGTTTCTTTTGCTAACTGTGGGCCTAATAGCTTCAAATTTTTATTTGATTTACCTAAAAATTGAATGAAATATCTATCAATGTAATGTTGTAGGTCATTTTCACGTATGTTTATTATTATTAATATTTACAACAAATTGGTGATATGTTGAATGAAAATTGTCTTTAGAAAAAATGCTTATCATTCATTAATAAACAATAAATGCAAGTGTAATAGACACTACATTAGTAATATACACTGTTAAATTTTAAACTGAATACAATGAAAATTTATAAAGTTTCTTAAAATCTGTAAAGTTGCAAAATCTTATTCAAAACAAAATTATAGAAAACATGCCAAGTGCGATTAATTTAAGTTTTTACATTAACAAAAATTTTCATTGATTTTGAAAATCCCCCTTTTAAGTCCTACACCATATTATAAGGGTGCAAAACCTGAGTTCATCCCTGGGCCCTGTAAACCCTAGCTATGCTTCTGATGCTCTACTCAATTTTTTAGATTTATAGCTTAATGATATCTCAGATCCACACTTTTTTGAGATCGGTAATGCATATAAAAAGCCAATTACATCTGCTATAAAATTTGGCATGATTTATTTAGTTATATGTTCATTAGTTTATATTTCAAATTATCTAAACATTATTCAAGCATTTTATTGTCTTTTTAGTTTTATGATTTAAGTTAATTTTAGTAAGTGAAATGTAAAATTTATTAACTCATTTTTTTAGGCTTATGGAGCTGATTCTGAAAGACAATTAAATATTCCTGGGGAAGTATGTATTACTATGAAATTGCATTGATTTGATGATCTATATTTTGGATAACTTTGCTAATATTATGCAGAAAGACTAGGAATGTTTTATTGTATTTAATTATTATTTAATTTGAATTTTATGAATTTTCTTCATTATTAACATGGAAATTAAAAATATATATATATATATTAAAAAATTTTTAAATAACTGATTTAAAATCATTTATATTGAATTTTTTTTCAGATTTATAAAACCCTTTTATTAAAAATGGTATGGTTAAAAGTACTGACTTTTAGATTCATTTTAACATGTGAATAATTAACTTAGAAGATGATATAATAATGCCAATTAAATTTTATTCGAAATTTTTATTATTAGCAAAATGCATACTTAAGACCCAAGGTTGTTTACAATTGTAATTCCTTAGTAAAACAATCAATTATACGTATTATTAAATTTTGATTTATTATTATTTATAAAATCAAATTTTGAAGACACAAATGTCATATTTTACGTACTTCAATTAACTCAAAACAAAATTGTTCTTTTGGTATTTGTAATTTTTCAAAACTACATATAAGTCACCAAAATATTTTACTAAATATTTGTCTAATTTTCTAAATATTTATTTTGCATGTAACTTATATAATTATCAAAATGTAAAATTACCCATAGTTTTGTGATGTTATACATAGCTAATTCTTACAAGTTCCCCTAAATGTTTATGGGAAATTTTGTCAAAGAATTCACTGTATTTAAGCAACTGAAAATATTTTGTTATTATTCTTTAATTTTCTCTATTAATAAAATATCTTTCCTTGTGGTAGTATCAAACTTTCAGAAATGAAATTTCCTCCAAACATCTCAGAGTATTGCAGTATACTCTCGACATCTCAAAGTTGAAGGGACGTTAAAAAAATTTCGAGATAGCGAGTTTTTAAGATAACAAGTTCAAAACTAAATATGTTCGAAAAAGTAAATTNAGAGTCATAAAACATAAGATTAACTACTATGAAATATGTATGTAATAATAGTTAACAATAAATCTAAATGCAACAATCATAATTTTGTTTTTAAAAGTAAGACAAAAATAATTATGCATTAAATAGAGAAAAATTGGTTTACAATGAACTTACATTGTGATTTTTGTAAAAAAATTCATTTTCTATTTCGAAAAAAAAATTCGACATTGAGAAAGAATTGAGAAAAAACCCTTCAACATAAGAATTCAAATTAACATTAGGTGGATATGTTATGCCAAGGGGAAAATGTTTTTTTGACATAACAAGGTTTTTGAGACATCAAGATTATACTGTACTTTCTTTGTCCTTTGTGATTAAATTTAAGTGAAGTTTTTAACTACTTTGTGTTGGTTAATGGATATATATTTATATGTTATTCTTTAAAATGAAGTTCTTTGTTTATAATCTTTAAACTTTTATTCATTTTATTTTGATTAATTATTATTATTATTTTTTATTTACAGTACATTATTTTGTAATTTTTATAAGTACATTATGCTTGGTACTACTTGCCTATTTACGGGGTCTGTCTAGGTTTTTCTGAGAGGTACCTATTTTGTGAAAATTTAAGACATAATTTGTGAAAAATTCAAAATTACATTAAAAAATCAACACAAAAATATCGTAAAAATATGGATTTATCGTTTTTTAAGGGATACAAAAATAAAATTTTAAGAAAAAGTTTTTTGTGAAACAACCGTTTTTTCCTAAAGTTGAATTGGTGAAACTACCATTTTTCCTAAAGTTGAATTTGTGAAGGTACCGCTAAACGGTAGTAAGTCCAGCCAGGACAGACCCCTGATTTATAATGTAAATTAATTCTTATTTACAGTATTTGTGAGTTTTTCTAGCATAACAAATCTGGTCTAACGTTTTATATAGTTAAACCTATTTGTTTTGCCATATCATTAAAACTTTTTTACATTTATAGGAAATCAACATTTGTTATATAATTATATTCCTTTAGACACTTCATTTTTTTATTTTTATGTAATCCCATCTGTGTATTTTTTTTATTCCATTCCCATTTTGTAATCCCATCTGTGTTATTTTTTAACATCTTCTTTATTTAAAATTTTACTATTTTTTTTCCATCAAGGACTCCAAAAATGTTTTATCCTCAAATGAATTTGTTGCTTGGTACAATGGTCATCCTAACTTTGTGAATCTAAATTTAAATTTAGATTGTGAAAATGCAGTAGTCATTGGGCATGGAAACGTAGCCATTGATGTTGCACGAATTCTTCTTCTAGACATTGATGTTCTAATGGTATATTGATTTATGTTGTTTAATTATGAATTTACAATATTTTTATGCGAAGCTAAGTAATGGGTATAATACCAAAAATTTCTGTTTAAATTTTTTCATTAAAAATTAAGCAAATTTAGATATAATTTTTTTATATTCTATTTCTTGATTTATTTCACCTATAATATACTAATATGTAATTCTTTAATAAATAATTTTGCATTTAAAAACTTCAAAAATGTGTTGTTTTTGAAATTGAAAAGTTATTGTGGAATTGTTTTTTCAAGATTTGAATATCTTACTTTTAAATTTTTGTTTGATTTACTCTTAATTATATTTTTAACTATCAATAATTATAAATTAAATGATAATATTTTCAGTCAAATACACAAGCTATAAAAATTTATACTTATGACTTCACATTGTACCAACAGATAAGAAAATACATTATCTATAGGAGCACAGTGAAAGCTCTTATTGCCCCTTACATTTCGATAAATTTACCAGCAACTTCTAATTATATCAGGTATACCAAGTATATCAAGCAAATTTTCATGCTTGCTTTTATTAGAAATCTGAGATTAAATGAGTTCAATCAATTNGAGCTTACATACCTTGAACTTTTCGCAAGGCAAAAGGCCCAGAACAAACAAAAGTGGCTGCTTCCACCTACTCACTACTGGTATAAAGCAAAAAGACCAGGACTCTCTCTATCTCTTCCTGGTGACAGGCAAACCAACACCTGCTTATCCCGACTGGCCAGTGGACACCTGAAAAGTCTCACATTTTCTGCAAATCAAAAGATCTTTCCTCTTTGCCCTTAATGCCAACAAAACCAGGCATCACCTGAGCACATCTTGATCTGTTTAGGGCTGGACTGGAACGATATTCATTCCTCTCCCATTCTGGTTTCGGATTTTCTCAATATCAACGGATTCATTGATCTGGTCTGACCCCGTCAGACCAGATGGGAATTAGCAACAACAACAGAAATCTGAGATTAAATTAGTTCAATCCATTTGGATTAAATAATGAAACTTATTGATAAAGATGTTTTGAGAAAAAAACATTTTTGTACAATAAAATATGTGAATAAGCAAAAGGTTTCTGGTTTATTCATTTATAAAATTATTTTGAAGATAATAGATTTTTGGTACAATTTTTACTACAGCATCCTCTTAACTTAGAATATGAACCCCTATTCTTTATATATAAAATATTTCTCCATTCAGGTTTTAATTTTTAAAAAATTATCATCTGTGATATAATTCAACATTTAATTTGTTTAGTTTATAAACTTCTAATAACTCAACATTTTAATGAATAAATTTAAAAGAAATATTTCTTGTCTTTGTTAATACTCTGTTTCAGAAAGATGTGAGTAATTCCTTACTAACTTTGATTTTTTAGAAAACTGACATTGCAGAACATGCTTTAGAAGCTTTAAATAAGAGCAGAGTTAAAAAAGTTACTATGGTTGGTCGAAGAGGACCTCTTCAAGTTTCTTTCACCACTAAAGAATTCAGGGAACTTGCCAAATTGTCCTATTGTAGAAGCGTTATGAATTTAGAAGATTTTGTTGGTATACCTGATATAATACCCTGTAAGTTTTTGATAATATATTTAGTATACTATGGTATGGTTTTAAAAATTTTGTAATGAACTCTAATCTTGGAAATTAATTTGGAATTAGTTTTTTTTCTTAATTTTTTGTATCTTTTGTAAAAATAGAATATAAAAACATATGGATAAAATATGAAAGTTCAAAAACTATCAAGATAAAATATTTACTTTCATTTAATTTGTGTATTTTCCCGCAATTTGAAGAAAAAAAATAATATACTTAAAATTGGTTGAAATTCTTTAAAAATTATTACAAATTATGTGGTTTTTATTAAAGATTTCTTCTCAAACACATTACTTTACTACGCTTTTAAATCTAGCATTAAATTTTTATTTCATCATGGCTATAATGTCTAAACATAATTTTATGCTACATTTTTATAAATCTTGTTTTCTTTCTTTTTTTAAAGTATTGTTTCCACAAAATATTTGTTCTTACTAAATTTAAAGAAAAGAAAGAAAGTTTATACTAAGATAAAAAAAAAAAGTTGTATCTTTTGACATATCATTTTCACTGTATTTTAAATCATAAAAAAATTATCGAATCAGTTGCTATGTTTTTTAACAGTTGGCATAGACATCATTTATATGTTAAGTGTTAGCGATGTCTATTCTAATTGCAGCTTATGTTATTGGCAAGGTCTTTCAAGCTGGGAAGGTACTGAACTGCTTCAAAAAATAAATAAAAAATTTAAGATCTTTTATGTAAAAAAAGAACTGTAAAATTATTGCTGACAAATGATCAGTTTGGAAGAAACTTCTTAACTTACTATGAGTTTAAGAAATTTCTTAAACTTACTACTTCTATAACAGGAGAGAAACACTTCATGACATATTCTAATTTTACATCAGCAATTTAAAAATTTAATGCATAGAAAAAAAGGAGATCAGATTAAAGATTAAGAGTAAATCATGAAATTTCAAATGCTAAAAAAATTATTCAAAATATCAAAATGCTGATAAATTATGGCAGGGTTACACAGTAATGAAGTTATCTTGTCATAATTTGTTTGTATTTTTAACTACTTATTCTTGGTTTATCTGAACTCACTAATTTCTATACTTTAAATTGAAAATTACCAATGCGGATGAAACAGAATTTGTCATGAAAAGTTTCTCCCATGTTATAGCTTCCACTTAAGAAGGCCAGAAGTAACCAAAGTCTGTTAAATCACTAAGGATGATACAATGATATTCCTATAACAGATTTGAAATTCCTTTAACTTCATAAGCTTCATTTTGCCATATGCTTTTCATTTATTACAATTTTAGACAAGACCTTTTTAAATTCCAAAAAGTTTTTATTTTTGAAGTACTATATATTTTTTTCAGCTTTAAAAAGACCTCTTAAAAGACTAACAGAATTAGTATGGACGACGGCTAATCAAGAGCAAGACAAAAGTCTAAATAAATCATGGGAGCTGAAATTTTATAGAAATCCTAAAGTTACCTTACCTGACTCGGAAGGTAGAGTTGAAAATGTTGTGTTTGGAATAAATAAATTAAAGGAACTAGTAAGTTATTGAATTTTCTTGTTAAAATTTCTGTTCATTTTTGGATATTCAAAGATATCAGTTTTATATGTTCTTATAATCCAGCATATTTTTTCAGTGATAATTAGTTTAAGTTGAGATAAATCTTTGATAGAATTTGTGTCAAAAATTTAAAAGCAGTAAAACCTTGGATATAATTTTTAAAAAAAATAGGAATATTACAACTGAATATAGTTATATTAAAATCATGCAACAAAGATTATTTATTTGAAGTGGAGTACCAAATTTACTTGGCATTATACTAAATTATATTAGACTTGCATTGCAAAAATGTTTATCACTAAAAATAAATACTTTCTCTAAAGAATGCAAATGACATTTGAAAAACTATTTACTTACAATTTTTCAATAACTGTTATAATAATAAAAAATAATCTTAACAATAAATTGATGTTTGGTGGGTTTGCATACTAATTGTTTTGATTATATTGACTAAAATAAAATGAACTATATTATTTAATATTGACTAAATATAATATAATATATTGACTAAAATAAAATGAACAATATAGTATTGTTTAAAGTTCTTTCTCCAAAGGAAATAAAAATGCCACAGTTTAAGAGCTTTACACTTGAAGTAAAACTATAATTTTAAACTTTATAAATCATCTGGTTTTAAAACAGACAATTATGTTATAGATTTCTAAAAGTTATTAAACTATTTTAAAAATTTTCATTCAAACTTTACTTTTAAATTTAAAAAATTAGATCACATATACTGTTTATTTTTATAAAACTGTGTTTTTTTTTATTTTAAGGTTTTGCACTAAGGTTAGTCACTAGATAATGACAAGCTAAACTTGCCCTAATTGTCATGAGAAATTGCTGAAAACGCACAGAAGTTATGGAAATAGCATATTATTTGCAAAAAAGCATTAATTTATATGACAGCTGAGCATTGAAAAAAACAGCTTAAAGTATGGATTCTACAAAAATATCAATCTTTAAAAATTAACCAAAAATATATGCTAATTAAACAAGGGAAATACTATAATGATCATTTGTGCATAAATTGTGTCTACAAAATTATTTCATTAAATGTTCTTCCTTACACAAAATAGGATATAATATGCAGATAGTTCCAGAATACATGTAGATCAAAAAAAAAGTATTGCAAATTCATTAAAAGTATTGCAGAAATTTCACAGTTTAAACATTGTCAGGATGTTTAAATTTAGGATTACCTATTCATTTTGTGTTCTACTTCTAATAATATTATCAAACTGTTTAAACTGAAATTCTTTTTCTTATTAAATTCTGATTGTCAAAAGTTGTAAGTTCCAATTCAAATTTATAAACTTTTATTATAAAAAATTACTATAGTTTAGTTCTTACTAATTTATGATCATCATATTTCATTAAATTAAAATTTACTTTTCAGGATCTAACGAAACCACCTGAAATCTTTGATACAGGTGAAGAAGAAAATTTAAGTGCTGGTATTGTAAGTAAAAAAAAAAAACTATATTTTAAAAAAAACTTTTTAGTTATTTTTAGATATGTATTTTTACTGATCCTTCTTTGCTTAGACAAAATAACATGAAAAAAAATATTCTAATTTTTTTCTTAAATAAAATTCCATTCCATTATTTTTTTTAGTAAATAAATTCCATTTTAATAAATAAATAAATTTGCTTAAATCAAAAAAAAATATTTAAACAACAATTCTAATCACGGCAAAACTTATTCTAAACTTTTACTAAATGTGAATGATATTGTTCTTAACATTACTATCAAAGCCTTACATTACAGCAGTATATTCTTTCGATTCTTAATATTATCGAAATGATAAGATACATCATTCTTAATAAGTAGTTCTTTTATTTTAGTATTTGAAACAAGTAGCAATATTTGTGTAAAAAATAAGTAGCAATATTTATGTAAAAAATTTCCAGAATGAGTTTTGTTTAATCTTATAAGTATTTTATGTCCTAGGCAATGTAGTATGTTGTTAAATAATTATGCCACATATTGTACGACAAAAAATTCCGTCACTTTTTTACACAAATGCAAGTACTTAAAATTATCTTAGTTAATACTTAATTATCTTAGGAAGTACTAAAAATTATCTTAGAAAAAAAATTAAATTTCCAATTTCTTTACAAAATAAAGTTTTTGTTCTAAATTTTTTCTCAACTGGGCAAAATATTTTTTCATGAAGCTACTTTACTTTTCTAAGAAATTTTAAGCAAAATAGGAAAGGCATTCCTAATTAAACCATATTTAGTTCTCAGATATTATTTATTTATTTATTTATTTGAAGAAAAAAAAACATGTTTTGTGTTTTATAATTCTGTAATGTATAAGTAAAGCAACTAAGTTAGGTTAAAAAAATTTATTCTTTTATTGCTGGTGCAATTCTAAAATTTTAATTCAGCGTAAATAATGCATTAAAGGTATTTTATAATTCTTTCTACTTTATGGAAAAAAAACTATTTTTTTTTTTTAAACTTCGTATTACCAAAAAAAAATCTAAATAGTTTTAAATTTAATAATCAAATTTTTGGGTATGAAATTTCAAAAACATTTTTTCATTCTCAAATTTATGATTTGAAAAACTAGCTTTAATAATGGGACCTAATATAATATGAGGCTTATTGTTTACATATGTATATCTTAATCTCCTTAAAAGTCCTGAGTTTTTAAGAATATATCATGTTTTTAATTGTTTACTTGTCTTAAAATTTTGATTTATCTTCTGTTTTTTTTCCCCTACCACTTTCATTTACTTTCCATATATAGATATATTGAATAGATGCTATTAATATTATACAAAATCTATTATAATAGGTTATTAAAAGTATTGGATATAAAAGCTCACCAATAGACCCATCTGTTCCTTTTGATCCTAAAAGATGTATAGTTCCTAATAAGAAAGGAAAAGTCCTTAATAAAAATGGTAATTATTCGCTATTAGGTTCTATTTTTATCCTTTGTATTGTATTATTATCTTTTGTATTGTTGACTCCTACAAAATGATTTTTTTTTTCAGTATACACAGTGACCAAAATATATGAAAATTTTGAAACCATTTGTGAGAAATAAATTTTAGACTGAAAAAAAAATATATTTTTTAAGAAATAATATTTCAAAGATTTGTGATTTATTATATTAAAGGTTTGGGATCTATTGCATTGTTTACATTTGAAGTATTATAATCAATGTCAGTGGGTCAAATAAAATANACATAATTTTTGAAAATTAAAAATTTGGATTTATCGTTTCTTACGAGACACAAAAATAAAATTTTGAGAAAAAAGTATTTTGTGGAATTGTTCTACCGTTTTTCCTAAAGTTAAATTAGTGTAGGTATCGGTAAACGGTAGTAAATTTCATTTGGACAGACCCCTGTACTTTAACTATTAAAACAAAGTTTCAATTAGCAAACCATAATTTTAATTTAAAATTTCTTTTTTTTCCGCTTGATTTTTAGAATGACAAAATAAATGTAACAGATTGTGTTTATAAATGTAGTCATTCATCAAAAAATAAATATTTAATCTATATATTTTTATATTAAAATATTCACTTTTAATTTTATATCAAAATAGATAAGTTAAGCTAAAAAAAATTTTTTTTTAAAATCTATGTACTCATAGGATTTTTTTTTTCACAAAATTTCTTTATAGAAAATCAGATGTCAAAGATACTGTAAACATATTATGAGAAAAAATACCAGTTAATGACCCTACTGTTTCAAATAGACTTTGAAAGAGTTTGAAAGGGAAGAATGACACTATATCAGGAAAAAATATCTGAACTTATTGGCCTTTTTTTTCTTTCTATTTTTGGCAAATTAGGTATTTTCTTTTTAATATGCTTTTAAGAAAGCTTCAGAAATATACATTTTCCACCAATAAAATATAATGTAGATTTTAATTCCATGCTTTTTCTGTCAAAGGGTAGAATTTTAATTAACAATATTTACATTATTTTTTGAAAAAATTCATGTTTAATAATTACTTTCTACAGCTATGCAAGTCTATATTAAGACAGCATTAAATGTTTACTTTAATCTGTGCTTTCAATCTCAAGAATCAAAAGATTTTTAAAAATGTAATTTTCAATGTGTTGGAATTTAACACACACCAAGAAAGAAAGTAATTTCTTTAACTAAAATTAATTAATGCAACAATTTATTTAAAATAAATTTTGAAACTAAGAAAAGTATCAATAATTTAAAACACTGTTTTTTAACTTTTATAATCAATATATATAAAAAAATTAGTTGATTTAAATCAATGATTTCTTTTAAAAAATCATTTGATTTAAATCATGATTTAAATCGTCATTTAAATCAACAAACCCTGCTATCAAAGCCTTACATTATAACAATATATTCTTTCGATTCTTAGTATTATCGCAATGATAAGATACATCATTCTTAGTAAATAGTTCTTTTATTTTAGTACTTGAAATAAGTAGCAATATTTATGTAAAAATTTCCCGAATGAGTTTTGTTTAATCTTAAAAGTATTTTATGTCCTAGACAATGTAGTATGTTGTTGAATAATTATGCCACATATTGCAGGACAAAAAATTTCCTAACTTTTTTACACAAATGCAAGTACTTAAAATTCTTATAATAGAAAAAAAAATTACATTTCTAATTCCTTTACAAAAAAGCTTTTGTTCTAAATTTTTTCTTGACCTGGGCAAAATATTTTTTCATGAAGCTACTTTACTTTTCTAAGAAATTTTAAACAAAATAAAAAAGGCATTCCTAATTAAACCATGTTTAATTCATATTATTTATTTATTTTTTTAAAGAAAAAAAAACATGTTTTGTGTGTTATATTTCTGTAATGTATAAGTATAGCAACTAAGCTTGGTTAAAAAAAATCATTCTTTAATTGCTGCTACAATTCATAAATTTTAATTTAAAGTAAATAATGCATTAAGGATATTTTATAATTCTTTCTACTTAATCAAGAAAAAAAAAACATTAACTTTCTTTTGAAACTTTGTATCAACAAAAAAAAAAATCTAGATAACTTTAAATTTAATAATCAGATTTTTAGGTATGAAATTTCAAAAACATTTTTTCATTCTCAAATTTATAATTTGAAAAACTAGCTTTAATGGGACTTAATATAATATGAGGCTTATTGTTTACATATGTATATCTTAATCTCCTTAAAAGTCCTGAGTTTTCAAGAATTTATCATGTTCTTAATTGTTTACTTGTCTTAAAATTTTGATTTATCTTGTTTTTTTCCCCTGCCACTTTCATTTACTTTCCATACATAGATATATTGAATAGATGCTATTAATATTTTACAAAGTGTATTATAATAGGTTATTAAAAGTATTGGATATAAAAGTTCACCAATAGACCCATCTGTTCCTTTTGATCCTAAAAGATGTATAGTTCCTAATAAGAAAGGAAAAGTCCTCAATAAAAATGGTAATTATTCGTTATTAGGTTCTATTTTTATCCTTTGTTTTATATTATTATCTTTTGTATTGTTGACTCCTACAAAATGATCATTTTTTTTCAATGTACACAGTGACAAAATATATGAAAATTTTGAAACCATTTGTGAGAAATAAATTTTAAGACTAAAAAATAACTATATTTTTTTAGAAATAATAATATTTCAAAGATTTGTGATTTGTTATATTAAAGATTTGCGATCTATTGCATTGTTTATATTTGAAGTATTATAATCAATGTCAGCGGGTCAAATAAAATAATATTTTTCTAACAAATAAAAATAAATCAGAATGATCCTAAAACTGTTTGAATGCTCATCAAATAAACATTTTGAGTAGGTATAAATTATTTTAAGCATTAAAAATTAAGCTTTTTACAGCATTAAAACAGATGTATGATTCTAGTCTTTATATTATGATGTCTATATTATTTCATAAATGTTTATTGTTCAAACCCCTTTTATGAATTGCTACTATGTATTACTTATGCTGTTATCTAGATGAGTTATATGAAGTAAAACATGTATTTTTATACATTTTGGTGTTAATATTAAATTTCAATATAAATTTTCTTTTCTACAAACATTTATTTAAATATTCAATTTAATTAGGTCTGTACTGCAGTGGCTGGATTAAAACAGGTCCAAAAGGAGTGATTTTACCAACTATGCACTCAAGTTATGAGACAGTAGATGTTATATTAGACGATATTGATAAGGGAGAAATGAATGCAGATTTACCAATGGATAGAAATGATGTACTAGATCTTCTTAAAAAAAGAGGTACATCATTATATTTTAAGTGTTTTAAAATAGCTGAATTGCAGTATTATTTGAAAAAAATTTTAATGGCAATAATAAAATGGAAAACAATTTCCAAAGAAATATTTCCTTTATTAGAAGGGTTGTTTTAAACTTAATTTATTTTAAATTGCTTGATATTATTTCTCGTTCTTTAAAATGATTTATTTATAGCAGACGTAATTCAGGGGTGATTGTGAGTCCAAGTCAAAATTCCGGAAAATTTCTTGAGTAAATAAAAAAAATACGGTTTAAATTGAAAAATTAGAAAAAAATTTAAACATGGTTTTTTTCCTTTTTCTCAATATTTCTTAGTGTTCTTAAAATATATTTAAAATTTTACACATACCTATAATGATCTGGAGAAGTAATTAAAATTTACAAATATGTCTTTCTTTCTTAAGGTTATGATTATAACAACTATTTACTGATAAAAAATGAGTATTAATCATGAATATAATCTTATAAAGTATCTCTCTGGCTCTCCCTTACATACAAATAAAATAAACTGTGTTTTTAACTTCCATGTTTGAAAATTTGATTTCTGGAAACTTCTGTGATCAATGATTTTTTGAAACGTTTGGACCTTCGATCTCCGGAAACTTCCGGATCACTGTTAGCGAAAAATCCTGAAATCCGGATTTTTTCTGGAGCACAATCAGCCCTGGTAATTTTAAAAGTTTTTATGTAACAAGAGCATTATAAATATTTGAAGTGCAATTAGTCAAATAAATAATGTATGTTAACATTATAATTTTAGTATTCCTATATTATAATTTTCGTATTTGGTGAAATCTGCATGGGGGAAAATAATGAATTTGTGAACTATTTAAAAGTTAAATAGATATTGTTTTTCTTCTGGTAGAAATAATTTTAAGTTACACATGCATAAATTTATTAATATAAATATTTTTGTTAAAATCCATTAATTTTTAAATTAATATTACTGCGGAACGTTTTTTTTTAAAAATATTTTTTTAATTAGAACAATTTCAATCAGTTATTGAAATTTATCTTTCAAATTTTATGTAATAATCAGAAAAATATTTTGATAAGCAATTGTAAATATAAAGATACAATATGTTTCAAACTTGATTTTGGATTAGTAAAGGAATTTCCAATTTTAACGAAAGAATAAGGAATTAATTTAGAATTGAATCCTAACTTTTTTAAATGAAAAATTTATACAAGTTGTACTACTTCTCTTCAGCTTGTTTCAAATAGTTTAAATCAAAAATTACTTGAATAAAATAATAAATTTTTAGATAAAAGTTTTATTATTCATTTAAATTTAATTGTTTCTTTTGTTTCAGGTGTTAAATATGTAACATTTGAATATTGGAAAAAAATTAATCAAATTGAAGAAGAAAGAGGAATGGCTAAGGGGAAACCAAGAATAAAAATATGCAATGTTGATGAAATGTTAAAGATTGCAAATTTAACTTAGTTGCTAGTTAAGACCTCATCTTTTGTTGATCAATTTAAAAATCTTGCGATTGGTTTTAATTCAATCAAATCTGATAAAAATCAAATAACTATTACTGTATTAAAACTTACTGTTGATGATAAAAGAAATAAGCTGCGTTAATATCAATTGCAACCAAACATAAATATAGTCTTTTTCGTGGCACAATACAATTAAAGAAGTGTTCATTTGACAACTGAACAAAGAAAATGAAAAAAAATAATAATTTAATTTGTTAAGAACTAATTATAATTTGAAAGTTAAGCAATGTCAATATAAAATATTTATTAAAAAAAGTAAATTTAATTTTAAAAAAAGGTTTTTTTTAAATTCTTAGAATATTTAATACATATGAACCCTTTTTTTCTACAATAAATTGGTAGTTTTTAAAGGCGAGACCTAAATTATAATATAGTTTTATTTTTATAAATGTTGCTCTATATTTTTACTCAAGTCTTAGGTCTTTTTATAAGAATTTTGAGTAGGCAGGACTTGAAAAAAAAAGCTGACACTTTGAGATTATTACTTATATACTAGTGAGTAATTAATTGGCATCTGTCCGTAACATATTATAATTCATTATTAGCAACAGTCCATATTAGACTCCTCATTTTTTTTAATAATAAATTTGAATTAAGTGTTTTTTTTTATTATTGCATCTTCCTTTTATTTTCCTTCACAGTGAATGTTGTGAAAAAAAAATTTTATATTGTCATTCAATTTTATATATTTATTTTTGATACACAATAAGTTATATATAGCTAAAAATGTATGATATAAAAAATTTATTGAATATAAAATTCTGAGGACTTATATAATTCTTAATTCTTAAATTTTAAAATATATGATATATAATTCTTAAATTTTAAAATTGCATAAAAAATTATGCGATATTTATCTTGTTCAATTATCAGCATTGTCAATTCATGTTTGGTATTTTTTTAATTGATGAAATAGTTTATTCATCCTTTGACATCTGTTTTTCCCAACTCGGTTTCAGTAATAACATAGGAATATCTAACTATTTTCCAGGCCAGTCATTAATAAATAATTATCTATTTTTTTTAGCTGTGGTTTGCACAAGTTATAATTTTATGAAGCAAAGTATTTTTTCTTGTTAATTTATACCAAACAAGCCAACTCAGAAACCTTTGTCACAGTATACATTTGATGTTTTCTTTATTGCAATAGTAGATATATAATATTTTGATTATAGATAGTCCATTTTTAATGGATTCTAATAATAAATATTGATTTTTATATTTTCATTCTTTTTTATCAGAACTGTTTTAACTAATTAAGTTTAGTTTATGTGAGGGGCTTAATAAATTTTATGAGAAAGGATAAATATCTATAAAGTTCTTTTTTTTTTCTTATTTTAGTTATGTCATGGATTACATAAATGAACTTCATATGAAGTCTAATATATATGTTTTACTCTTAGCTTAGCTGTGATAAAGTTTGATGATTCTCAATCTTGTGGCTTTATAAGTTATATTTGTGATAGTACTTCAACTGTATTTTTAATTATTACTCTAAGCAACTTAAATGCATGCATGTTTATTAAATTTTATTTTTATAAATTATTGTTGTTAATGCTTATGTAAAGACCACATAATCTTTTTTTAACAAAAGAAATCAAACAATATATTGTGTACAGTAATATTTTATTGTTCCCATTAAATATTACATTTTAACTTTGACTACAAGAACACTCAGTTGTTATTGGGGTTATCACTATACACAATTCAAGTGATGTAATTATATATTTTTTTTATTAATATGGAACCAGAATGTTTGAATTCAAAAGCGTAAATATAAAATGCAACTTGCATTAAATTAGTTAAGCCTAGCTCAACGTTTTGAAAATTAGAACTAAAATATAAAACAAAATGAAAGTGTGAATGACACAATGACTAGTAATGTATTTTCAAAGTGATGCAACAAGTTGATAAAATATTTAGTACACAAAAATAAAAATTATAATCAACCTTATTCAAAGTGATGAAATAAAAATAAAGTAGCTACAGCAATTGAAGTATAACACTACAGAAATTTTTCTTACATTTCCCTTTTGGGAAAAATATATCAAAAGTGTTTCTTATTAACAACGAATTTATAAATCAGAGAAAAATTTTCACAATCGACCTTTCCTAGTCTGAAGCTTTTACACAATCGTTTGGCACCAGAGGGCATTAACATATCTACCAACTTACTACATCATTTTTATAGTTTTTAGAATATTGTGGCGACGCAGAAGTTTTTAAAAAATAATTCGACCTCGAATTTCTCGCCATCTATAACGTTACTTTCCTGCATAGTGAACCAGTTTTTCTACATTCTGTAATAAAAAACTGACATACAGATGGGATAATACCGCACTAACTTTAACCAAATGCTTCATGATAAAAGTTAAAAGGCATTAAATTTTTTTAATATATATTCACCCCGTAGAGTGCAGCAACACACCGATTGGTTTTCGAACTGATGTAGTTATATACAGTTTTTAATCCTACTGTTTTTATCATTATACTGCGTTTTTGTTTTTTTAATCAGCAGCGAGTTAGTAGATACATTTTGTTTTCCAAATATGTGCGCAAATACGTTTGTATTTTATACAAATCTTCAAAATTATAATCTAGATGTACATGAATGATCTAGATTTTAATTGTCATTATAACAGCACTTTTCTTTGTACTTTTGCCATTGAGATTCTGCTCTAAAACTAATTGCTGAGTAGGAATAGACAATTCAGAAAGTAAAATTAGTGAAACATAACAATATAGACAACAATGATATACATATTTTCTTGTAAATAACTGTATTAGAGAGGTTTAAATTTCTTTCAAGATCCTATCTTCAGAGATTATCTATATCATTTCAAATATAGATTATCTCTGATGATAAATATATTGGTTTTGGTTAATATAAAATGTGAAACAAATGTCCACTAACATATGCAATATGATCTTAAATGTTTAATAGTCAATGAAAAAGTAATGAGTGTCGTTGGCAGGGGGAAAGTAGTATATGCCTCCCAATAATTAGAGGTCTTTATAAGTTTCCCTCAATATTTCAGACAAATAAAGAAAATTTTCATGAATTATCATCAATTTGAATTCGCCAAAGTTGAAGACAAGAAAGAGATAAAAATAAGTAATCTTTTAGCAGATATGAGAAATATTATTTTTTATCAGGGTGCGTAGCCAAATTATTCAACAAAAAATAAGCACCTTTTAAGCCCTCAAAAGATATTTTTAAGCACTTTAAAAAAGTATCATAATTGGGTAGGGTTGGAAAGTTTTTGACAATTGACGGTTTTATGTAGTTTCAACCATCATGTCAAAAAAAAAAAAAACTTTTGCCATTGTATTTGACATTTGTTAAAAATCATGAAGTTTTGTCTTATTAATTACGGATTAGCTACGGTCTGACAATACGCCGAAATAGATTGGGGTTGAATGAATCGTAAAAACGTTGAATAGAAAAATGTGAACAGCGTCTTTTTGCATAATTCGCAGCTGAAATCAACACGGTAAAGGAAAAATCTCATTTTGAAAAAGGGAAAATTAAGCAATTTTTAAAAACACTCGATGAAAAAAGCACCTTTAAGGGCTTTTGAAAATCGAAAATAAGCATTTTTTAAAAACGCTACGCACCCTGTCTTATATGTGAAATTTAGAGAACTATTACGGATGTGGATTTTAATTTCATCCTCCTGAAAAATTCGATGCCTGCAACATCCATGAAAAAAGTTTTACTTTTAAGATCAACCAAAGCTTAATTTACCCAATAAAAAGTTAACATTATTAATAATACAGATTTTTAAATATTTATTTAATTAGACTCGCATCTTCACTTATTTTCTATTTCATAGTCATTTAACTATTGGCAGCATCAGTAGACTAAAAATAAAACATCTGAAATTTTTAGTTTAATAATTTTTTTTTAATCTTTCCTTTCTTTCGATTTCATCACTTTCTGCTTACATCTAAAAGACTTACAGAAACATATTTTCAGAATATTAGTGCATGAGCTGAATTGTGAGTTCTTATTAACTATCAACATAAAATTGAATCACATAATTCTTTTATGCTCTAATGAAGTATATAAGATTGTCAACTTATTAATACTTAGTTGAGTTTAATGTAAATATAATACTAAAAGTGATATATTATTTTCTTCATAATTATTTGTGAATTGTGAAAAAAGTTAAATTCGATGATATCTGTATACAATAATGGTAATGTCTCTCATTGTTAGTTATTAATTACTTTTTACAAATACAAGAGATGAAAATAGATTGAAACATTTAATTTCGCAAATGTTATATGATAGATACAATAATATGCATTAAATATTTTAAAGGTGTAACAAAGTGAAATTTTGAAATCAATTTTCTTTTTGTCATTATGAGATTCTTAATACACTTTATTAAAATAGCTTAGGTACACCTAAGGCTATTTTAACAAGAAACAGCTTTTAGAAGCTAATCATATATAAAACACATTAACTTTTAAAAAATAATATTTTATGCAAGTTAATAGTTCAAAGGAAAAATATAACAGTTTTATAAACATTGCTCATAAAACTATCTTGAAAAGCTTTGAAAGGCACAAAAGCTTGAGAAAACACTGAACTTTTATAAAAAGTTAGAAAGTATGAATATATTTGAAATAAAATTATCTGTTTAGTAACATTACAAAGAATACAGTAAGCCAAAAAATTATACATTCATTCTAAAAGTTAAGAAACAGCTTATTAAAAAGATTAATGAAAATACTTTATATTGCACATTTTTTGATAAAATTTAAATCTTATTTTAAGACTTTTTTTTAACCATGAAACATAATCACATAAAGACATAAGTTCTTACAATAAATCACAATTAAACATATAAAAAACAAACAAAATTTTTTTCAAAATACTGAACTACAATTTAGTGTTGACATGGTTTTCAAATAACATAAAAAGATTCTTAAATAATATTTTTAATAAATGCAAAGAATCTTATTTCATAATTTTTAAATATAAATGAAGTATTAAAAAATTTATTTCTAAATATAGAAACAAACATTTAGTATCTGCCTTTGAGGATGAAGTAACTGAAAATTGAAATTATACGGTGAAATGAAGGTAACATTTAGGATTATTTATAAGTGAAGTTAAATGTTGAGTTTAATGGCATAAGAACTAGCTTCGTCAACACTGCAACAAGTTTAAATTATATGAATATGAGTTTTATATTAGTACATATGCATGTCATTTGAAAAATAAATTACATATTTTGAATTTATTATTATTTCTAGTTAGTTTTTAATGCTTTAAATATATTAGTATTTTGAGTAACTTTTGATTTTATCTAGTATACAGTTTTTTTTTTAAATTAATTTTTGTGTTCAATTAAAAGGATATCCAAATCTGTTTTATTAAACATATATATTTGTAAGCATTCTCTATTGGTATATGTATATATATATTTATCTATGTGAAAACTGACAAATGAATTATTGATACAAGATATACTTGATGTACATTTAATTTATACACCTCTTTATACATTTGTAATGTTTTGAAATATTTCTTATACATTTCTAAATATTTCTATCTAAATTTTACACCTCTTCATTATATTTGTGGCGTCTCAAAATAAATATTTATCTATGAACTTAGAGCATTTTTTTTTTCAATATGACTTATTTTTAAACTAAAAACACATCCAAATCTGCTTATCATAGGCAAATATGATTTTAATCTTTACTTAAAATGTTATTTGCAATGTAGATGATAAATGTGAAAAGAAAAAACATTGGATCATTTTTTCCAAGTTTCAAGAATACTTTATCACTCATTCATAAAATATCTATAAATGATTGTATTTCATGGTTTTATACAATTAAATTTCTTTTTTGTATTCAAAATAAAATAAATATATACACACAAAATGAAAAATGACAAAGGTTGAATCTTTTTTTAGAAATATTTCCACATTGTTTTGCTAAAGTGTTACAACTCAGGAACTCTTTTAGTTCTATTCTTCTGATCATGGAACTAAAATATGTACATGTATTTTATACAGTCTCGAGTATTTTTGTTTACAAAACAAACTATTTTAAAAAGTTTTATAGAATTTCATCACATCTTAAATAAAAACATAAAAATGTTATTTTCCTCCAACTTTGAATATGGATTCTAGGTTGCTTTTACAGTCACTAAATCCAGCTTTTGTCACTGCACCAGGCAGTCCTGGAATATTACTTATTGTGCAACATTATCACTTATTATATTTTATTGCAAATATATTATATATAATATATATATGTACAAAGTTACTTTTGGACTTCATCATCCAGCATGGCATCTAGTTGGTCTGATAGATTCGCTAACATATTTTCTATATCATCAATAACATCTCCTGGAGATATTGCTTCTGGTGTCCTGGAAAATATTTAAATTGGAAATAATTTAACAACATTAAATCTCAACACAGTAAATTTTAGTTGCCAGATTTAAAACTTTAATTACTTCAATACTTCTAAATTGAAAATTAATTTAAGACATTTTTAACATTTGATATTTATTATTTGATCGATTAATTACGTACAATTTTAAAATAAATCAATATTATAAATTTGTAAACAAATTTAAATGTAACATTTTTCATCCAAAATAGATAAAAAATAATTAATATTAAGTCAGTTCTATAATCATTACATTCATGCCATATTCAATTTTAATTGTCCTTTTTCATGCTTGCATAGAATTGCACCCTCAACAGAATATCATTTACACATCGAAAAACATGCTTTTAATTTAAAAAGAAGAAAAAATTATAAATATAAAGAAAATACTTTGATCAAAAATTTGGAGAATTAAATTAATAAAAATAGACAACAAATAATTATTTTAATCTCATTTGTGATTATTAGTTTTTAAAGTGTTAACAAATATCAAGTTTGTTTTATAATCATTATATACATGTCATATTCAATTTTAAACCTCAAAGTATTGAATCCTTCTGCATGTTAGTACAGAATAACACCCTCAATACACTTTACTTACATCCACATAAAAAAACAGGGAGAAAAGCCTGTTTGTAATGCAAGAAAACAGCAAGAAAATATAAAAATGTTTGGATCTAAAATCCTAAGGTTTAATTTATTCAGATTTGATAGATTAATATTAATTATAACTTAAGTATTTTATAATTATTACTTACATGTCGTACTCGTGCTCATTATTTGACCGAGAGTTTTCAGAAGGACCTTTGGCTTTTTGAGCTTTGGAGGCTAAAATAAATAGTAAAATTATAACAATATATAAATCGAAAATAATTTTGGTTCTTTTATCATAAAAAATGCTACTTAACAAATTTATATTAAAATATCCAAGATTGATTCATTAATTTCTTTTACAAATCTGTTAAAGTAAGGTTTGTTGTCATATAAAATAAGCCAGTTTTGCTAATATGAAATAACGTTTTTTAGTGGATAATATGATAGTTTATAACTGTTGTAAATCTGTAAAAATTACTCATTACTGTCAAGTTTAGTTTTGTTCACGTCTAGTAAGCATCTTTAATGTTATTTATAAATATGGTGCAAAATGTAAAAATGACACAGTTTTGTGAAAATAAAAAGCATTTGTAATCTATTTTTTAATATTTAAAAAATTACTTCCATGTTGCATTGCTTGCGCTTGTAAAAAATATGGGAAATTTGAGACTAATTTATTGATTTTAATGATTCTTTCTGAACTATCGATTTTTTAAAAAGTTTAATCGCTATTCAAATATTTTAACTGTATGTCCATTTTAAAATTCAACAAACAGTAAACAGTTCTGCACAGGTAATAATCTAATTACGATATTTAAATATATTTCCACTTGATAATTGTTACGAAATTATACACACAAAAATAAGTATAAATAAAAAAAACTAGGCCACATAATAAGGAAAAATAATTGCTGCCCTCTTTCAACAAAAATGAAAATAATTATACAGTAAACAGTTCTGCTTAGATAACAATCTAATTATGCTGCTTAAATATATTTCCACTTGATAAATGTTAGAAATTTTACACATAAAAATAAGAAATAAATAAAAAAGTAAGCTATATGATAAGGGAAAATAATTGCTGCCTCTTTCAACAAAAATGAAAATAATTATCAGTAAACAGTTCTGTTTAGATAATAATCTAATTACGCAAGTTAAATATATTTCCACTTGATAGTTGTTTGAAATTTTATACATAAAAGTAAGTAATAAATAAAAAAAAAATAAGCTATATGATAAGGTAAAATAACTGCTGCCCTCTTTCAACAAAAATGAAAATATATAAATAATTTCTAAATACTTTTGAATCACAAAAATCATGAAATATAACACGAGACGAAAAAAAAGGAAATAAAATATTTCTTTACTCAACTAATTTTTTCAGAAACAATGACATTTAATTTTTAAAGATTTTATTTCATATCAAAAAGTTTGGGTTGGTAAATTTATCAATCATCTAACTAACCTCTTTCTATAGGGAGAGCCGGATATGGTTTGATGGCTTTTTGCTTGATAGTACCTACAGCTTCATTTGCAAAGGGCAAAGCAGTGGAGTCAACACTGGAAGACGATTCCGCAGAGTCTTTCCTTCTTTGCCTGAACAAAGGATTGTTGAACAGTTCATCACCAGATTCTTTTTCAGGTGCATCTTTGCTAGATTTGTCATCCAACGCTGAAGGCAATGGTAAAGGTGGTGGTGGAAAGTCTTCAACACTCTGAGAATTACTTTCCAGGGAGGATTTGATTTTTGCTGGATTGATGCGTAGCCTGGCAACAGCAGACTCTCTAGGAGGTTCTGCAGGAGGTTTATCTCCCTTGGCAGAATTGCTCCGCTTAGGTACGGGTGGCGGAGCTCTCCTAAGGGTTGCGCTTCTGGGAACTGTGGAAGGTCCATGTCTAGGAGAACCATCTAAGCTAGACCAGCCATCTAAAGTTCGACTTTGATTATTGATGAGAGATTTGAATTCACTGTCAGGTATGTCCATAATTGCTTCAGCAATTTCTTCTCGTGTTTTGGCAGTGAGTTTGGCCATGGGCCTCAGCTTTACTAGACCTTTTGGCCTGTTTAAAGTAGCTGTTCCCTCACATTCATAATCATAGTCTTGATCAAGGTCAGTGACATGCCAATCTTTGGTTGGATTTCTCGAAGTTTCTGCTAATGTTGGCTGCTGCACAACTGTTGCACAAGATGATGAAGTTGGAGCTACACTATTATTGGTAGTAGGTACATTTTCAGGATTAAGGCTTTCTAGCGATTTACCTCTTGTAGGTGAAAGTACCTGTAAAAATAATTGAATTAACTCTAGTATGGATAACAACAACTATTATAAGCATATCTGCCACATACAAAGCTGGCCTTAAGCAAGACTGCATTGCCACTTGACTTCTATTGGGTCCCGCATAAATAAATAAACTGTATATAGTCTCATACTATAACATTCATTTTTATATACTCTTTACGCAGGTTTGACATGTAAAAAAAATAAAAGAAATGTCTCTTAGCTGACTTCATAACTGATTTATTTATTTAATTTGCTACATAACTCAATTTATTCATTGCTCATTTAACAACTTTCTTTGTTAAGAATATCAACAAAAACATAGTTACAACATTGAGTGTGAATTTGACTGAAATAGGTTTTTAAAAATCAGTATCAAACTGTACATGACAGGGTTCATAACAAAATCAATTTTTCTACAGTAAATATAAAAACTTAGAAGTTTATTTGCTACATAGTTCACTATGGACATAATTATGCAAAATATACATCAGTTTCACTGTTAGAAATAGTAGATCAAAAACTTGGTCGACTATGGGACTAAAATGTACACACTAAGTAAAATATGCAACTTAAATTATCAAATTAAAAAAGATTTTCTACAATAACCATATCTATGTTGTTTAAATAAATAACCATGTAGGACTTACAATCAATAACTCATTATTTATTATTTGAAATTAAATTACTGTGCACACTAAAATTATTATCAGCATGTGCATTATAAATTTTTATATTACATTATAAACCTGTAACACACGTTTTATTGAAAGAATTTTAATATACATTTCATTGAAATAGAGCAAGTCATGACAATCGAAATGACATGAATTAGCGATATGTAAAATTTAATAGGTACCTATAAAAAAATACTATGAGTCAAGTGATGCAATTCTAAGTGCATGTTTACAAATTACTCAGTCAGTTTAGTTTAAAAATAAGTCTACACTTACTGGATTTAGAGCACCATTGCGATGTTGCACAGCATTTATATTTTGACTTGAATTTTGAGTACCAGGGACACTTTGTGTGCTATCATAAAGAGTTTGGTTACTCTGTGCACTACTTTGAGCAGCTAAGACATCCTGAGTTGTCTGGTAAGTTGAAGAGTTGTGTGTTGAAATAGAGTTTTGTACAGAATTAATAAGAGGAGCTGTGGTATTCTGTACAGAGTTGTAAGCAACTGTTATGTTTGGTGCAGAACTATAAACTGTAGCTACATTCTGAGCGGAATTATGAACAGCTTGCAAGAAAAGACTGTCCTCCCGTAATGGTGACTGTTGAAAAGTTTTCATTTCCGGGATGGACTCAGTGGACGGTGAACTCTTTGGACGCTGAGTTGCTATTGCTATTTCTTGAGTTGGATAGTGCAATGGTTGTACATTATCTAGAAAAAAAAAATTTTTTTTAACAAAATTTTAAAATATTTTAGATGGTACTCACTTTCAGTACGTTGGAAATCAAAATGTAAAGTAAGGCCAAAAGCATCTAAAGTTTCTCTGATAAACTCTAGTTTCTGATTGAACAATATGAGAATAATAATTTTGAAAAATATTTTATTGAATAATGTTTATTGAATATTGAATAATATGAGAAGAAACCAGTTAATTTGTAGAATGCTAAAACAAATACTGAAAGGATTCAGCAGCAAATGAAATTTAAACATGAATGAAAATAAAAAATAGTGCAATTTTTAAATGATAAAGATGTTAAAATTCTTCCTTAGAATAACAATCTTATTTTTTTAAGTATGTAATAAAATAGAAAATTCAAAAAGAAATTTAAATCGACTTTTGAAGCTTTAAGTCACAAATATCACCAATTTTTTTAATTGTGTACAAGAAGGAATTCTAATCGAAAAAATATTTTTTATAACACATGCACACAAAAAAGTTCCTAAAAGTTGGTTTAGCAATTTCAACTGCAACACATTTTTGTATTTATTCACTAAATGGGCAAATCTAACACTAAGTCATGCATGTGATAAATAAAAATAATTATTTAGTTAAAATTTTTTAATATTTTAGTAAGTTTAGTTAGATAATTTTTTAGTTAGTTTTATCTGTGCTTGGAATATCTTTGTACCAAATTTAAATAGATTTAAATAACATTTTGTAATAAAAAACCTTAAAGTTATATAACAAATTATGATATTTGATTATCCAGCATATGACATCAATATGCCCAAATGCAAAAAAAGTATAACAAATATTTTACATTTATTATTGTAACTGTTTCAGCTAGATTTGTTATTCAACAAAAAGTGAATATAATTGATTTGTTTTATTAAGGGTAAATAGTAAATTATAATTTTTCGACATTCGTACTACAAAATATCATTTCCAATCAATATACACTACCCTGTTTAGCACTTAATATGAATAATAAAAACTTACTAAGGGTAGAAGGGCGAGGAAATGTTGAAGACCCAATGATAGAACTATCTATTCGATTGTTAGAAATTGGTTGAGGACACAAATTGGGCTTACGACCATGATTTATGTCTTCTATCCTTTTGATTGCGAGCAAAATCTTCTTTTGGTGCCCTGAAACATAGAAACAACCATAAGATTTAATTTTCAAGAGAAAAGCACTGAAAAAAGAGTGCAAAATGTTACCATTAATTGAATGAATAGTCAAATGATGAATGCATTTGAAGTTTTTGAATACTTTTTTAATTAAAGTTATTTCAGAGCATTAAAATTTTAGGTAATAAAATATACAGTAATGTTCAAATGATTTTATCAAACTCAGAAATTTAAATATTTTTCTTGAAACTATTCAGAGAATCAATTATAAATCAATAACTCTTAAAAAGGATTTTTTTTTATATTTATGTCATTTGTGGATGTCTCTAATAGTTTTCAATGCATTATGCACCATAAAACTATGCAACCAAACAAGTAATTAAGTAGAAAAAATTGTTAAAAGAAATAAAATTTTTTACAGTCTTATGTGAATACACTCTTTTAATATGTCTGCATTTTTCAAGTACTAAATAAAAGGATTAAAATTTTTAGTATTTAGTTAAGAAACCATTTTAATATTATTAATTCATTAAAATACTTTTGATTTGCTTGCTGTTTTATGGGATAACATATTAAATTTTGTGAATATAACCAATTAAAATTGTAATTTAAAATTTATCACTATATAAAAATTCATTAAAAAATTTTAGGTAAAATTAAAAAAACAAAATGCTTACGTAATTAATAACACAAAAAGTGAAAAAATTTTAAAGATTCAAGAAATTAAAAGAAAAAAAATTTAAGTATATGATGCAAATCAGTACTACCCTGATAAATTAAAAGGCCCTATCACGTGCCAAATTACCCCCCACCTTTCTTCCAAAATGCCTTTTTGTAGTATTTCTAAATGGATCTAAAAAATATAGTGCTTTTTCTGTGACATCAGAAACTTCATATATGCAGAATAAGACATGTAACTATTCTTTTGTTTCAAATAAAGTATTGCAGAATTATTTTAAGACAATACTTGCACATAGACATTACATACCTTCGGAAATTTACTATGCAATCTTACCATTTCATATTTTAGCACATTTTTTGAACAACAATAACATTATATAAATCAGTAATTATTTTAATATTATAGTTAATTTTATTTTTCAATATTTTTTTTCGAGATGTAAATGAGAAACATTATTCAAAGCTTGTACATTCCCGGCCATGGAGTAAGCAAAATATAGATCTATAAATGAAGGGTTTAATGTAATTTTAATTCAACTTAAACGTAATTTTTAAAAAAAATTATTTTCTGCAATCAAAAAGAAAAGAAAAAAATATGAATTACCTTCTTTTTTTTTTAAATTAAGAAGACCAATAAAAGAGTTATAAATAAATGCCAAAAAATTTTTTATTAAACTTTTTCATAATTTTACAGCAGAATCAAGATGCGATTAGGTAATTATCTAAAACTAAGTGCTTCATTCAAACTTAATCAAATAAACCCATTTCATATCACAGAATTACTTACAAAAATGACAATACATAAAAAGGGAAGCAGATAAAAATTTTAATGTATAAAAATGAATCACTTGACCTGAAAAAGAAGCAATTAAAATTTAATAAAGAAAAACTTAAAATTACTTAAAAAATAAAGAGCAAAGAAAAATTGCAAACCTACACCAATGTAGAAAAAAATCTTATCTTTCATTTTTTTTAATAATAGTAATACACATAATGAAATTTAAGACTGTCAAAGCTTGTGAAGCAATATTTCTTAAGCATATTATTGTATTTTAAAAAAGTTAACATTATTTAATACAATACTAACCTAATTTTTGAATACCTATGTCTTCTAAATCTTCCCATGTTAAATCAGTAACTTTATCTACAGTGTCATAATTTTGACGACACAAAGTATCATAATACTCATCAAGGCGTAAGAGTGTCAACCATTCCAATAAGTTATCCTAAAGAGGAAAAAATAATTAAAAACATTAAAAAAAATTCTAAATTATATATAAATACTGAAAGAACAAAACAAAGAATTTTTACCAAACTCCTAATTTTGCGGGAAGTTTTTTTTTTTAAAATAAAAGATATTTTAGTGAATTTATGTATTTTCATCAAATCTAATAATTAATAAAAAACTAAATTAGAAAAAATGTGTAGTATTAAACAATATTTTATTTTTAAATCATTTAATTACATACAAATTAAAACTGCAATTCATGCAATTAATAGCTTTGTAGAATAACTCCTAAATCAAATTAATAATAGTAAAAATATATACTCACAGGTTTATATTCTGGAATGCCATCAGCTATATTTAATTTTGCAATTTCGGCTTTTAATTTTCTTCTATGATTTGGTTTTGTAATGCCAATAGCTGTAAGATCCTGTAAAATATGCAATTAAATTATTATCAATTTATTTTCCACTGGGTATTTAAAGTAAATAAATATAAATTGATAATTTATTACTTTCATTTTAAATATTTTACATAGAAAAAAAATTTAAGTTAAAAAAAATTTATTAAATTATCTTTTAAAATAACACTGCATAGCTGCCAACATTTCAAAATAAAAATTTAAGAGATTTTCACTTTAAAAAATTATGTGACTTAAAAAAAAATAAGAATAAAATCATAATAAAAAAAACTCAGCAGTGTACGTTTTAATTAAAATAAAGATTTTTTTAAAACATTAGTAACATTTACACGAATGATAGCAACGTTTTTAGCAAAATTTTACATTTTCATAAGAAACCTATGTATTCTACATCTAACTATTTCCTCCTATGTATTTTTAACATAAAAATATCTCTTTTCTAAGAAATTAAAATTTTCAGCAGAAATAGTAAAACAGGAAAATATTATTAAAAATGCATTTTATTTTTAAAATTTCATATATAAAGTGTATAAATAATTTAAAATAAATAAAAATTATTAATTATACCGGGAAAAAAAATTTTTCTGTGACATGAGATTTCTTAAAAGACTTTAGACACTTTCATATTGTTGATTTCAAATCTGCAATCGTTTTCTCTCTCCAAACAATAATTTTTCAATGATATTATTAGTCTATTTTTCGTTGAAATGTACAAATTTAAAAATGTTATATATAACAGCGGGTTGCATATATGTTGTGACAAACTTCTAGGAGTTAGGGTACATCATCAGGATAAGTATTGCACAGGAAACGGTGCCAAGAAATGTCGTCATATTCCGCTAGGGCCACTTTCCTATTATGAACTGTTTCTTTATGTGCCTCTGAACATGTCATAATAGGGAAGAGTCCCTAGCCACAAACAAATACATTCCTATGTAATTTTAATCTTGATGATGTGGCCCAGATCCCCTTTACTTTTGTCGAAATATTTATGCAATTCCCTGCTACATATAACATTTTTAAACTTGTATATTTGAACAAAAATATAATTTTAAAAAAAAATCCATAGAGGAGCATAGCTAATTTCAGATTTGAAATCCCAATGATAATGATAACCTGAATAAGGCAAGTGTAAGTATTTGCAGGGGTCTGTCCAGACATTTTGTGAAAGGTCCGTTTTTGTAAAATTGTGAAAAAATTACTCGTAATTTGAATATAAAACAAACGTTAAGTAGCAATCTTTCAACCAGGGTCCTGCTTTTGTGAATTTGTGCAAATAGGGTCCTGTTATTGCAAAAAACTTTTTCAAAGAGTTTTTAAATTATAAAGACATACAAGATTATGCTCAACACTGTAAAATTATAATTTAAAAAAATGAAGTTTTAAAAAATAAACAGCAATTACTGCTACTAAATTAGAGATGCAACATACAAATATTTGGTATTTAGCCTATACCATACGCAGAATATTCATTTTGGATGAATAAAGGAAGAAGCGTCTGCGGAAGACAAAACATAGTTCGCTTACAACTGTCTTTCTCCCCCCCTTTCCTGAGAAGGATTTATTCGATTAACAAAACAATAATGAAGATAAACAAATTTGTGAAGGGTCCGATTAAAAGATAAATTATTTTGTGAAGGGTCCGTTTTTAAGTTAAAATATTTTGTGAAAGTTTTATTTTTATGAAAATATATTTTGTGAACCCAAATTTCTTCTAAACAGACCCCTGACCTATGATACCATAAAAATAACAATGAAATAATAAGATAAAGAATACCTCAGGTGTCATTCTGGTAATGGTCGGCATATCGTAGCCTGCCAGCAGGAACAATGGGATGTATTCTTCAAAGTGGAGAGTGGCCAACCAACTACTTAGTACTTCAACATCCTAAAATAAATGAAATTATTATTATTATTTTGCTGCAGTCGACATAAAATGTTTAATGAAATAATAAATTTCACTTTTATTTTTACACTGCTTAATCTACAGATTTTATAATTTTCTAACGTTACTCTGATTTGCTATTTTTAATCTTTGACTACACAATTCTTTTTTGAGGCTTTAAGGAAAAACACAAGCAAGATCATTTTTGCTGAAAAAGAACTTTTTAGGAATGAGTAACAGAGCGTTCATTCGAGAGCAATATTTGTTCAAGAGTAAACACGTATCCTAATAATATATGTAAACTGACTTTTCGTATACAACTTTCTATAAAGAACTGAAAAATAAAATAAAAAGTAGTTTTCCCCCCATTTAATACTGCTTTAAAAGAAGTCATTCGGTTTTTATTAAGATTATAAACAGATATTTAGGATAATGTAAAAAATGACAATTTTCAATGGTATCTAAAGATAATTAAGATTTAATGGATCGTTTAAATTTATGATGCATCCAAATGTGATACTTTTTAACAAATAATGAGTTGTCTGTTTACCCCTTCATTAAACATGAGTTTTTTGCCTGCTCTTTTCTGTGATGCGTTTATGGATCTGAACCATTAAAGTGAAGATAGATTTAATGGCTTATAAGTTAATTTCCATTTAATGGCTTACCTTTAAAGTTAAATATACAACAAAAGGAATTATGCGGTGTTTTCTAAACTAATATTAACTTGAAATCTCCCAAAAAATTAAAAAACTACTATTAAAGATATCATAGAAATCTGAATTAGGAAACTGCGGTTGCTACTGAATGATATTAATTGCATATCAATGATTTTTAACTCTAAAATGGAAGGGAAAACTGAAAGAAAAAAAAGTACTTTTTATTTTCTTTAACACCCTAGGACAGGGTGCGTAGCCAAATCTTGAAACAAAAAATAAGCACAACTATATACATTAACAAAATGCAAAATAATTTTCAAAACGTGAGCATCATAAAATAACTAGTTTCTGACAAAGAACTCTTTTACTTGATTATATTAGCCACCATAAAGAGATCGAAAGGTTTGTCGGTTGATTTCAGAGAGTGGAAAATGAAGCCTGAATTTGAGAATATCTTGCAAAATGCAGCTGCACATGAGAGTGCAAGAATCTCACCGAACCCAGCTCAGTATACGTACATGCGGACAAGCAAAGTATTTCATCAAACATGTAACATGATTGGTGCTTTTATACGCTACGAACCGAAATGCATTGTGTTTGAATGAATTATGAAAACGTTGAATAGTACAATGTGAAAACCACGCTTTTGCATAATAAATATGTGGCGAAAATCGTCATGGTAAAGCAAAAAGTCTCATTTTCAAAAAGGGAAATTTAGGCACTTTTTAAAAATGGCCACTAAAAAAGCACCTTTAAAGGCCTTTAAAATCGAAAATAAGCACCTTTAAGAACTTTTTAAAAACGCTACGGACCATGTATGAGTGGCTGAGACGATTTTGTTATTAAAAATAGATATTAAAATACATAAAAGATTACAATAAATGTAAATAACAATATTAAGATATTTTATCGACAGAAATTTTCATAGATAATAATATTTAATAATATATTTTTATTTTTAAATTCATATGAATTCTAAAATTCAATTAATGTTTTGAATTATAATAGAATTTAAAGAATATTGGTTCTAAAAATATTCGTGCTTAACATAATTAGATACGAATGTTTTTAATGGAATAAACATTAATAATTTATTACGTAAACACTACAAATAAATTATTTGCATTTGCATATAAATACTTTATTGAATGTCTTATGCAAATAAAATTATTGGTACAAAACATTGAATTGTATTTTATAAGCGAGTCACATTTATTACTTTACATAAATGTGAAACCACGCAAAAGCTTTTATAAAATAATATTAAAATTAGAAAAAATTTCAAAAATAGTGACCTTTTTTAATTCATGTTCAGTGCGCAAAAAAAAAAAAAATTTATAATAAATAAACAAATCACCCTGAGTAACTTTTGATCTAATGATGGGATTTTACGCACTAGAACTCAAATTTATTGGTTTTCGGGGGTATGTTAAATAATTTGTGTAGATGATATTTTAAGTTATGAAATCAGACACAAAAACATACTTTTTCTGAATAAACATACCTTTTATAGACGGAGTTGGAATCTTGATTCCCAAAGTAAAGGGGGTAGATGCTGTCTGGGAAATTAGTTCCAATAGTTTGGTCAGGAGAACGGTTTAAAGCTTGGATGTTAAATTTACTTTTTTTGTATTGTGCTATACCTGAGAACTTTCTAATCGAATTGAAAAATTATTACGCACAATTATATAATTCATCAAACGGTAATTTCAAGCAAAGAGTATACTTTAATAATGAATTATAATTTTTTATTATTTTAATTATTTACAGTTGAAAATATTTTTTGAATTAGAAGGTAAACAATTTGTTACATCATTTTAAGGAATGTAATTTTATATGGTAAAATTTCAGCAAAATCGGTCAAATAGCTCTTGAGAAATCGAATTATAAATATATGACTTTTTTTAAAATTCGATTTCATAGTAACTTACTTATTAGACAGTTTGCGTTCAAATTATTAATTTTTCTAAATAAACTTATAATATTTAAAATGATGTAAAATTTCAAAATATTACAACCATTATGAAATAATAGATATAACGAAAAAATTCTCCAAATATACCGACAAACGCAAAAAGTAAAATTAACATTTAAAGAGTCCAAACTTTGGACAGTTCTCCTAACCAAACTTGCGACCATATTTCCCAAATTGCGACTACTCCGATAGTTTAGAAGTCATCCCCGTAGACAATTAAGTTTGAGTCCTAGTACGCGAAAATCAGATCATTAGATCAAAGGTTATTCAGAATAATTCGTACTGTATCATACTGTACATCAATCCATCAATAAAATTTCATTTCCATACTGTACATCAATAAAATTAATAAAACATCAAAATTAATAAAACATCAAAAGCAATATAAAAAAAAAACATATTTCTCTTTAAAATGTATGGAAATGATAAAGTAAAGCACATTAACTGATTCAATAAATTCGTATAAAAAATCTAATTCAATAAATTTGTAGAAAAAAGTTATAAATAGCAGTTGGAAATAAAATTAAATGGTTCAAGTTGAAAAAGCAAAGGGATAGTTATAAATTTATGTCAAAGTTAGCGTAAAACACTAGCAAAAAATTTTGATTTGATATGTTTGGTAGGTTTATATTGAGTTATAAAAAATAATAATAATCTTCTGTGACATTTTTAAGATAGAATCTTCAATTTGAGGGGCAATATTGAGAAAAAAGAGCTATTGAAACTGCCCACAGCCGAAAATGTTGGCAAGATGCCAATGTGTAAATTCTTTTTATCTTTCAATTTTAAGCTTGTTTTCGTTTTCAAGTAATTTTTTTCTATTTTTTCTTTCGTTTAGCTGCTTTTGCTGTAAAAACATTTGGATCGTTGCCAAATATGCACTGTCTGTCAAGTTTGATCTATTATGAGAGAGCTACTTAAGAAACACTACAAGTTACAAGAGCATTAGGCTTAAAAAGGAGTCTGGTTCGTTTTTTCTTTCCTTCAATAGCTCCCTAAGGATGTTTAAAAATTCTTTCATATTATGTTTTTTCTCTTTTGCAAGAAATTTCTCTTCTTAAGTCTTTTATCCTTCAAAAACGATTCACACGGCTCACCTCTGATATTTTCCTCAACAAAATTTAATACATCGCTTTAATTAACTAGTTTTTGGTATAACGTAAGCATGCGAATTAAGTCTTAATTAATGAATGAATATATTATTGCTTCCGTTATATAAACAAAGTTAATTTCCCCATGGTAAATACTCCATTAGAATCATCAAAAGAAACGGATTGCAGAGAATATTTTTTAAATAATTAGGCATAGGAAAACTTAATATGAAATGTAATCAGTTAATTTATATTTTATAATTAATACAAGTATAGCTACTATTCTATCTCATTTATTCATATGAATAAATAAGATAGAATATATTTTAAAGCTAAAGTTGTTAAGAAATTATCATAGTAATAAATAGATTTTTGGCAATAACGTACTCAATTTTTTGTTCTGTTATTTTATGTCATTAAAACAAATATTAAAGAGAATAAGCTTTTTTTTTTCTTTATAAACAAAATTCAAGAAAGGATGACTTTAAATAAATTAGCCACTTTAAAGTTAATGTCGATTAGAAGATAAATTTTCAAAACGAAAGTTTCTGATGCACATTAATACGATTTTTCAAATTAAACTTGAAAATTGGAAAAACATTTTTGAACACTGAATTAAAAATCCTCAGGGCATCAAATATACGATTAAATACCGTTTTTTTTTTAATAGATTTTTTAATTTTTACAACTAGTAGATAGGTAAACAAAAACATTTACTTTCTGGCATGAGTCGATTATTTAAATTTAATTTCAAAGTTAACTTGAAACTAATTTTAATGCGAAATATATGTAATAGTTTCCAAACTTCAAACTAAATAGTTACGTTTCGCATTTTATTAAAATTTAATTTTCAAAACGAGCATATATATATATATATATATATATATATGCAGAACCATAACATCAATAGTNTATATATATATATATATATGCGCCTCGCGAGGAGGGGAAAAAAATCGCAGGTGTAAGTCATGCTACTGTAAAACTGTTTCCCTGCATGGACTAATATGTTGCTGAGAAAAAAAGATATGTCAGGTTATCAGTATTAGCACGTGATGTTCATGGTATACGAGTACACGAAATAGGCAGTACACGAGTGCCTAAGTTAAGTATCAATTAAATAATCTGATTCTCGCTTATTGCAAATTAGTTACTCATTACTCTGAAATAGATAGGAATTTTCAGAAAATAAAATAAAAACAACTAGATATTTAACTTTAGAATCATATTTCCGAAAAGGTCAGCGACACAAATGAGGGAAAGAAGGAACAGTAAAAA